TCTATACGAAAAAAATTTCGTTCGTTTGAAACAACAAAAACTCGATTTACATACTTTCGCAATCGTAGTAAACGTTGCCAGCAAAATGTCGAATACCAAAACTAATAATATTATCAGTTTTTCTTGGTATAAAATTATCATTTTTCGAATGATTTGCATGAAGTTTATCACACAATGAACGATCTGTACCTTTTGGAAAACGACTTTCTTCATCAATCAACGCAATTATATTCATAGATTTAATTGCAATTAAATCCAATATACGTTGATTATCTTCAAATGCTATATGTTTCCAATTAATATGTTCATTGTTATATTCTTCTTGTTCAAGTTTAAATATATGATGAACAAAAAATTGTTGTAGATTTTCATTTGCATAGTTTATGCATAATTGTTCAAAACTATTCTGTTGAAAATTCTCAAAGCCAAATATATCCAATATACCAAGGCTAAAAAAAACACATCAGTAAAATAATTGGGTTCGGTAATTCAATGTTAGACATCTATTGACATTATGAAATCAATGCCACGCTTTAAATAAAAAGCCCCAAGTATATAATTAATAGGGTCACCGCCTAATCTGTCTTGTGATTTTTTTTTCTATATTTATAAATCCTCGAAAAGCCCGTCTCACGGCTGCAGAGGCCGATAGATACTAATGAGAGTAGCTTTCAATCTACTTCTTTGTAGAAATAAGTCTAGCAGGATTTATACAAAAAAAAAAGAAACATCATAGAAGTGCAAAATATCGGTAGTAATAAGTAGCGAGAGCTCATTAGGATCATTCTCAGCTCAAAGCGATTAACCAGTTAGGAGGCTTCTTTAGTGAGTCGAAAAGTTTGATTGCTGTTAGTAATACCTTTAGTTGTTTGACTTCTGTGTGTAACAGCTAATGATGACTAAGATTAATCTTGCGTCTATTTGCTCAACTCAAAAAAGAAAACTATTATTTTGACTACCTTTTTCGATAGGCCGATGGATCTTTCGGTTTAAAAATTGCCGAATTGATTTTTTCAACAATCCAAATAAACATCTTTCCATAAATGCCTTTCACAAATGCATCACTAAAATAAAATTCAAAAAAAAACGTCTTCATCGAAAATTTCCTCCATCTTCATACCGAACATCAAAGGCCTGTTCTTGACTAAGATGAGTTATAACAGCTTCACCATGAGCAAAAATCGTTCGTTTTAATAGTCCATCGCGAAGACCATTGTCGTCAAGCTTAACAATTACAAAATAACAAATCAGTATGATAGAATTCTCCTATTCTTACTTTCAGTAATTTTGATATAACTCTGAGTACATTTATATTGGCAACTGTACATGTATCCATATTTTGTGTTGTTGTCGCTAAAATAAAACATTTTCATTTCAATCAAAAAATTAAAATCTTATAGTTATTTATTTACCTTGAAATTTTAAATTTCCCAAATGTAAAACAACTGACAATAATCTTAGAATGTCGTTTAATTCTTCATCACTAAACATAAGAACTTTACAGGCACTTTTTATTGTTGACCATTCTTTTCCATCGTCACGACTATCACAATAAATAGTTCCATCAAGCTTCAAAAAGAAAAAAAACCGTCATGTTTTTTCTTATTCGTCTATTACAAATTTCTCATACTTGATTAAGATAAACATAATCACTAGCAGTTGTTAGATCTAATGTTTGTTTTTCTTCTTTCGACATTCCAGCTAACATACAATAGAATACATGATAATTTCGTTCATCACGAGCCTAGAATAAATTTGAAAAATTTTCTTATCTTCTATCACCAAGACAAATAACGAATAGAAACCAACTTGAGAAACAATACGAGATTTTTCTAATAAATATTGTTCAATTTTAGCACCTTCAATAGCACCTCTTTTATCAAAATGTATATCAATATATTTTCCGAAACGAGATGAATTATCATTTCGTACTGTTTTTGCATTACCAAAAGCTACAAATAAACATGATAAGTCATATCGTCTAATTAATTTCATTGTTCTTTTGTTTCTTCATTATTTACCTTCAAGTATTGGATTAGCATCAAGTATTTGTTGTTCTATCCATGAATGTTGTCCGCTTGTGGCAGCCAAAAATTGTAAAATTAATTTTGTTGATTCAGTTTTTCCACTGCCACTTTCACCACTGATGATAATACATTGATCATGTTGATAACGTTTCATACTCCAATAAGCATTATCACCAATGGCAAATATATGTGGCGATAGTTCGCCTATTTTCTTATTCGAATATTGACGAATATAGTCCATATTATAAATATCTAATAATTTGTATGGATTAACTGCAACTAAAATTGATCCTGTATAAGTCTAAAAACAAAAAGAGCAGAGATTGGATTGTGTATTTCAGTTGAAATATTCATAATTACATAAATATTATCTTCTTTGTAACGCATGTGAAGATTATGAAGGATAGCAGATTCTTTGAGATCTCCTAATAGAATCATATCATGGACACCTTCGACAGAACTAATGTGCATGGGACGAAATTTGGTTTGAATAGGAAAATGTAGTTCCTAAAGAAAATAGTTATTGAAAAAGAAAAAAGAAAAATTTTATTGATGTCAAATACTTCATCGTTATCATCGACAAGTATAATTTGTCCGGCTTGAGTAGCGACCACGCGAGCACCAATTTCGACATTGAACTCGCTGCCGGTACGTAGATCGATCCAAACATAATCACCCTTTAACAAAAAGAAGAATAGTTAAATTCAATAGAAAACGAAAACGAAAATTTAAAAGTGTGTGAAAACTAACCTGTAAAAAATAGTTGCTGATCGATATCGGTATTGGTATCGATGGCATGACTTTTCTATTCGTTTTAATTCAATCTATATGATTTATCGATCATCATCATCATCATCATCATCATATCTTCATTTGTTGACTCATCGCGTGTATAAGCAAACGCGTGCAAATGTATACTTATTGAAAATCGCGGGTCCTGCCCACTATGCACACATATGAACAGGGAGAGAGAGAGAGAAAGAAAGAAAGTATTATTCAAGTACAATTACGATATACGTGTGTTCATCTATTGACATTCTCTCTATAGAGTATCGTCCATCTTTTTCTCTCTTTCGTTTTGTGCATATTATTATAATCGTTTATGATTGATGCGGGAGAGCCTAAAGACTTTATTTTGTTCGAATGTTTTACTACATGCTCATTAGCACTCAAATAGTGATAACTATAAAAGATATAAGATGATTCGGACGTATAGTTTTTTCTTCTTCTTAACTGACCGCCGTCAAACAAATATTAGTTTCAAGATTGCTTTATGTTTATGATGATAAATGAAGAGTTTAGTTTTTCTGTCTTGAAGAAAGATATTTCTTTTGGGCTCATTTCTACTAAACATCTCTGTGAGTGAATGAATCTAGATCAACATTGAATATCAATATGTACACAAGCGAAAAATAGGAAGATGAGGAATTTCGAGAATGAGCACACGTCAGCAAGCGAACATTGTCGTCGACAAAGACACATAGTTTGCTAAGAGATCAATTCTTAGCGCAGACAACTGTATACATGATGTAAGATATAACGGAAAGAGAGAGAAAAATAAATAGAAAAAAAATCAATTGTAAATCAAGGCGGAAAACTAATATGAAAACATCATTGAAGAATCAATTAACTATTAAAAGCGACATGTTCTAATTCTTCAAGCCTCATTGAAATCACTTCAAGAACAATAACAAAAATGAACTACTTACTTTTGATACGCTCACCATTCAGCATACACCTAAAAAAACAAAACAAAACAACGATAACATCAAATGAATTGAAAATTATATGAACTTGTAAACGACACCCACTTCTATAAAAACATATGGTAGATAGAGAAGACAATTTGTTAAAACTAGTAATAGCACACACACGCATACATATAGAGATTATGCATCACATTTTCTTCACTTTCCGTTCAGGTGTGTATATGCTTGCATGCCCGCTCGATAAAAGGTAGTCGACTGCAAGGGGTGGTTCTCTTCTTCTTCTTCTTCGTCTTTTCTTCTCGCGAACACCCTTTAACGTTTTTTTGTTTTATTTGAACAAAATCTTCTTTCTTTTTTCTGCATGCATATGTATATATGAACTCATTTTGCGTTCTTTGTCTGACCACAGCAGTGACTGACCAAATGCAATCGATGCATGGACTACCTTTTGTGCTGACTCTTTTCTCGTTTTTTTCTTTCTTCTTGTACTATTATTAGTCTTATATTGAGCTCAAGTAAACGAAAGGAGAAGAAAAAGAAGAGCAAATGGTCCCCTTATTTTGATTTAGACAAATAGCGTAGACAGCGTCACGATCACGAACAGAATTAACTATCTGATCTGTCAACTTCTATGTCGTACCATTTTCTTCGTACTTACTGGTTAATTTGTTCTAATGTTTATCAAGAAATGCTTAGAATAGTGTCCAAGAAGAAAAGTGAGAGAGAGCGAAGGAGAAGAAAACGAAAGTAATAAAGACGACAAGCACATCATCGTTTAGATTGCCGCATCAAGAACAAATCAACGGATGAATTTGTCGACCTTCTGTTCTAAGACTAATGGTTTTCTATTGTCTTTTCAGCTAATATATAAAAAAAAGAACACAGCTGTAGTGTGTGCAATTACTTTCAATGATTATAGTGGAAAAGAACAAAAAAAACTCATTGATTCGTGATATCTATCTGTTAATACGATTTTTCAATCGCTCTACATGTTCAATGAAAGACTATTGATTTTCTTGATTAAAACTCAATGATCCAACAAGAAATATAGCTATGTTGATTCATTTCGAATTGCAAAACAAAACATTGAACTCTTTTCAAAAGGAACACAAGTGAAACCAATTTTTGAGTTCATCTCTGATAGATGTCGCCCACTAATTCATATTCTTGTTTTGATTGGAGAATAATTAACTGTATGAATGAATTAATGCAAAACTTCTTTTTTTTAAATGATGAAAATCAAGTATTTCTTTTAAATTTAAGAATGCCTTTCTGTGAACTTTTTATACCTGTTGATTCAAGTACAACAGAAGATAATCTTTCAAAATTATTAATTTCATGTTTTGATCTTGGTTATGATCGAGTTGTTCTTTCTCAAACGGATAATTTACGTGCGTCGAATTCGAATTCATCTTCAGCGAAAAAAAAGAAACAAAAAATCAGTGAAACCGAGCTAGTTACGACAGCATCATCATGGACATGTCCCAAACGATTTGTTGCTCGTATACCTGATTTAATTATCCAACGATGTCGTTCAACAAATCGCAAATTTCGTCTTTATTCTCGTATCAACGTAATTGTTCATGACAATCAATCATTGCATTATTTGAAACGTGCAGACGTACAACAGCATTTTGATATAATTTCATTGCAACCAGCATCCCGCGATATTCTTCTCTATTTACTCAGTTCAACAACTATACAGCATGAATTACTTGTGCTTGATCCAAGTGATGCTGAACTTCTGCCATTTCCAACAAAACTAATGCGTGCAACTGCTGAACGCGGCGTTACATTTGAATTGATCTACAGTAATGCATTACGAGATTCATTTGAACGACGAAATTTACTTGCATTCGGTCGATCACTTGCAACGAATATTTTTAAACACGGACAATCAATTGTATTTAGTTCAAATGCAAAAAATCCATTACAAATTCGTTCGCCATATGATATGATGGAAATCGGACAATTGTTTGGATTCAATCAAGAAATATCAAGAAAATTGGTCGATCAAAATCCTATGGATGTTCTAGCACGTTCTTTTAGTCGAAAACAAACTGTACAAGGAACAGCATGGTTGGAAACAGCAACAGATGAGAAAGAAGAAGCAACAACAGTTAAACCATTTGTAGCGACTGAAACCATTCTTCTTTAGTGATAAAGTAGCATTGTTAGGTTTTTTTTGCGATACGATAATTGCTGTTGATTAAATATAGGCAACTTCATGTGAAGGGCTGTGAACAAATATTTCTCAAAAAATGATATTTGACTCGTTGAAAAATTTATTCGTATCATCGATAGAAAAAATTCTTCTCTACGAAATGTGTGAATGGTGCTTCATAGAATAACTATCTACAAACTTGAGTTACGGATTAGCTGAATTGACTTCTAATCTCAGTTACCAGGACTAAAATTGGTTGTTTCGCATATCACAAAGATCTTTAACAATAAAGAACATCATTTGCATTATTTTCTTGAGGATGTACACTTTATTTTTTTTATTAGTTAGACGTCTTATCACACTTTTGCCCCCTTTTTGTTTTTACTGAATTCGTTCTAAGTCTGTAGGGAAAATCGTTTTGTGTCGCTGTCTGTAAAAGAGAACGTGTTATTCGTGGAATTTTGAGAAAAACAATCTATCAGTATGAAGTTATATAGATCAATAAATCCTATGCGTCAATTAAGTGCTTTATAATTTACAAAACAACCAATTAATATTTCCACATTTCCTTGACTATATTTTCTGAAATATCATTCAGCAGGCGATACCGAAATGACTCCAAATCACCATTGTTCATGTCGACAAAATCTTCACTGTTTCTTGTGACACATTTTTCGTTTTGTCCCTCACCAATGGATTTTAAAGAACTGTTCATGAAACGAATAGACAGTGTATAATCTTGTGGCGATGTTTGATTAAATTCTTGGATTGTACCTTTTGCAAGACATATTGAAATTGTACTTGAAGAATATTCTCAGTGATTTTTATGTGTTCTGGCTAAATAAAATGACTCGTTTTTAAATTTTGGACATTTTACTGTCATCAGAATGAATACAGAGTAAAATTACAACAAAAATAATGATTTTAAAAGCACATCTGTCTGAAATTATTAATGGCACAGGACTTTATTCAGCTAGTGAAGATGAATTCATAAACATCAAATGTCAATTTTCAAAAACAATTGACTTCAATCAATTACAAAATTCTCTTCATGGTTATAATAGTAACTGCTAATCGTGTGTCATCAGATATAATCATTCATACTTGAAATCTATTGAAACTATACAAGTCTACTGTACTTCGATCATGACGTGAAGGAAAACTTGATTTATTGCACTTAGAATTCTCATACTTTTATCCAATACAAGTAGTTCGTTTTATTAAAATAGCTGCTGAAAGAACGGCTGACTTCATTGCAAGCATTTTTCAATAAAAATATTCATATATTTCAGAAGAAATTTTCCCAGTCACATAAATCCACTTTTGAAAGTAACGAAATCGAATGATTAAATATTATTTTCCCATGAATTCAATTAAATATCTAAGAACATTTTCTTTCGATTCATGTTATGTTACTCGATGAATCAATATTTACCCTATGTGTTTCAAATTTTCTTACAAATCTCTCCCGTTTTAATCATCAATCGAATACAATTCCACAAAAACTAGAGCAGACTGTATTCCTCGTTACTAGATAATTTGCCAAGAATTTTGCATTCATTGATTATTCTTCTTTGAAACAGTTATTTTACTAAAAAATTAACAAACTTTTCATCGACGCGGTAATTGTCAATATGTTTTATTCGTATGTGCCGAACGAAGAAATCAGACCATATGTTATCGTTGACGATTAATCCTTTGTTTGGAGTAAGCACTAGTAAGCACTAGTGACAAGCGAAAAATGTTAATCAGACCAAACAACAATTAGTTGACGAGCGAACGAACGGAAGAGCGGAAGAAGAAATGTAGATATGTTATCTGTCTCGTTCACTCGTCAACACAAAGGCGAGGACGAATATTGTTACAAAAATGACAATGGAATTGGATGATTGCATCACGAAAGATTGTTCCACTATCTACCGTTTTCAATTTGCCAGCATAGCATTTATATGTGGTATTTATCTTCCATTTACATTTCATTCCAATATATGGTCACTTTATACACAATCGTTTACGCCTGTTAATTGTGCAACAATAAAAAATCCATTTCTTTCTGAAATATCAAATAATCTAACGACAAAGCCTTTGCCAATATTAGCAATAGATAATCAAAGTCGATCTGAATGTTGTGCTTGTAATGGAAATTTGAATGATAAACGTTTATCGATTCTTTGTCAAGAATGGGTTAGAAGTATAAGTCAAGTTGAAATGCGAAAAGCAACTATTATTGATGAAGTAAGTTAACATATACTAATGAAATCATGTCTACTAAAATACACATGTTTATTCTATGAGATCTTTTGATTTTTATTATAGTGGCACATGGCATGTGGAAAGGAAAATCGCAAATATCTTTTGTTTGGTTCAATATCGTACTTATTGGCTGAAATCATTGGCGTTGTGATTATTGGCATTTTGGCGGATAACTATGGAAGAAAGCTGATGCTTCTTATGTGCCTTTATATACCGGTGGTATGTGTTTGATAGAAATATTGTTCATTGGTCTAAAGAAATCTTTTAAGCTTTTTGGATCATTGGCTGCATTTACAACAACTTATTCTTTATTTGTTATTCTTCGATGGCCTGTAGGATTTTTAAATAAGGTAATTTCGGTTTTTCTACAGAATGAAATATTTTTGATTTGATCAAATCTAGGGCCTACTTTTACTTGGTTTTGTAATGGTTATTGAATCATGCGAATATAAACATCGAGCTCAAATCGGTTGTCTTCTTCTTGCATCTTTGCCAATTTTTGGAATTATTGTGGGTGTTATTTATTTTTTCTTATTAGATTGGAGACATATGCAATTATTCGGTAAAAATTTAGTATATTACTTTTATTATCTTTTATTTTCGCCGCTTGTTTAGGTACACTCGTTTCTACGTTAACTCTCTGTTATCCATGGTAAACGAACAAAAAAAGACTTGTTTTGTTTTATTCAAATAAAAACCGTTCTTGTAAATCTGTAGGCTTATACCAGAATCTCGTCGTTGGCATGTAAATAGTCATCGTGTGTCACGTGTAAATAAACTTTTACAATTGTGTTCAACCAAGCAAACACCATCATTAGGTTTAAATAAGATTGGTTCACCAGCACCGACTTCTATTATCTATGATAAATCTGTAATAACAAGCAGTTCATTACGTGCTCAAAAGGGTTCAATATCATGTCTAGTAATGGAAAAACAATTACGCACAATAACTTTATGTTTATTTGCACTTTGGTTTGACCGACACTTTCTAAATTAATACTAAGAATGTTTTTTCATATAGGTTTATTTCAACAACTTGCTATCGATCTACATTTTTTCCAACAATTTTGCCACATCCAACTATGAATTATGTTTTAATGAATGCTATCGAGTTTTTTTCATTTATTCTCGCTCTTATTCTTTCTTATAAGTTAGTAAAAATTGAATGAAATGAAGTCTAATATAGAACAATATGTTTTAGGATCGGACGGCGACCTCCATTGGCTGTACTTATATTAGTTAGTGGTCTATCTTCGATTTCTCTAGCAATAACCTTACTTGGAACAGGTCCGCTGTGAATTAAAGAAAACTTTCGCTCTATAAATCATTTTTTTGTCATTTTCAAGGGCATACTTGGCTAGAAATAACATTTTCACTTCTTGCACGAAGTTGTTTACGAACTTGTTATTGTATTTTAATTTTATATACATCTGAACTTTATCCAACATCAGTCCGGTAACTAAAGTTTTGCATATGCATCAATTTATCAGGCATATAATTTCTAATTTTTTTTGCAGAGCAACTGGGTTAGCTATTGGACTTACAGGAGAAGGTCTATCAATGATTCTTGTCGAAGTTCTACTTTACGTAGGTTCTATTGAGAATCGAATTTAAATTAATAATGTTTTTCTTTTATGATCTAGCTTTTAGTTGATCGAATATTACTCTTATTTATATCTGGTAGCATATTATGTGTTAGTTGTTGCTTAATATTTCCGTTACCTGAAACACTTCTCTATGATTTACCTGATTCACTAACTGATTTGCAGTCCATGAAACGTACACCAGCCAATGATAACGATGGAGATTTATCTTCATCATCGCCACATAATAATGCACTAGAATCGAATACACTTCTAAATGAAACACAAGCGAAACCAACAACTACATTAGATCTTAATGATTTATCATCGCCACCTCAACAGCAATATCTGACTACGCCCAAGACAATTTTGCGGTCACCAACCACAACTAGTGGAAACGGAAAAACAGTAACAATTCATTCTCAACCAGAAATTATTCAATTACAATCGAATGCATCATCATTAAAAGGACTTTCAAATCCATGTTATTTTGCTTCGTTAAATGGTTCTATTGATCAATATGATATTGAACAGCATATGGATAATACAGTGGTGATCAGTATTCGAGGCGCATTAAATAACACACATAATAATAGATCTGAAGGGCATGAAGGAGAAGCTACAAGATTTTAAAAGCAAATAATAAAATATATTCAGCTTTTTGCTTGCTGTCTCCTTTGCTGTTTCTTGTTTACTAGTAAAATATGAAGAGTTCGATTCCCAAAAAACGAATTGCTCTGATTTTGAAAATCTGAAATTATAGTTTTGGTATCACAAATTATATTTGCGAAATCGCTAAGTTCTCTGTATTGTTTCTCGTAAAAAGATCAGGTTCGTTTTCCGTATGAGTATCGCTACCGATAAGAATTTTGATTTCACCTCCGAACCATTGAGTTTGCAATCAAATTCTCAGCGATGTCGTCAAAATTTACCTAATTTAACATATACTTGATCGCAATGATAAAAATTTCTCCTTTTACCCTATGATCTATAGAATCGTCTCATATGCATACAATCAATCGATTGTCCATCGGCATGCTATCGATTCATTTGGCGTATAAATACAATAGAATGTGACGAATATGTCATGTTAAGAAATCGTCCGCAATCTAGATCAGGACGGAATGCACATATTGACTATGATAATTTCGTTGGTGAGTTCGGCCATGCTTTTCATTAAATCAATGTTCATTATCACAGAACGTGTATAAATTTTTATCATCTCACATCGAAAATTAATGTTCATCGATCAAATAAACAAGAAAGAAATTTATTTAGTGTTGCCAGTCAATGTTTCGTCTTGAAATGAGGACATTTTTTTATTCGTTCTATAGATTCTATTTATGAAACAAATAGAATGCACCCAACAAAAAAGAAAAGAAGAAGACAAAATACAAACTAGCTAAATGAATGATTGGATGCATATGTCCAGTAATCAGATCTATGGATACTTAGTGAAACACCTAACAGTTCAACTTCTATTTTTTCTCTCTAGAGAAAAAATGAGAGAAAAAAGAGTTCATCGAATGTTCAAAAATATTTCATTCATTTCTTATTCGGTTATTGTCCAGTTAAGAGCTATGGATTCAAAGTTGCAGTCCAAACAAGAAGCACATCTGTGTGATAGTTGTACGTACGAAAAATAAAGAACCACGTGTGAGATACGTCTAGTAAATAGTGTAATAAACAAAAATGAATTAAGATTCGAACGATAGTTGAGAGTATTCGAATCTTATGTTCTCTATTGGTAAGTCGAAAAAAGTTCGAACTATGAAAATTTAAATATTTATTTTAGTTCCGTTATTCAATCGAACATGATTGAAAAGAAAGAAAATATATATTTGGTATTGTAAATCACCTCTGCTTTCGAGTTCATTCGTATTGTTTCTTATAAACTCGAACTCACAGGTGGATGTACAGCCATATTATCGGCACGGATCAATATTGCAATAGACATAGCAATAGGAATTATAACATAATTATTTCGAAATTACTATTTATTGTACAATAATATTTCGTTTGAAAAAGGTCGACTAAAACCGTTTATTGACTATTTGCATAGCGAAAAAGATCTACGCTTGATTGTATGTCAAATACTATCGATCTTACTGAATAAACAATTGTAAGTAGCATCATCAAACGAATTGGGTTAAAACAACGGCACCGACAAATACCTACCAGAAGTATTTGCTGATAGGAAGCAGATGGTGTCGAATAAAGATCCTCTCACAGCACAACTAGAATAACATAACATCGCAATAGTCACAAGAGAATTTTTCAGTTCTCCAGAAAAAATGTTTAATTCGAAGCAAGCACAAGAAAATTTCATAGGGAGATGTCACCAACAACGACTTCAATTATGACCAGTCGACAGTTTTAAATTGACTACGCGAATAATTTTATGCATGTGTGTTAAATCTATTTTAATGAAAGCAAAAGTAAAATCAATCTTTATTGTTTCTGTCTCTATTACATATTTGTTAATAAATAAAAATTTTAATTCGTTCCAAATCGAATTCTATTGATATAAGATCAAATGAATCATTGTTTTTCTACATCAATAATTTGATTAATATCATGTGAGGATAGATCCAAAATAGCATTCCTTAGCTATCGCGAATATACATCAATTATAAACTATGATATGGTCGAATACTGACAATATTTCAATGTGCCATAAGACACGAGCAGATTTGTAATTATAAACTTCTAGTTAATTATCATTACTGATTCTTATTTTGGCATGTTGATCACCTAAAACAAGTTAAACATGCAGATAGACGTGTTTCAAATAGTACATCGTGGCATGAATCGGTTAAGATAAATCAAATTTCACCTAATTGTTACAAAAAAAGAAGTCGATATTCATTCAGAAAAACAAACAAACAGCACGAAGTCTGATCTATCACAATTTCTATTTCTCAATTATCATTTTTATTTTGCTGGAAAAATTTTGCGGCTTCAAATTCTCAAAGGAGCATCATTGCATCGTATGGAAAGCATATCTAAATCTATCGAGCATATTTTTATCTTAAGTATTTTCATGATTCTATAAAAAATAGAATATCTATAAATAGGAAATACTACGTTGTTTGAATGCATCTCGATTGATGCCAGTTTTGAAAGGATTTCGGTTCAAAAATAAAGATGCATGTCACATGATGCCGAGAATGACGTTACTAATACGCACGCAGTTACATCTTGCTTAAAGAATTATTCACTACTGTGTTCTATGAAAATTCGACCGACTCATATAGAACTAACTAGAATCAAATGGATACACTTCTTCTGTAATTAATTAAAAAGATATTTGTTGAAATACAATTTGTTTCTTTTTCTTTTGGAGCATACAATATGATTAACGTATTTACATAGGGCCACCGAGTGAATTGACCGGTAATAAAAGAAAACATAATTGAATATACTATCATTATTTACAAATTAATCATATTTTATGTTTCAAGAAGTCACATAGATATTTTCTTTTGTTGTTGACAGCATTGTAACGTGGTCGACCAACTTCAACAATTCTTCATGGAAAAATGCGATACGCCTACGTATAATTTAGCATCAATGAACTCTAATTTTAATCAAGAAGAAATAAAAATTTATTTCTCTTACATAGCAGAAATTCCCATTTCATAACCGTAGCAACTATTACTGTTGTTGTTCATTCCCATAATATTTGACTTGTCATATCCGGTTTTATTTCATTCATTCATAGATTGATGATGAAGGAAATAACCATTATAGTCCATATAACAACAATCATAAGACGATAAAATATGTTTCAGATGATATGAGATTCTCTTGATGCCACTCTAATGGAATAATCGTTAGGATTAAATAATCACAAGGTTATGATCCGAAAATAAAAAAAATTATACAAACTCTCGATAAATAGAATGCTCGATTAGAGTAATACTTTTATTTTTCTCGTTTATCCATTGTATTACATTTTTTTATTGTCTAACTTTTCTAAACATCGTTTTTAATGTATGTGTAATCATTATTTATTCAAATTTTCACATACATAATAAAACTAAAATCATAAACTCAAACAACAGAATAAAATAAAATAAAATTTAATTTACATACACAAAGTCACAAAGAGAAGAAGAAGAAAAAAAGCTTATTTTTTAAAATTCTTATTTATAATTTTCGAAAGTCGCATCGTAATAAACGTGTATAAGTTTTTTTAAATTGTCGATTGGCAAGTGCATAACAAAATGGATTAATTGGACTATTTAGGTAGCAAAGATAATAGCAAGCGTGATAGAGGTATGTGTTAAACACAATACTTTCACGACATGTTTGACAAAATGTTTGAATAATTGTATGAATATGCCACTAAAATAAACAAGATAAAGGATTTTATTTGTGAGAAACTTCTTTTAGTCAACGTGATTTTTATCTTAAATTAGAAACATGATTATCGATAAAAATAAAGACGCATGTCTCATGAGTATCAAAGATAAAAAGCAAAATGCACAGTATGATAAAAGAATAAAAAAAAATAGAAAGGCAATCGAACAAAGATGCTTAAATGTATCTGAGGAGAAGAAGTAATTCACGAATGATTTAAATCGGCTAGCACGGCCATACTGATCTCCAATGGCAATGAAATTCTTTCTTTTCCGCGATGATGAAATAATTAATGCTCAATTACTTTTTTTTATATTATCTTCAGCAAAATCCTACGAGACCTTTCGCAGACAATCGAATATTGGAAAGTCGTTTTGATCATTATTTCTAGCTACAAATAAATACTAACCGGTGTCCAACAGAGAACAAACGCTCCCATGATAACGGTTATTGTACGCAATGCTTTTCTTGCTTTATTGTTGCTACCATTTCTTGCAGACGTTTTTGGATTGACTATTCTAACTGATATGGTTGAGCTCTTACTTTGTGTATTCGGCAGAAGTGTTTGACTTTCATCTAGTTGTTTGTGTGATTCTATGCCAGCTTTAGTAAGTGCCAGTAAATTAGTTATATTTGGTGCAACGACAGCTTCTGGTGTATGTTCACCACTAGTTTCATTTGATGATGATCGATTCGTAGTCTCAGGTGCATGCTGCTTATGATGATGATGATTGTTGTTATTATTATTGTTACCTGTTGAACTTCCTAGGTCATCTTCAACAGTTGTCTTTTGTTTTGATGGTGTCGACGGACTCGAGTGCCTCGGTTTTTTTTTCTTCGATGTTGCAGATGAGGAAACAACTGTTGTTTGATTTTTTGACATATTTATGACGAGATTTGTCATTGTTGATGATGGTATGCCAATAAGAGTAGAGATTTTTTTTGCATTTTGCATTGAACGTCTTTCAAGCGCACTCGCGACTTGATAAATAAAAAAATAAAGTATGAACATCACTAATAATGTGACCCAAAAATAACCAACAGTTAAACCTACAAAGATAATAGTTTAAAAACAACCAAATCTCACATACAATTTAACTGGCCTAGATTGAAATAAGGATTTTTATTCCATTGAACACTAAAATAATTCATTATCGTATTTTTTTTCTGCTTGTTTTTTCGTTATGTGACTTACTCGCATTGAAGATCCATTACACTTAAATTTGGTTTCTTACTAAATATCGGATAACCCATTGTTGAAGCAAAAAAAATAACCGCTGGAACAATCCATGTTAAAAGCACCAAATAAACAATTCGCTTTTTTGTTCTCCAATTTCGATACTTCGTTGGTATTTTCACCGAACAAAAACGATCAACAGTTATTAGCAGTACCGTATAAATAGATGCTAAACATACAGTGTAATCTAATGATAACCATATGTCACATAAGAATGATCCAAGCACCCATTTATTTTTATAGATAGCTAACGTTAAAAATGGCATGGATATAAAACCGATTAAGAAATCGCTAACAGCCAATGAGAATATAAAATAATTTGTTGGATGGCGTATTTGTCGATCGACAAAAAATGAAACAAGTACCAGTACATTACCACATATGGTAAGTAACGATATAAATGTACCAGTAATGGCAAATGCGATATTTAATTGTACAGGATATGGATGTGATGATTGAGATGGTAACGGTGCTGGTGAAAATATTTTAAATGATGGATCTTGAACATCATAATTGGTCAAATTATAGAATGTGTCAGAATCGTTAAAATTAAAATATAAAAGGTCTTCGATCATACATATAATAGTACGAGAAAAGAAAAATGTCTAGAACAACTAAAAATATCGGATAAATATTAGAAGAACAAAAGCATTTTTTTCGATTATTATTGATGTGGAATTGTTTTTTATTTACCTGCTTTCTGATATATGTACTCGTCACTTATTTGAAGTGTATAGTGGAGACTGAATGAATGAGAGGCGAAGAAATACGAGAGAGAGCGAGGGAGAGAGAGAGAGAGAGAAAAAAAGAAAATATTTTCATCTATTACTTTATTTTCAATATATTAAGACATGTATTGATTGTATTTATCTTCATTTTGTCTATCATATTCTCTTTATCTCGTGTATTAAACTAGGCACGCTCGGCAGATCTAACTATCCAGCTCGAGGCAGAATGCTATTTACTATTTTTTATGTACGATTCGTCAATCTCTTTCGATCCCGTCTTTCTTGTATTTCTGCTGCACCCGCTCGATCTCTATGATTGAAATCTGTCAATTTTTTTATCGGAAAGCACATATACATGAGAAAAAGAGCTGGTGAACGCATACTTGCTTTCTCTTAGTTTATATGTTTGTAATGATGATCATTTATCAAGAGACAAGCGTCGTAGAGTCTGTTTTCTCTCTTTTTTTTTCTTAGACTCGCTTCTGTTGTTCGTTCTCATCAGACACTATTCTTCTCGTAAATAGTCATCGACTCATTCACAGAAGAAGAAGGGAGATGGAGAGAGAGAGAGAGAGAGAGAAGAGAGCCAGGGGAGCGGACAAAACGTTTATAGAAGTCGTTCTCTGTGACGGCATATCTGTCGTTCGATCGTTTGCCTTTTCTTTTCTTTTTTTTCTCTCATTCTTTTTTCTTTTGTATCTTAAAAGAGAATTTTATCATTGTCCTAATACTGCGATTGATTTTCTTTTATTGGCGAAACATTCGTACCTTTCCCGTGAGATTCGACAAATGTGCTGGATTCTTTTTGCAAATGAAAAACGAGCAAAACTAGAAATAATATTGTTGTCAGACACGCACATGCTCACATTAAAGCTCTCGCATCTCTAACCTGAAATCCTTCGTATAGGCTTTCGACTTCATAGTTTCTGTCCGTCTCTTTCTCTCTCTCTCTCTCTCCCTCGTGCAGTTAGTTTTTATGTAAAAGATTACGCTCGAGTTTCTATAATCGACGATTATTACCTTCTTATGTCGTCGCTTTGCTGGAGGCGGCGCATAGAGACGAGCGACTATACATCCAAGTTTTATTGTGATAAACGAGCGTGGATAGTAAGATAGAATTGTTCTCGTGTCGACCATATTTGTTGAATGAACTAAAATGGAAAAAGATGTACTTGTTAACCGCATAAAATTACATGAAGCAGAACAATTCAATATAAATAAACGATAATTTCAACAGATGGACAACTTTCCTACTCTCGACTTAGAGAAGCGGATATTCAATTTCGCTTTTCGCCTGAGTTATGTACTGTCCAATTGCAAAAAGAATAAGAAAAAGATCGATGATGATAACAAAAGAAAAGAGGGTTAAGTCGGAAAAAGACCTAGACAATGATTGTATACAATAGTTCTCCCATATTCGAAAGAAATGTGTCAAACAACCAAGATGGAGTGGCAAAACAAATATGACAAATCGTCTCTAGTTTAGCTATAATTATGCATGTTTCTTTGTGCTGAATAGAAAAAAAATGTCATCACACTAATGTCCATGTGCACATAGATATTTATTAACCAATAGCAAACAAAAAAAGTTAAACAAAAGAAACGAAGAAGAATATTATTGTTCACACAGAGAATCGTTGTCCCAGAAAACTAGAAACCGTTTCTTTTTGCAATCATTTTTCATTGTCGGCATCTGTGGCTTATCCTTCGTTTGAGAAACTTCATATATATCAAGAATATGGTTGAGCGATCATGCGTAACATTTGATTATTCTCTTGCTTTTTACAAGTTTATTAGGAAACAAAAAAAGCAAACATTGAGTCATTTATGGATAAATATCGAAACCTAGATCTTACCGATGAACAATCTTATTCTATATTATTACAAGGTGTTGCTGAATTACAATCATTAGCTGCTGATGTTGGTATTGAACGAGAAAAACTATCATCTATCTCGGAAGAAGAATACAATAAATCAACACACGTTTCTAATGCAGAAGAAACTCTACAAGTCATTAAACAAACAACAGACATAGCTCGTTTTGCTATGATTTTACTCGTACGTGGTGCACAAATAGGTGCATTAAATGTAAGTCACAAGTCAAAAATTTATAATTCGTTTTCATCTGCTATATCTTATCTACGTGAAGAATACCGTTCACATCAACCTCCAAAGCATTTATTAGTTGAATGGGAAGGAAATGCAACGCTGATTGATTTATTTACTAAAAATGAAGGACTTTATTGTAATAGACATATAGCACAAGATATGTTTGACATTTGTTTGGATACATTCGACTGGCTTCGTTCATTTGCTGACAACCATCAATAATAAAAATAACAACAATAACATCGAAGTAAAAGAAGATTCTTTTGGGAAATTATCACTTCCTTTTTATTTTATTTTTCTCATTGTACTTAATATTCATTAGATATGTTTTTTTCTTCATTTTGCTTTTTTAGAGCCTGTCAAATGTCATATCATAGCGGTGAACGGTAAAATTTAGGATTTTGGAGAATTACAAAACCGATTCGAATATTTCTATAAAACGTTATTATTTAAATTAACCCTCTGATAGATCACGAGTTCAAGAAGCTCACCAGTGGTTTCACCGATGGCGATGCTTTTCTTGAGAACTTTTTCTTGTTATTATGTTTTCTTAACTTATCATTCACATGGAAGAACGATAATAAAATAAACCATAAATAGAAATAGAATATTTATTCTATTAACATTTTCTTCGTGTACTTCATGTGATCTTTCAGTTTACAATATTACCATAATTTAAATTGTTTCTGATTCATTTCATTATCAACATAGATAAGAAAATACTTTTGTTTCCATTATTTTATCAAATTAAATCTTTTGTCGTGGACGAACCATCGTCGAAATGAACACAATTCGTCGCTTTTAGAAAATCAAACTATATATATATTCTCGTTGATTTTGAAAACGTAAATATATTTATATAGAATTTTGTAATTCTTTATTCCGGCGTGGGCCTATAAGATGGAAAGTGCTAAAAAAATCATTAATGATTAATTTAGACTACAGCTGCTACAAGACGTGTTTTTGTATATGATGAAATATTGCTGAATAATTACTTGATTGTACTCGTCTACGTAATAGATTTCTTCATACATACACATTAATGAATTTCGATCGATACCGGATATTGTATTTCTTGATAAAGCTTTTGAATACATGATTTTTTTATTCTCATGAGGTATCAACGCTCTAGTCATTTCTCTAGCATTATGATAATTACATCAATTCGTAAGCTTGAAATTTTTAACATAATTATGATAAACAGTGTTTGATAATGTATACCGAACGAAGGAACCCGTTGTTTCGAGATTGAATAAAATTTATGTCCACGCAGACGATACTTTGTCTAATACGATATTTATAGCATGACTAGATTTTCTATTGGAAAAATGAAAATTCCAATGTAGTTACAATTAGTAGAGCATTTTATTTGCGTGCATGCCATCTAAGAGATTATTACAATTTATTCAAGTAATGGTTGTATTTCAAACGGTGGCATTTACGAGAAACTTCGCCACTGAATCTGACAGATTTTATATAAGCATATTTTTGCATAGTTGAAAGAAAAACTACTTAACCACTAAATTTACTATGGGAAATTTTATTTATTTCACGGTTAATCTAGAGAATTGAAATGAATGAATTACTGATGATCATCGTATCAAATTTGTTGAGACATCTGTGATTTTCATAATGTTTAGAACATTTTTCATTGTGAGATAAATCTTTATCTATTCTAATCTGGCCTTCGATTGCACTATTTTTTAAATACAGCAATCCTTAGAGGATCAAGGTTGCCAAAAATATAGGATTTTCGATAAAAAAAATGGCAAAAAGAGAGGACGTTTTATAGACCGTTTCTGTTCAATTGTTTTGGTGTTTTTTTAAACTGCTCTGCTTGAAAATCGTCTTAATGAAGTTGTTATAAACAGTTCAATCGTAGGCAAGATCCTTGTGTAAGTTTTTTCTACTGAAATAAGTCGCTAATTCGAGCATCATTAAAAACGTTTTTCACAAATCGATAAATAGCAATAGAGTAGATCGTAAACTTTGAAAAAAAAAATACTATTTCTCATAATTAAAGGAGCCGTTTCAGATTACGGGCATGACTTCTCAAAAAATCTCAACCTAATTTTATTCGCTTGATAATCAGCATTCGTCGCTTATTGTTTTCCACGAGTTTATTTTTGTATTTTATCATAACTCAATTTTTTCTGATAATAAATAAGTGTAAATGAAAATGAATATACACAGGATGGTGTAAAATTTCACGGGTTTTCAGAATAAGTCGTTACTTTTTTAAAAATATGTTCTTTTGGTAACAATATCCTCAAGATACAGAGTGAAATTTATTTTTTCCAGGGGTATATATATATAAAGCTTTTATATCGAACTAAAACTTCACTAAAGACTTGAACCTAGTATATGATCACTTTGTGAATGATTTTTTCTTTTGAACTATTTTGTATTTTGTACATAGTATTAAACAATTTCTCAGTCAGCCTACTAAATACGAGAAAGGAAAAATACTGTTTAAAACAAATGTCACTATCATACAAGAATTTGCACAAAGCACATGATCATACACATTAAAAGTTTTTTTTTTCGTCTAAAGACAATAGCAAAATGAAGATGTTTTCGGAAATTTTCTACTTTTTTTCGATAAAATATAGGAAAATATAGGACAGAAATAGGACTTTTTTGAAAATATAGGAAAGATAGGATGAATCGCAACTCAGGAAATTGTAATAGATAATATGAGTTTACATAGGAAACACTCAACAATAGTACACATTCTACTGCCGGCTGTATATTTTGGAGTGGGAAACATCTCAATATTCAATATCACTGAACATCATATTTTTTTATCAGTCATCGTTCTGGCGTGTTACGAAAGGTCTTCTTTTGATGGCTCAATGAAAAATGCTAGTCTTCAATATTGCTTAGTCCTTTTACCTAGAATTATATTCATTGTCCTTTATTTAAATAAATATACAAACATGAAAATATATTGTTTACATATCATAATTATCATCGTCATCGTCAGAATCATTCATTTTTCGTTTGTTACTACTCGAATTCGTCGATGAAAATAAGTCATTTGTTGCAAAACTTCCACTAGCTGTTGTTGTTGTTATTGTTCCTGTTAATGGGTTATAATGATCGGTTATAAATGTTGGGCCTGTTGGATTATTAGATGTACCGTGTTGTTGTGTTGTCTTAAAAAAAATTATTTTTATTTTTATTTTTTCAATCAATTAATTCATACTTGATTTGTTGAATTTTCATTGGATGTCTCTTTCAATTTATAATTCGGTGCTAATAAACAAAATCTATCAGCGGGTAAACGTGGACCGGAAAAATTTCTTATAGGTGGTAGTGCATTGCGATTTTTAGTTTTTGCTAAGTCAGTTAATGTCTAAATGATAGAGAGAGAAAAATTGATACTCGGAATTTTTTTTTGATTTATACATCTTTTGATGGCATTGTTGAATGTTCTTCGGCCCAATTTTGACAAGCTAATTTAATATCTTCCAGTTCAACTTGTTTTCTTCCAGCATGAATTGAATATAGTTTTGCTTCTTCTAAAACGTCGGTTGTATATTCTGAAGCAAAAGAAGAAAACATTTTTAAGCATAACGATTAAATATTTGATCAATTTTACGAACGATGCATAAAATCGAGTACCATTGGAATTAGTTTTGGTTCATAATTTGTAATACCCATCTCTTGAAGCATCGTTTGAACAACGATTCCGTCTTTTGGTAAACGATTTTGTTCATCAGTTGATGCTGGATTACTCATTTTTTTCTTCAATCTAGACAATAAACATTAAATGAACGAAATAATTTATTGAATAAAAAACGATTGTGTGCTTAATTAGAAAATATGATGTATTTATGTTTTAACTATATCGAAAGTATTGTAATTTATTTTTTTTAACAGTGCGACTTAATCAATTGTGATTGTGAAGGAAGATTTTCATATCCAATAAGATAACATAAATACGAAGGACATCTATCGAAATATTAAAAGTAGTAAACCAATTATTAATTATTATTTCCTCGTACATAAATAACTTAGTCGAATATGAGATGAGTTCCAATCGGCAATAATTTTTATATTCTCCAGTTTGATGACATTCTGCATAGTTATTGGTCTAGTTGACAGGTAACATCCAAGAGTTTGGTCATAGTGGACCACGGACATGCTTTAAAATCATAAAACATCTTTAGTTTAGAATGAAATTGATGATTATTAGATGTTAATTAATAACGGTAGCCATTACAAACAACAATTAGTGCGTTAAATACAATAATAAATCATGTCAAGGTTGAAAAATATCCATAGTTTATATTACCAGCCCTGCGAATTATAAAAAAGAACAATATTGATTTATCCCATTTTACACTGATAAACGAAATTATACTGTTGAAAAATTGATCTTAAACAAAGCTTTTTGTTTTTCTAGATTCAAAAATGACCAGTGAACGAAAACGTATTTTAGTTACTGGTGGAACTGGTCTAGTGGGTTCTGCAATAAAACATATCTTTGAAAGTGAATCCAATAAAGAAAAACTAAATGAAGAATATTTCTTCATCTCATCTAGTGAATGTGATCTTAGGTATTTTTTAAAAAAAATTTATTTCAATAGAAGAACATTTATTTTCATATAGAAATCGAGAGCAGACTGAAACTTTATTTAAAAAATATCAACCAACTCATGTGATTCATTTAGCTGCTCTTGTCGGTGGTCTCTTTCGAAATTTGAGTCGTAATCTCGATTTTTTTGTAAGTCTTTAAAACTGTTTAGTTTATTAAAATGTTATATTTGTTTTGTCTTCAGCGTGATAATATGCAAATTAACGATAATGTTCTATCTGTTGCATATCAAATAGGCGTGAAGAAAGTTATATCTTGTCTGTCGACCTGTATCTTTCCTGATAAAACAACTTATCCAATTGATGAAACAATGGTATTTACTGAGAGGTTAACATTTGATTATGCAATGATTTACTTTAGATTCATAATGGTGCACCACATGATTCAAATTTTGGTTATTCTTATGCTAAAAGAATGATTGATGTTTTGAATAAGTTAGAATCAAGAAAGTTTTTCTTAATTGTATATCTGTCTAAAAATATTTTTATAGAGGTTACTCAGCTCAACACGGCGTTCATTATACGTCAATTATTCCAACCAATGTTTTTGGTCCACATGATAATTTTAATATCGAAGATGGTCATGTCTTACCAGGTCTGATTCATAAATGTTATTTAGCAAAAAGTAAATAAAATAAAATCAAAATTTTCTGCATGATAAAGTGTAATTTTTTCTTCTTCTAGAAAATAATACGCCGTTAGTTATTTGGGGTTCAGGAAAACCATTAAGGCAATTTATTTATTCCTATGATCTGGCAAAACTTTGTTTATGGGTAGTACGAGAATATGATAGTATTGAACCAATTATTTTATCAGGTTAGACAATATTTTTTTTTGTGAAAGAAATTCAATTTAAGAAATAAATGAGAACTTGTGATTTGTTTGTATAGGTATTATAAACAGGTGTAGAAATAGAACAAGACTCGATGATTCAATTTTTTTTGTAAAATATCATCTAATATTTGTAATAGTAGAGTGACATTTTTGTTTTTGATGAGCAATACTCAGCATCTGAATAGGATTATATTAACCTCTCTGTAGGGAGATTTAGTAAAATAAAAACGATCATAGTATTTTGATTAACATAGCTTGAAAATAGCTGTTTTTTAGACAACTGAAAAAAGCTATTTTTTTGCGTTATTTATATAGAGAGATTGATTAGTCTGGAATTTTTATGTTGACTGATACTACTACTACAGGGATAATCGATTGTTAGACTAATGTTTATTCCCGTTCGTTGATAACAGATATAGACACAGAATGTTTCTGGATAATTTGGGTCATGCTTTGCCAATTTTTGTAATAATCATTTATCCTATTTGAGATAAAATAACATAACCTTCAAGGTGAAATCTGTAGTAAACGTAATAGTCATTGAATAAGAATTCTCCGCTTAGCTTTAACTAATTTTCTATCGATGACATATAAAACTCGGCAACTACACTACTGTTATAGACAATCTTCAGAACGAGATCGATTGGAGAATCAACTAACCATTTCGATGCAAACCGGAAAAATGAAAGTCTTGGTTTCAATACGAATCTAACGGCTTTTGAAAGTATCGAACTACACGTTATTCTCCAAAGCAGAATAAGTCTTGGTAAGTTGGTAGTCTCATGCAGATAAACTATGAATAGAAGTAATCATTGTGCTATTTAAAAGAAAAATAGTTCACATTCGATTGAATGTGTGTCTGTTCACAGCAAAATTACTTCTCCTAAGTCGAGCCATACCATTGTTATAATTAGCACTTGCTGAGGCTATATCCTATGGTTAACTCCATATCGTCTCGTCTGGATTAATTCCAGGAGACAAACAACCAAAATATTCACAGCCATAGATTAATGATCATCCCTGTAGTGAATAACATAAGTATTAAAAATAGTAAAGTCCTATGATTGGCGACAGTCAAAACGTCACTCAGCAGAGAGCAGACAATACTCGTATTTCAAATGTAAAATGTATGTGATGTTTGACGTGATCAATGACATATGATTAAAACCCCGTTGCACATAAATGTCACATTCGATCATATCGATTGCACTGAAAACCATTCACATCTAATACTTGACCGTATAAAAATATTTCATCAAAATGCCTTCAGACTATTCAATCTATATTTACAACAATAGAATAGGACGAATGATCATCACTAAATAGAAATGTTTGCTGAATGACATGTTAATTAATTTGAAAACAAAAATTTTCATCCGCGATCAGATTTATTTTTAATGTAAAACGGTTTATTGTATCTAGGCAAACAATTTAGAAGTTATTCTTGTACTTAAAAAACTCCCTTTGAAAAAGTCAATGCCAATGGTTTTGTTGTTGTTATTTTAGTTGGAGAGGAGGATGAAGTATCAATAAAAGAAGCTGCTGAAGCAGTGGTTAAAGGTATGAATTTTCAAGGCGAAATTAAAGTAAATACAAATTGGGGATAAATACGGCTGAATAAATAATCTTGCTTATTTAGTATGACACGACAAGAGATGATGGTCAATTTAAAAAAACTGCAAGTAATAAAAAACTGCGCAGCTATTTACCTGATTTTAAATTCACATCATTTGATCAAGGTTTGTTTGAACTTTATTTATTTTCTTTAATAGCTTTCTCTTTAATAGCTGTCAAATTTACTTGTGATTGGTTTGAAGCAAACTACGATAAAGCTCGCAAATAATCGATTAGGAATCTCACCATTAAATTTTATATACTAAAACTAACCTTTTAGTTTCTTTTCTTTTCATTTACACAATTGATGGCGTAGAAATTCTTTGAAAAATAAATACAGTTATATCGATATGCACACAAAAATAGTTAATTGAAGATATAATTTATAAATCGAAAAACGTCTCTATGATAATGACATTTTCCCGTAAGACAACAAAAAGAAGTTCATGATCCTGTTATATAACACAATTAGCACGTTACCTCGCATAGAGAGATTGCAGAAGAGCGAATGATAGGGAAAACTATTAGGCCAGAATATTAATGTGTCTTATACATACATATATATCATCACATACGCTTGCCTGTGACAGCAATTTAGCAACTCTATTGATCTTAGATGAGCGATAACTTATGGAATTCTATCGGAGACCTTCATCATATCAATAACTTATAATGTTCTGTAAACAACGACTTGCTCTATCATTTCTTGTACTATATATTGTCTATTATTTTTTAATATAGATTCATTAGATACGAAATTTTTCTTGAGAACGTGTCAATTCTAAAATAAAATCAATTAAATGACATCATAATGATAAAATCTTTTTTATGCGCCAAGCTTTCAACATAATCATTATGCTAGATAAATCTAGACCTTGTACAATATCGCAAGATAGTAATTCAAGACGTTCGAATATCAGTTTGTCCTATGGGACATACAGTATTCTAATAATTATTTCAACTCTTGTTTATACAATTTGTCTATTTTCATCTGAAATATGGTTTACAATAAAACAAAATACTCGTAATGAAACGATTGTTTATTTTCAATCGAAAACTATTTGTCTCAAACATAACGATAATAAATTTTGTATTGAACCCTATCTGCCAATAAATCAATGTGATGAATCTGATATAATTTCATGGACAATTCGTTGTTCTACAAAATATTTTATTTTAGCCAATCAAACATCACTAAATATCTGTGATTGTTTTCAAATTCCATTAACAAATCTAACCTATCGAAATAATACTTTCATATTCATTCTTCTTATACTAACAAGTCTCATAACGCTCAGTAAATTTTGTTCACCAAAAGAATGTATTCTGAATCATATAAATAAATATCTTCTTTTTATTTTTCTTATTACAATAATTGGTTTTGAAATTCATTTCATTTATATTATATTCAATGATAAACGATCAATTGAAAAATTGTATAAAAATTATTTTTCGATGATTCAAACAAATTTAAGTATATTTTATTCATTTCAAATATTTATAATGATTATTCATCTTATTTCAATAATAATACTCATCAGCAATTGATATGTCAATGGTGAAATGAAGATAATCGATGTTGTTTTTTTTTCATTTAGTTTATATGACAATGCAAAGAAGAAGAAAATAAATAAAAAAAATTTTCTTTGAACAAATTCATCATAGAAAAAAGAAACAAACTTCACACAATTAATACGGCAAAAAAAACAAACTTGTTATTTTTGTCAAAGAAAGAAATTATTATTAAAAAGACGAATAACCTAAAAAATAATCCAAGAGAAAGTATTGATATTTCGATCGTTTTTCTTTTCTTCTTTATGTAAGAGGAGAAAGTCAAAATGAAGCATAGTATAAACACATTGTTGCTAACAAACGAAGACAAAACAGGCATGAAAAACTGTGACTAAACAAAACAAGAGAGAGAGAGAGAGAGAGAAAGAGAAACAAAGACAAAATACAACAAGAACTGTTCATAAGCAGTAGTGGCAAAACTCGAGAGAAGGATTACAATCAAAACCAAAATAATCGGAGGAGCAGCACGAATAGAACGAGAAAACAAAATCGCGAACAAATAGTCGCGCATTCAAATATGTGAGAATCTTTATATTATATGAAAAATAATTATCGTGATAAAAATGCAACACGAAGCATTAATAATTGCCGTTCGTTATCCTTTTCACCGATGGCAACGATTGTTCGGTTATGTCCAGCCATATGTATATCAAGTGGGGTCATATTAACGGACATATTCGATGCTATCTGGCCTGTTTGCATACGCCATAAGCATACAGTTCGATCGCGAGAGCCAGTTGCTACTAATTGATTCGTTGATATACAAATACAAGTTATCTAAAATAAATCAAATCATTAGGTGTCTTTTGGTTATTCGTTCTCTTTTCTATTAATATTCTCATTACTTCTCGATTATGTCCGACTAATCGCGAAATAAGTTCCTTAGTGTTTGCATTCCACACTTTCGCGATACCATCGGCACTTGCTGTCACAAAATATGAACGATCAGGCGATAATTTAATATCAGTAATTCTATCTCTATGTGCATTTTGTCCGTTATCAGTTAATGTTTGTATACGTTGACATGACACAACGTCCCAAACAACAACTTGTCCATTTCTTGTTCCCGTTAATATTTGATCATTATTTAAAACAAGTGTACATTTAGGATCGGCATCGATTGTTACTGTTGATGGTTGAACTAATTCGTGCGGTGTTGTTAAATCGAATACAACATAGTTTGTTGATGTTGATCCTGTTGCACAGCCAACAATAGCATAGCGTTCGTCAGGTGTTAAGGCAATAAATGATGGTGTGTCACCATAGCATTGATTTGTGTCTGATTTGACTTCTTTTGTTAATTCTGAATTACTTAAATCAAGTACACCAACAGATATTCCACGACCAAATTTTTGATTACCAGCCATAATAAGATTATTTGAATTATTACTTAAGGTAAATGTAGCACATTTTATTTGATGTGTCAATTGAATGGGTTTTCCAGTATTAACATCCCACATCTATACAAAATCAACATATTTTCAATGAATTATTTGCTTTTTTCTTCTAAACTTACTTGAAGGACACGTGCTTGAATATCACTACCGTCTCCTGCTAGACCAACAAGAAGTGTACCATTACATGCCAATTCAACTTTAATACAATTAGCACATGTTCCATGCATACTTGAAACTAATTGACCACTCTACAACAAGAGATATTGTTGTCCTGCGAAGGAAAATGTCATTTTTATTTTATCTTACCACAGCATTCCATATTTGTGGTGGTCCTTGGCTTTGTCCAACAATAGCATATTTGCCATTGGGTGTCATACTAACCGAATTAATATGACTGAATTCATAATCGGTTTGAAAACAGCCATCCATTGCATTCATTGAATAGCCACAAGTACCACCACAATCACCTTCCCATGTTTCAAATGTATCTCGAAATCCGTCAACTACTTCGCCGAGAACATAACCAAAGTCGGGAATTGGTGGTGGATGATAATCAGTTTCAATAAAGCGTTCTAAAATGAAGAGAAAACACAAATACCAAAATGATCATTTATGAATTTAGGAAAAAAAACGGTCAAGTCAAACATGCAAAAAATAACGAGCCGAAATAGCATTTCATTTCATGCGTATTCCTACGTTGTGTATAGCCTGTAGATGTTTGTTGTTGCTGATTATCGCGAGCAAAGTCACCATGACGTGATGACATTGTTGGATAACTAGTAAAAAGACCAGTAGCGTTATCCATAACGCCATATTCTCTAACAATTTCTGTAATGGGATCACTTTCAAACATGTACTATTCTAATGGGATTTTAGAATGGTTAACTTACCTCGTGTTTCTTCAATTCTTGTTGTTTCCAATGTGTCTGCTGCTTTAAGTAAATTCTGAGTTTCAGTTTGCGTTGCATCGGAAACAGGAAGTGGTTTTGGAGGAGATGGTTTTGGAACACAATTGCGAGCTAGAAATGCTAGTGCAATGCCAGCTAAAAGTAAACCAGCAATCAATGCTAGTATCCAACCAATAGGACCAGCACGACTACTTAAGGAACGACCATAATCCACTAATGCAGCATTTTTTGGACCAGTAATAGCAACTAAAGGTGTCAAAGGTAGACGTGCTGTTGTAACAATTAATGGCCCTGGTGGAGGTGTTGTTACTATACGGTGAAATAGAAAATATATCGTTATTTTCAGTTTTGAACAAAACCAAAAGACGTTGTCTCATCATACTTAGAGTTTCACAAAACGTTCCGGTATACTCTTCTGGGCAACGACAAACACCATCTTCACATCTACCATAATTACAATTCACATTAGCACAAAGATCTGCTGCAATAGTGAAAATTTTCTTTAGCGACTTTTCTTTTCTAATCAAAGAAACTTACGCGGAATTCCACATTGAGGTCCAGTATAACCTCCATAACATTCACAAATACCATCGCGACACTGTCCAGAACCACAATAAACATTCGCGCATGGATCTGGTGGAGTATCTAAAACAACAATTTCGAATCAATAGGTACTTTTTTGCTAGCCTTAAAAATGATTTCGTACAGTCTCGACAATCGTCGCCATGATATGGAGCTTGACAAATGCATCTACGAGTACCACTTTCTGGAACACATTGACCATTATTGGCACATGGATACATCGCACATATATCATCTTTAAATAAGCAAAGAATATTAAAAAATTTCTGTATAAATTAAGTTCTAACAACCTTGACAACGGCTTCCTGAACGGCCAGTTGGACAAATACATCGAGCTGCACCTCGATCATTCATACAACTACCTCCATAACAGTCAAAACGTAAACATGGATCGACTAGATTATAGAAAATAAAAATAGTCTATAAGAAATTGAATAAAATAAGAAAATATTTCAGTTAAAACTATATCTATATACACGCATGTAATCGAGCAGGACAAGCTAGCATTATAGATATGCATGCAATAAGGAAAAATAGCCAAACATAAAGGTTTATGATTAGCTAAACTATAAAAGAAATACATTCATATGCATCGTTATTGTTATTATTATTACAATTCAAGAGTAAAATAAAAGAAAGAATTTGTAAGTATTCACAAGTTGAAATACTATACAAACAATATCGAACGAAAGTTGAGTTTTAATGGTTTATTGAAGCCTTGTCAAGAATTTCTCTTTTTCTTCTTCTTCTTCTTCTTCTTCTTTGTGTGTTTATTGAAAGCGTACGTCAACTGTCTGTTCAAAAGAATCAATCACTCTTATTTCATCAAAGCATAAGACACCCTCATAGCCAGGCAAACATTCATAACAAGGAGGTGTTCCATCATGCTGATAAACTAGACACTGTCAATAATTGAAAATCATATTATGACAGTCATCCAACTCCCCATGCAATAAGAAAGAAACAAACAAAAAAATAAGCAAGAACAACATGCTATTGTTTTTCGAATACTAATCCGAAAACTCCCAATGCATGATCAATCCTATCACATACCAACTTCTATTTCATAACAATCCGATCCTCGGTAACCAAGTGTACATTCACACGTTGGTTGCTGTTCATGTAGACGGCATCGACCTCCATTGTAACAAGTAAAACTTGTACATGGATCTATTGGTCGGTCGCATGCTGAACCTTCATAACCCGGATTACATTGACACAATGGTCGATGTCCATCTGGATGGCATCGACCTCCATTGTAGCAAGTAAAACTTGCACATGGATCTACTTGTCGATCACATGCTGAACCTTCATAACCTGGATCACATTGACATCTATACGATGCACCTTCGTTAACACATCTGCCATAGTTGCATGATACACTAGCACATGCATCTTTATAGATAGAAGAAATAAAACAGAAAAAAAATTATTCATCAAGAACAAAACTACACTCATTTTAATGGCATTCTAACTATGGCCTATTTTTTTCTTCAATAAACTAGAAGTACAAATCTATAGCTACAGTAGGAGAAGCAGTCCATTCGCGAGCATAGCAAACTCACCTATCGGTGTAAGACAATTGCGACCTGTATAACCTTGATTGCATAGGCATATAACTACACTACGCTCGGCTTTACATCGGCCAAAATTACAAGTGGCTTTGGAACAAGGATCTAGACAAATTTGATATTTTCATTTCTTCTATGGGATCAGATTTTACTTTTTGAATTAATTTCGTTCTCGTTCTTTTTTTTGCATACTTATTTATTTCATTATCATATTTTTACGGTAAATTCTTTTCTTCTCTTTACTTTTTAATACATATCAATGATCACACGTCTCTCACATTATGCAAATTAACGGTTAGTGACCAGCTCAATTAGAGCGAGAAGGAGAATGTTCATTTACATACACATTTGGCCACCTGAGCGTGCGTGCAACTCATGGGTGTACGAGCGCGATCTTTCACTACTCTAACGGTATGTATATTCAATGTTCAATGAAACAAAATTTGCATAATGTTACTTTTTCATGTGTATGTACAGCATGGTGCGATATGATGTAAAACTCGACGACAACTTATCACCTTGAATCTAATGTTGAACTATATCTCTTGAAGAGAAGTGCGCTGACACAAAGTAGTAAAAAAAAAAGAACGCGAAGAAGTAATGATCGCTTTGTAGAGATAAATATTTGTATAGAATTATGTAAAGCTTGCACAATCATATCTTATTTTGGCACTGATCAATCTTACTTATCGTTCTGTTAATCCACTTATGAACTCGTTTAACTTAAAGTGGCATCCAATGGGCAATTATTATTCTACTATATATAGAGAGTAGGTCACATAGAGTGTTGTCTTACTTTCTTTACATTTTCATCTAATGAAGAAAAATGTTACTCTTGATCTATTCATCATCTCTCAATAGTGTACTCGTTTTAAAACATTTTTCTTTTCAGTTTGACAACATACGTATATATATATATATATATGCATAGTTCGACTACTCTATCGATATGAAAATAAAAATGATTGACAACAAATTTTTACAAAGACACTGATTGATGATTGTCTTCGAGCGTATACCAAAATGAAAAATATGTCTCAATTTTCGTATTTTGATTCTCTACTTTACTCACTAATGGAAGTTGATCGTTAGTGAGTGTTGCATCATCTTTGAATTTGTAAAAGAAAGAAAAAACTGCTAATACTACTACAACACCTACTTCTAATAGTAAATATACACATATATATGTTCTTTTTTTTCTTTTTTAACGTACCAATTTGATTTTCACACCGTGAACCAACGTAGCCATCATTACATGCACAATAAGGTTGATTACTACGATCTTTTTGACAAGTTCCATGATGACATTGATAACTTAGACATGGATCAGCTATGAGAATAAAGAGTAGAACCAATGGAAAAATAATAATAAATATTATTTAAATGATAAAGGAAACAAAGATCGATAAAAACCTTGACTGAAATTAGTTTTCTTTTACTTGCACGTATAATTCTTTTGTTTGCATAGTTACCTTGATGTGCAGAAGAACAGAAAAAGAGCAAGAGATAATATCATCGAAGGGACATATAATCCTCCTCACTCACTCACATATATATATACATAGACAATACCCAGCCTGATTTATTTATTTCTCAAGGTTATACCACCAGTCCCGACATCATTATCACGTTGACGACAAATGGCATGCGCTCAGCATGCATTATGAAAAGCCCGAAAGAAAGAAAAAAGCGAGAATTGTTTACCTGGTTGTTCACAGCGATATCCGCTATATTGTGAAGGACAATTACAATAAGCTAAAGTCGTTTTAGTTGCTGGTTGTATACAATAACCACCATTAAGACATCGGAGTTGTTCGCAAGGTGTCCCTAAAGAATGAACATATTTACACGTATTAAATGAACCTCTGAGAGGTGATGTTCATTTGACGCATATGTATATGGCGAGTAATGGAAGGCACTAATGTAAGAAAGATTATTAAAACTTACAACAGCCAATGTAGCATGGCACGGAACCCACAGAGCGTGCTTCATATTGAGAAGATTTTGGTGTAGGAGCCGCCTCAGTTAAAATGATAATCAATAGTAACGGAGCGAAGAATTTCATTGTATATAATAATGAATATAACAAAAAAAGTGATGAAAAAGAAGTGTGTCACTCTTATATCGATGAATGCACGGATGGATGAATCACATCATTATAAGTGACGACTAGTGTTGAATGTATTTCTTCTTCTCTTCTTTTTTTTGTATTCTCTGCTGTTTTTAACAAGGCCGATGAGTAACGTATAACTGTTGATGTTGGTAACTGTATGTATCTCAAGAATGAAACAATATCAATGATGATAGAAAATGATAAAAGTCGAAGATAAGTACATTGACGAAAAAAAGAAGTGAAGGAAAAGAAGATCTTTTGCCAATAGTGTAATTCGGTTAATGTAACGAGCGGTGTCGATTGATGATGGTGAATATCGTTTCAAACTCGTCTTTTACCTCCTCCTACTCCTCTCAAAGCAATCGCAATAGAAACACGAGAAGAAATGAGAGACAGACAGAGAAAAAGAAAGGAATGGCGTAAGATGCAAACAAACACTATACCGCAAACCGACGGTGACGACAACGACAGCGATGGCAGAGAAGAGAGAACGAGAGAAATATATAAATACACTAAGAAAAATCAACTCTATATGAGCAACAAAAGAAGAGAAGATATGAAAGTAGAATGGTTGATAATATCTTGGATTAATAAGAACAACAGCATCAATAAGGCAATAGAGAAGATACTATATTGACATCATCTCAACAAATTTCTCTCTCCTCTTATCACTACTGGTAATACTGAAACCGCAAGTTGTTGTCCCGATTGTCGTCCTCTTACGATTTTTTCTTCTATTCTTTTATGCACACATATTGACTATGGATGTATGTATGCTCACGCACACGTACAAACGGAAAGAAGAAAGAGAGACTAAGGCAACAGAAAAAAAAAGCTTCTTATTAACATTAAAAAATGTACACGAACTACGAGAAGAACGATCGTATAAATATGTATTTGAGAGCGCTAGCGTTGTTCGAGCTAGGATGTTCGAAATATTGTTCGATGCAGAGAAGACAGAAAAAAAGCAAAAGTGCAAGCATGAGTGAAAAAAAGAGAAAGACTTAATGAGAATTTGCCGAAAAAAAGTCCAAAGAATTCGTCGAAATGCGCATCCATCTAACTCTACGGTTTCGTTTTTTTTTATTCTCGTTCTTCTTTCCAATAAAAAATGGTTTATCGCTACAAATCTCTTGACATTGCTGTCGCCACATCGATTTGAGTCAGAATTCAAGGCTACATTGCCCATTTTTATGCATTTAATCTCAAATATACGATTGATTTAAAATGATGTTCTGCAAACACCTGTGCAAATATAAGAAGGCGCTTAGCAAAAAGTGAATGTATAAAAAATTCTTTTCTCTCCCTCTTGTTTTATGTCTAGCCTTTCATGTATACACATATACATATATGTCAATATAACTTACGTTCAGGTACATCTGCACGATTATTCCAGGTAACACTATAATCATAATCAATTAATTCCGGATTGCGTATCGCGTTATGTATTAAATTTTCATGATGATTATCTGCCATAAATATAATCTATTTTAAAGTCAATATAAATTTTTTTTGAAACCTTCGTAGTTATTCTTATATTTATTTATTTACTTACATCTTGAACATATCCAATAAAGTTTTTTCCGCATAAGTAGATTTTTTTATCACCAAATAAACTAAAATATTCAATAAAATATGTATAATGTCGTGTTTCATCATCGAATGTTAAATCAATCTAAAAAGATGAAACTCAAAGAATTAATTATTGATGTAAAATAAAGACAAATATACTGTATTTATGGTTTTTTGACATTGCAGAACGTGCCATTGATCGCCTCTTACACGGCCAGGAAAATCGTATGTATAAATGATTCCACCATTTCGAATGATTAACCTTGGATAATAATTCTAAAATTTTCATAATATTTAAATAAACATAAACCCTTTGATTTTCTAAAGTATACTTGAATAATAATTGATACTTGAATAGTACCATTCGTTGATGTAAATAAAACTGCATTAGATGATATTGTAAATATCATCAAATGAATTTGTTCATAGACTCCAGATTCAATATGCGCAGAATATTGAAGTGAACCTTTATTATCATCCGCATTAATTAACGATGATGACATACAGACTAATGAGCAATCTGGTTGACCACAGAATTGTAAAGGTTGAATATTAATGCAAGGCATTTGTCTATCACATATCAAATCTTGCTCATAAATGCAATCATAACGATCAGATTTCACCATGTCTTCAAGTAATAATGGACGATGATTATATGTTATATTGGCGAAACACCCAACAAATTGATTAATAGACATAACACGATATGACCCGCCAATAGTTATAACATCAAAAAATAACGACAACGATGAAAGGTTAGATATTATTATACTACGATTATCGATTTGTATAGATAGATTTTTCGTTGAAATTTGATGAGAGATTAAAATATAATGTTGTTGTCCATCATTAATTGTTTCATTGTCATGAAAAATTAATTGAGAGCTTTTATTATCGGTTGAATCATAGGTTAAATGAAAGTTTCCATCTTTTAGAAAAAGAATAAGAACACGATGGTCAACATTTGAATATATTGATGCTATGATACCATTGTATGATGGAGTTCGAAACGAGATTTGACAATGATAAAATTCTTCATTGGGTAGAATTGGAATTTCGATTATATCCTGAGGATCACGCACGGAAAAACTTATATCGGGTGAAATATATGAAATAGCCTTTGTTCCTAGAAATAGAAAACGAATTAAATTTTTAATCGAATGATTTAGGCACGTCTGAAATAATCCACGAAAACTTATGTAATAGATTGACTAAGCTTTAGAAAGAGAACACTGAAGATATTCACTGCCTATATTGATGCGTTCTTAGACAGTCAAATTTAGAGAAAATGTTTTCTAGAAAACTTCAAATCTGCAGGCTGTTAACGTTATTCTAATTTAAATATTTCCTTTGTAGATCTCCTTGCAATATCGAAATGCAAACCACGATAGAGTGACTGTTCCAAATCTCAGGGTTATTATTTTATTCTATCCATTTAGAGACACATGTCCCAACCATCATTTTACATAATCTTTCATCAATACAATAAAGAAATATTACAGATATTATTACAAGACGTGATTGATAGACGTTCTTGGATCATATGTCAACAATGTCTGTTAAGATCTAAACTTTAACAATCTTTTTAAATCATGTTTCACATAACCATGAACTCAAAACGACTAATCACTTTCAATTTTTTTGTTGACCAATGTTATCTGTCATGTCATTTTTTCAAAACGACTATTTGAACTTCTAATGTTAATATAGAATCGTGCCTTTTCTAACTTGAATAAACGAAGCATTTGCACTCTGACATTGAAATCGATATAGTATTTAATGTTACATTAGGCTTCGAAGAGTTTCTCTATGGATCTCATTCAAAATTTAACTTCAGCTTTGATACATATTGGATTTCAATCGAAAGAAAACTGATCCGAAAATGGCAACTCTGATAGTATCAATATTGAGACAGCCGATATTCATCGTCTTTCTGTGAAGAATAACTATTATGCTTCGATTTTCTTTCAATTAGTTCAACTTACGTTTACGTTCAGTTATTTGACAAGTATTTATTAATCGATCTAATTGATTAACATGTTCAAGTTTAACTATTGATTGTTTATTTAACATGACATTTTCAATGCAACCAATAAAATGTGCTCCGTCGACATTGGAAAATTGTTCTTTAATATAACTATCTAATTTTCCAATGTAAACCGTGCTAATATAAAACATTTCGGTCATATTTTCCATTATAATGTTTCCATCGAGTTCAAATAGCAGATCGTTTTGGTGAATCAATTTAATAACTATTTTATGTTCATTTTTATCGTTGACTGAACGGTTCGTTGTCATTTCTATTATTTTTTCTCCCTTATTGTAATATGTTAAATATAAATATTCATTTTGAACGGTTAATATCATAAAATTTTCATAGGTTTCATCAGCTAATGAACCAATAATACTATTCGCTTCTTGTGTATAAAATAATAATGAAAACATGTGAAATTCTTCTGGATTGTCCAGAATAACAATGAGCGGACGATCGTTATCTCTAAATGAAACAATCCGATCAATATGAGAATCACCGATGGATTTAATTATAATATTATTCGAAAAACACTGCTGCCGGTTCGACGATAAACCTGTGAATATGAGAATTTCATTATTATAGGTTACGTTTTCTATGCAACCGATAAATCGATTATTTAAGCCGAACAGAAATTTTTCAATAAATAAAAATGTTGATGAAAGTTCAATAGAAATTTTCTTATTCTTATCGATCCATGCTTCAAGAGTTTGATCATTTAATTGTAATTCTACATAATAGAATTTTCCATCATTGATAGGTGTTCCTTCTTGATCGGAGAAAATTCTTTGTACTTGTCGATCTTGAATGAACAATGCTAAATAACCATCAATATCAATATTTAAACTAATTTCATCGAATTGAATTATTGTACTAAGGTTTGAATAGGTTCGAAATGAAAACGAAAGATTTTTAAAGAAAGCTCTAATTGCCGATGGAACAATAATTGGATTATTATCATTCGGATGAAAGCCTAGTGTTCGAAGAGATTCAGATTGATTCACAACTGATGCAATTGTTGTTGTTGTTGTTGTTGTTGCTTGAGACTTTTCCAAGCTTTCATCTGAATTATCTTCAATACGAAGATTTAAAGATCGACCGGCATTAGTAATACTAATCTGGATAAAAGAAAACAATTATAATTATTACAGGTGGTACAGTGAGAGCGGAAAGTTTAGCATAATTCTCTTTTTCAAATAGATTCATAATGATATTGATTGAAAATTTATTTCTAAAACAAAACTGATACGTCTCAACGTTGTGAATAACCTTTCATGATCGAACTGCTCTTGATCTATAGACGACTTCGAAACCTTTCGTAGGTTGATTGTGGTTCGATGAGAAAAGGTTATATCGAGCTTATCGATGTTTTATTTTACGATGAAAAATTTGTTCTATCAATTGGTCTCATTGTCAATTGGCGAATCTACACACAACAAGTCTTTTACAATGTTGATTTTTCGAAGATTACCTATCCTGAAAAGTTAGATGGAACCTTTACATCATGAAATGCTTTTCTCGTTCGTTTCAAGTGATTATTCATATGTTTTAGATAAAAGGTTATGAAAAACATTGTAATTTTACGACGAAGAGAGTTAAAATTATGTACTATTTGCATGTGCTGTTTGCTGGAGTGTGATTTCGAATGTTAGTTGATCTGAAAAAATAGAGCATCTCTTCAGGAAGATACCATTTGGTGATATTAGACTATCTTGATCGTAATCTAATCGTTCTATTAGAATTACTCGTTCGACTATTAGAATCATAGGAACAAAACTTGTTTATTCCTGAATCGAAACCTAGAAGAATTTCATTTTCTATCATTTGCAACTCACTTTTCTCATTCATATCCATGATAAAAATCTAATCTATGGATCAATCTAAGCCTTGAAGACTAAAACTACTCATTCGTATCAAAGATTGTTCAAAATAACTTACATCACCAATATTACCGCTAAAATTACCATCGGGTACAGTTATTAATTCTGCTCCAATGAAAACATTTCTTTTCGCTAGCCAACCATCTGGTAATTCAACATTCGCTTGTTCAATATTGTCAAGAGTAAATGTCAACTGAAAAAGTATCGAACATGAAAAGTTATTTCGAGAAAGAAAATCTTTATCTAACCTTTTGATTAGACCGTTCAACATTCAACTGATGCCATTGCCCATCAGTAATTAATTCTGTATCATTCTTTGTGGTTAAAGTAACATAAGATAATTCACCTTGTGAAAAAATAATGTTCAGTTTACCATTCTAAAAAATGAATGATGCGAATAGATCTATTTATTTTTCAAGTTCTCAAATAAAACAAACTTCAATATGAAATGCATAGCTAATATTTTCATAGGCAAATCCAATGAGAACAGTAATTGCTTTTGACGTTTGTTGATTTGTACGGATAGAAAATATAATCGACTCAATTGAAGTATAATCTTCTTCATCGGTGGCGTATTTCTTACGTGTCTTAAGTGTTGATGAATTTTCAATAATCGTTTCCTGTATTGAACTATTGCTATTGAATGTATCCTCTATACGAGTATCGTCTAAATAGAAGCAAGAAAAGAATAGACTAATATTCATCCATTAAAAAGGTGAATATCGATATTCAATATTCTACTTGAGCTCTCGATCAAGAACACGTGAAAATGCAAAGACAGAAATATAATAGAGTCATTTCTTTTTTTCTTCTGAAAATTTCTCTCGGGATAATTCAGCTTACCGACAGTTAATGTTAGATTGGCCGGCAATTTATTGATAGTATTAATATCATCATTTACAATGATCGAATATGATTCATCTTGACATAAATATGATTCCATAATAATCAAGATTGAGATAATATTAAGAATTCGTTGCGTAAATCCCATTGTGTTTTAATCAAATAAATTCAGTAATAACTATTGTGTTCAGGGAAGTTCATATGAAATGAAGAAGTGATCAAAGAGAAAGCTTCTATATCAAGAGAAAGAAAAACACATATGCACATTGTATCTTATTGTCTCTCTCACGCTGTCTCATTATTATAATACTTGCTGTTCAATAACCATAATCCAAACGTTAAATGAATGGGGAGGAGAGATGATGCTTCACCCTTTTATATATGCCTCGATACGTTATATTCACCATTGAACATTTTTTCTATGTCGTTCAACATACGTATTTATATTTTAGTCATTCATTGAGATCGTATAATGAAGATGAAGAGAGAAAATGGGAGTAGCAGGCATGAGAGCGGACAAAAGAAATTTCGTTTATTCTAACCTATATTTAAGAAGAAAATCAAATTATTTCAACGTCACTCTCGAGAAGACAATGAACGGTTGAAATTGTTTTGATGGTCAATAGCATAATACCGATTAATGTCTGCCTTCTTTGTCTATCGACAACGAATTGAATGTGTATTTATGAATGCCTACAAGAGTATATACGTTAATAGTAAGAATTAGGTTTGTTACTCTCTGATGCATAAGTTTGATTGTCTATTCAATCGAAAAAGAAAACGAAAAAGGATTCCAATCACACACAAAGTAATGGTCAATACAGACGTGTATTGGGCAATAGCTTTAATCCGCCTTGGTTTTCTTCTTCATACTTACAATAGCCTTAGACGATGTCGGGTGAATTTTTATACAATTATATGTATTTAATCGAATGAAGGGTGTACATATGTCGCACAAATTGAGATAAAATTAAAGAACAGTGTAAGTTTTATGTACCCGTCTTATAGCATACGATAAATTTCTTTTTATTAAAGAAAAAAAAGTAATGCAAACATATTGAACAAATTGCGTCAAATAGCAACTAAGCTCGCAATTTTGCTATTAAGACATAATATTATGTAAGAAGTTGTAGAGTAGTAAAACTCCTTGATATTACAATAATTATGAACAACTATATTTTAAAATAGATCAACCAAAAAAAAAAAAAAAGAAACGATTCATATTTAATGTGCGTCAGGTCAGACACTGACAAAATCAATAACCTGTTTTTTCTCTAAAATGGCCAATGTGTGTCGTTCGATACTTTCTTTCGAGAATTTCATATATCAAACAAAAACACTTTTTTTTCGTCTCGTGGTGGATATCTTTAAAAGAATATCGAACAGGACAGTAAATGCAATATACACTTGAGAATATAACAATCACTTTCTAATAGTACTCAGAATAATCTTAAACTTGAACACAAAATAGCGACATGAAAATATTGTTGATAGATTTGACTATCGAAAATAATTAATATAAATGATGTAATATTCTTCGCTAAAAGCAATTGTATACATAGTCATACTCAATAGATTAGTTAAAGAGTGTTCTACAGATCAATAGATTGTTATATTTTGTTTTAGATATTGGTAAAATACTAATGCACAAGCTCTCTATTGAAAAGATGAAAAATTCTTTTTAAAGAATACTTTTGTCATTATGAAGAAATTTGAATACGAATGAATTGATTTCTCATGTCACCAACTTATTAGATTGATACAAAAACAAGTTGACGCAACAAAGTTCGATTAGATTGTTTCGCATAGAAGTCACGCAGAAGAAAATGAAAGTGATTTATTAAATTTTGTTAAGATCATGTCGATTGAAAATATGTGTCATTGTCAAGTAGATAGATATGTTAGTAAGCCCCTCAGGAAAGTCTTATATCTTTCTATTCTGTTATTATTGCACGTTTAATAGTGCTTCAGAAGAAAATGGCACAATTAGTCACTCTAACGAGTATCGCTGTTGTCGCGACACACACTCAAATACGCAATAATAACAAAAAGGGAAAGATATGGAATTTGCATATGTGCGTGTTCACAACGCATCGATGTAATCTTAAGAAGCCAGCATCTCTGCTAAATAAAGAGAAGTATACATGTTCAACTGAAAATGATTTACAATAATAATAATTTTTAATTGAAATGTTGGCATATCGATCGTCCTTGTGTCGACCGTAATACCAAAAAAGAGATTGTGACGATGCGAAATGATGGAATTAATATATACCCTCGAGAATGATTTTGCAATGTATGGATACGGAAGGGGAAGCATTCATTTTAAATCTTATTGTCTAATTACTTGTAGCTTTTAATCAACTGATTTCTAATTAATTTTGAATGAAACGAGTTTTTTTTTCTGTTACAAAATCGTTAATGTGATTTATGATTCGTGTGACTTTCAAAATTTTGATCGGCTATAATTTAACAAAAAAGAAAAACGATAATATGCTCATTGAACTCATCCGAATTTCATAATACGAGCAAGCTTCAGTGTCTACTAAAATAAACAATCACATGAGTTCATTGATCAACGATTGATTTCAAACTTGAAACAATAAGAATTTATTTTTGTGCTCGGTTCATATATTTTTTCATAAATCGAACCTTATTCGTGACATGAAATTGTAGATATTCCTGTTCAAAAATACTTGACTGCAAAAAAATAGATCTTCCACCGCATACATATGTTGAATCGTACAGTGGCCATGAAAACAAAAGGAAAACGTTGCTATCAGTTGTCAGTGTCAATTAGATGCATGTTGTGTTATTTTCGTCGACTATAGAAATATAAACAATTTTTTTTACAATTAATCACGATTAGCACATGCGAATGTCAACATTTATTATGGGACTGTTTTGATGTCACAATTGTTGTTGATTGACAAAGGAAAATATTCTAGTTGTAAGCCAGCAAATACTTTCATTCAGACAGGCTGTTTTTAATGTCATCGTCAAATTTGCTATAGAAAAAGCTTATCTCTACTGATGTACCGAATGGTACCTGAGTCCCATGTGCGCAGAATAAAAAATATAGTGTCCGGTACTCTCAATTGCTATGAAAGAATTCGATTTCGTTGTTCTACGGATAGAAGAAATTATATATTTCATAAGAAAAATATTATCTATAGAGCCTGTTTCTTGGAGAGAATAATAATGATGATGAAGAACCCATGGAAAAGTATACCTTCAGCAGGAAGGTTTTGCATATATCGAAGATCTAAGAAACAGTCAATTCAATTAGTTGAGTTGGGTTAAATGTTTTACTGAAATTGGCAATCCATTTTTCTTTTTCAACATTGATTATTCAGTATCGAAAAGAGAGAAGAAAAAGTGTATGTACTCTATTCTCGCGTGAAGCGTATTGCATGTGAAGTATCCAGTGAACATTTTCCAATTCAACGAAGCGAGTTAAATTATGCATTTCAAGATTGGGATGTCTCTATTGATTACACGAGCAATATGTGATTGGGGTGTTCCAATGAAAAGATTTAAAATAAATTTAACTTTTTCCTTTCCGTTTTTTAAATAAATAGCTGTACATCACTAATACCGATGCAACAATTAAAGAGAAAATAAATAAAATTTTATAAAATAGTACACCCGCCCTTTTTCTTTTGTTCACTTCTTTTGATGGAATGATTCATATTTGTATTTGTATTTGTATTTGTATTTGTATTCGCATTTGTGTTTGTGTTTGTGTTCGGTATTGAAGGTTTTCTACTTTGTTGATTACGCATGCTAGCATTCGGATCAGAATTTGAACTAGAAATAGAATGCGATTTTGATTTAGATTTAGATTTAGATTTCGAAGTCGAGCTTTGTCCAGGAGTTGCATGTCGTGTATTTGCACTAGCCGATGTGGTTTTAGACGGGCGCGTTCGTTGAAGCTCTCGTCGACTAATGGATGAGACACTATGTGGTTTGCTTGAGTCATAGGAGCCCAATAATTGGTCTCGATAGGGTGTATCATGTTCACAATGGAAAGTATTTTTTTGCTGGCAAAGAGAACAGCGGAAATCGTCGCGTACAGATGCTAAACCAGAATACACAGCCATGTATTTTATCAAGAGAAGTAAGAAAAGTAAAAAAGGAAAGAATAAATCTAAAAATAATTTATAATATGTCAGTAATGTTACTTATGTATCTATTAGAGGTAGACAATAAGAAACACATTCACTATGACAACAGTGAGCACTAAAGAATCAGATGTACCGATTCACATGAGTAGTCAAGATACTTATTTTATTGATGAATAACAATACTCATTTGTTAGCAGTGTTCCATGGCATTACTCAGAGAAGTAAAGAAAACAAAGAGATTGTTCCTTAACCAAATAAAAGCTCAATTACGATCTTGAAAGCATCAAGAAAAGCATAAATTTGAGTTTCGATGAACTCACTTACCGTTTATTATTCATTTTTCTCGCAATAGGCACTTATTTTGTACTCTCAATAAAACAAATGCTGGGTTGAATATTTACTATAAATTAGTTTTTCAAGAATTTACCGAGTTTCTTATCATTTTTATTTAATAGTGTCATAAGAAGAAACCCGAGAAAATGTTCCCGCTACAAATGTCTTTTAAGTTTTTAATGGAGTATAGTAGTATTATTTATACGTAGATTGCCGGCTTACTAAAGACTGTGAATTCATACAATAGTTCCCCTACATAAATTTACTGAGCAAAAACAACAACGCTTCAAAATAATTGACCTTGGCTTTTTTGTCCCCATATCCTTCTAATTATGATACTAAATTCTTACGTAACTTTCCTTTTATCATCGAGCTTAGACATATAACTGTATATTTAACGTATAATGCCTAACAATTATTTTACAACTTTATATAACATATATACTCCCCTTCGGGGGATATAGCGGAAGGTTTAACAAGTATCATGCGATCCGAACAAACTAAGAAAACGTTTATGTCAAAGAAAATCTTCTCATAAAAAAATTCATCCAAATCTTGAAATTGGAGAGAATGTACTTCTTGTGTTTATGACTGAATCACTGATCTTTTTACTTAAGTACTTACCGCCTTTGAATTGATGTAATGGCATCAACTGATCTCTATTCGTGTATTTTTTTCATGTAACGAAAGAAGGAGAATAAAAGAATTTCAATGCTGAACTGGCGTCGTAAACGTTTCTTTTAATATATTTTTTCTGAATAATGCGGCGTTTTTTTCTTTCTCAAGATGTTTTAATAGTTGAATGCGCCACGCATGCTTTCTCTCTCTCTCTCTCTGTTGATCAACACAAGAAAAATTTGCTACCCAGACAACCAATCAACAATATATTTTATAGTGAATTTATCAAAAAAATAACAGATCACACTCATAAAAAACATAATAACCTTTACACTCACATAGAAATGATTAAATTCTTTTGTGATCGAAAAAGGTGAAAATAATTTTTCTTGAATATTTTTAATAATTAACATTTCATTTAATTCGTAATTATAATTTTACTATTGACAGATTATATTTCATCTTTTTTTTATGTTAAGTAAATCTATTATATTTGAAATTCCACAATATCGTTATTTATATCAAAAAGAAAACTCCATTATCATCCACTTTTGATGCAAGTGACAAGAGTCAAAAAGAGATCAAACGTGATAATTCTAATTGCGATTGTTAGACTTCCTGAAATGCAAATTTCTTTTACACATCGAAATAGCAGTTGTCTGAAATGCATTATTACAAAGCTATATTTGGCAGCTGATATATTATAATTAAATCCGTAGAAGAAAATAACTTTCGCGATTTCATGATAAACGAGAAATTCCGTTTTTCTCCATGTAACTAAGTATTGTACCAAAGTAAACTCTCATCATCACTGCATATCGCACAGCACTGAAATTAATTCCTTATTGAATAAAAAACTTATCGTGAATATGCATATTTCCCCTTTCATCTTTGATCGCAATTTTAATCTTTCACAAGAATATGCTTAACACGTGTATGTATAGAAAAATCTCTTTGTTCATCAATCACGACAGTATAATTATTCTTTCACATTCAACTTCCGGTAGAAATATGAAGATGTTGTATCATAGCCATGAAATTTCGCATAATTTATAAGTTCAAATTTCATTCAATTAAATATCGAAAATAGATCACTAGAATGAATGAAAGAGAAAATCTTATTCGAGATATTGCCCAACAACTGCGTGATATTGGCGATAAAATGGATCGTAATCAATCGAACTCATTTACATATCAACAACTGACTAGCTTTATTTGCTCACTAATGTGTTATTTTAAATTTTTCTTTGCATTGTAAATAAATAAACACACACTTATCCAACTGATTGACACTCTGCGATAAAAATCGAAACATTTTATCTTTTTCTTTCACTGAGCGTTAAACCGAACACATCGTAATTCATTATCAGTGAGAGAAAAAAATAAAGAGTTACAGGTAAACATAAATAAAACTTACATTTTTATTATAAACGAACGTCAGCGAAGGACATGTTACATCGTTTGCACCGGTTTATTTAAGTATTTTCAAAGATATACGAATCATTGTCTTTCTAAAAATAAGTGCCCGATTCAGCACCATCTTTTCTCTTGAAAACGAATAAAGGCTTCGAGTACTAGAACGATGGTAGAAAGATAAGTAAATTATGTTATCGGTTGAGTCATCTTTATAGCCATGTGCGTTCAAATTCGTAAAAAAAAGATAAAAATTCACAATGTTTTAGATATTAAAAAAATAAATATGGCAACTCCATCTCCATCACCTATTAAAAATGAACTAGGAGACGAATTGTATTTCACTCATGAACCACATTCACCAAACACATCTACATATGATACATCCCTTGAGAATATTATGCCACCTCACACAGGTCAAGTGCTTTCAACATCATCATCTATTGATGTTGATGCGCCAGTTTCATCATCCAATGAAACGACATTTGATCTTTTACATGGTTTTTCAGCTCCAACACTACCCGTTTATATTAATATGGGCTTAAATGAACATGCCGATGATGTTCAGTTTGCTGGACGTACAACAAATCAACAATTATCACAGTCATTAGCAGCTATCGACGTTGATCATACAGCAGTTCCGACAACCGTTCAAAGATATAGTCAACATCATCACCATCATTTTCCACATCATCAACAAAATCGGAATCGTTATCCCTATTTGCAAAGATCATTGATTGCAAAAGCACAACAACGAGCAGAAGTTTCAACAACTAGCCCAAGTACTTTATCCTATTATGAACAACGACCTGCTTTTCGACGTTCTTATTTTGCTTTACGAAGACAAAGAATACCTAGAGGTATTGTTTTTCAATATACAATGAATTTAATAAATAGTTTTATTTCAAAATATTTTCCCTGTAGCTCCACCAATGCCTAAACATCTATTTCCTGGTTATAAACAAAACAGAACATCAACATCAACAACGGGACGTACCGGAGATGATAACGAAAATGTAGAAGAAGAAGAAGGCAAGTTCATGGTTCTTTTAAATAAATATCATTCGTTTCCATGAGGCTTTCGATCGTTAAGTAAAAGTCTTTATTGAGATTTTGTACGATGAAAATCATTTTCGGGTTCGAAATTTTCAAGTTCAATTATATCGGTATGTAAACGATCAACATCGGTTATCATCACTATCGGTAGTGATGTTGTTTTTAATGATGATTGAGATGGTAAGAACGTGATATTTGTAAGCTGACTAAAATTAGTGTTGGTCGACAATTGAGATAATTGACGTTTCAAATTGAATTGATGATGCGACGATGAAGAATGATTTAAAGGACCGATCATTGATGATCGTGAAACTTTTTCATGAAGGTTATTATTTGATAACGATAGAGTTGAATGAGAATAAGCAAAATTTTGACAAGCCGGATAGTGTAGATGAGATGATTTTCCAAGTTTGTTCGTCGATGTTAATGTTGATTGACTGTAGGATAGATTTGAGATCGCTGCTGTATTTGAAAGTGCCAATACGAATTGTTCTTCGGGTATTCGTTGGTATGATGAAATAATATTTACATGTTCATGAAAAAATTTCGATCGCTCCGCAATAAATGAAACTGACGCATAAAAACTTGTCGGTTCATCATCGTTTTGATCACAATCAGAAATATTATCTGCTTTCGATGAATATTCATTCGGAATTAATAATGGCGATGGTAATTTTAATGAATAATTATAAGGAAAAAATTTCAGATCTGCCTTTATTTTCAAATATCGGTATGTTTGAAACAATAGAAATATTAATCCAATAATCAACCAAAGAGAACATATCGAACCGAATATAATAAATAGACGTTTAAATAATATTAATTGTTCTATTGTATTGGTTGACATTGTCGATGTTGTAGTGGATTATCATTTTAATAATAAGATGAAGAGTTAAGAAAAATGAAATACCGATTAATGTCCTCAAGATATACAGTGAGGAATTATGCTTTAGTTATTTTTTTGTCTCGCATAGTTTCTCGTTAAATGCTGATGTGAATGCCTATCGTTATTATATTTCTTCTTTTTATCTCTTGTTCATCTTTTATCTTCTTCTTCTTCTTTTGGGAGAAGGAAGGGGAAGCCTTTTGTTCTCTATATGAATGTGAGTAGGGAAACGGAAGGAAAAATTAGTGATCGGGCACGCATTGGATAGAGTGATGCGCTTATAATCATCCGGAGTAATTTCATTGTTCTATATTTTCTTAGGCACACACCGAAATGCACAAATATTTGCATCATAGGAAAACTTTAGATTGAATGATTGATTGTTACTATTATTCGATTGATTCTATAGATCTCTATTCACACCTGATCATCAATCGATGTTCTTTTTAAAGTTTTTATCGTCCGATGATGAAAAGATTTATCGAGTGTTGTGATTTTTCTCGTTTAGATCAACCACCAGCGAAAAGTTTTTGGGTTATTTTACGTTTGGTCTTCTTTTTTTTTGCTATTGAATTTATGTATGCAGTCGAAACAGCGCTTACCGTACCTATTCTAACTTCACTACGCGTACCTGAATCGTATGTTGCCAGAAAAAATTAGTTATTGTGCCTTTTAAATGTCTTTTATTTGAGATTCTACTCTATGGCTTGGCTTATAAGTCCAATTTTGGGCTTTTTTCTTCAACCAATTGTCGGCATGTGGAGTGATTCATGTAAATGTCGATGGGGTAGACGGCGGCCATTCATTCTGGCCTTTGCTATTGGTAAAATGGTTTAGCCAAAATTAATAAGAAACAAATAAAATTTCATTTTCTTGTTAAAGGTGCTTATATTGGCGTCACATTGTTATTGAATAGTTCAGATTTAGGTGTACTTTTTGGTGATTCAACAGCGCCAAATACAGTTAGAGTTTTATTTTTATAAATTTCTTTTTCATAAATTTCTATTTCTAAGGTTCCATATAAAGCAGTCATATTAACTGCTATTGGCGTTACATTTCTCGGTAAGAAAAGAAAGCATAACGATTGAGTTGAGAGCTTTCACACAAGATGTTTCAACGGGTTAACCGACTTTTTTCAATATTAGACTAAAATGACAACTTTCATTCTCTGCTGGGATAGGTTCCGAACTTGAAAAGGGTACGAAGTCAGTGGTGGATCTACCAGTTAGGCTACCCGGCGATCGCCACCCCCCTTACGAAATTTTTTTCGACTTTTCCCAGCAGAAATGCAACAGAAAATAGTCGTTCTGGCTCAACTAGACTTGAAAAACTGTTTTTTGGCCAGGAGCGCCACCCCCTAACAGATTTTCTGGATCCGCCATTGCTACGAAGAAACATTTTCATTCGCTCGAATGTATAATATAGCATTCAAGGTTGTAGTAGAACATATTTCGAAGACATGAGTCGAAAAAACAAGCATTTCCATGCATAAGATTATTCTGATCAGAGACACCTATCGGGAGTACGAATTTTGATAGGAGATCGTATGAGATTTTTGCCAATGTCTTCATTTAGGGTAAAAAGTCAAGTTAATCATAAGTAAAGTACAGCCAAGAAAGTGTCCATTTCTCCTGGTTGACGGCAGATTCATATCTATTAGGACTGCGTAATAAATCGCTAGTAGAATGAAGTCAAAAGCTAATTTGATTAAATGAAAACTCCTAGGATGATGTGAAATGAGTCGTATTCTATTAGAAATATGAGATTAAGGCGAAGATTTCAAACAGGATACAATTATATTTTCTCTTTGAACTTTTTTTATATTCCGACGTTTTGAAAACTTCATTCATAACCGATTAACCCTACAAATGTTTCAAAAGAGCCGGTTTCTTTTGATAGTTTAAACCTTTTATTGATGACTTCAGAATCAGCCGAAAAAAGATAATAACGTCTTGTGTCAAAACTTAAGACTCGCTCATTAGATTTTTCTATTTGATTGATGATCTATTGAATGTTATGTAGATTTTTGTGCCGATAGTGCCGATGCACCTGTACGTGCCTATTTAATTGATACAACAAATCCATCGGATCAAGAACGAGGATTCAATATTCATGCTATTCTTGGTAAAGAAATGAATTTTATTTTCGAATTATTTTAATTCTTATTTTATTTTAGGAGGTACAGAAATAATGTTAAACTAAAGCTGAAAATAATATCCATTTAAAATAGGTGTTGGCGGAGGTTTAGGTTTTATTATTGGTGCTATTAATTGGCCATATATCCCGATGTTTAATAAACAAGGTAAAAGTTTAGAAAGAAAACATTTTTCAAAATAATTTGAATCCCTTTTCATTATCATAGGTGGTGAATTTAGTGTGATATTTTATTTTGCTAGTTTCTTATTTATCGTTTGTTCAATATCAACGTTAACAAGTGTTCGTGAAGAGCCACTTATATCATCTTCATTGTCATCATCAGCATCCCGCGATAAACGTGATACCGAAAATACTAACGATGATGATCAAGCGGAAGTAGAAATCAATGAAAAGCGTCCATTACTTACACTGCATCCAAACAGTTCACGAGCACATACCAGCACAAATAAAAATAGTCGTTCAACAGCAAATATGTTTTTCAATGATTTGAATAAGCAAGAGGGTTTTGTTGAAATGGATCCGGGTACAGGTAGACGTATACCTCATGATGATGTTGAAGAAACAATGAATTGTTCGGAAATTATGAGGAAAAAAATTCTTTTCTAGACATTTATAAACAAATGAATTCAAAGAGAGATTGGTAGCAGAGATTGAAAATCTTTGTGAATACTGTTAGATTTTCAGATAGAGGATTTAAAAGAAATACAACATATTGACTCAGATTTCACAGTTAACCAACTCTTAATACGATTTTCTCTCATGTAAATTCCATTCGAAGCTTAGCCCTGATGTTTATGAAGTGATTTCTCTCATCTGAGCAATATGTTCTGTCGTGGAAGAAAAAAACTTCGTATTGTTCTAGAATATCAAAAACTGATTTTACGTGTTTAGAAATCCCAAAATCGAGCACAGAGGCTCTTGCTTGCTAGATGCGATCTTGTCAGGGAACGTACGCATTTGATTTCAGCCTTACAAAAAAAAACTGCTAGGAATGCGAAGAAATATACAAGAACAATATTTTTTCCGAACAATCTCGAAAGAAACAAATTTTGAACTGAAACTCAACACCTATCGAATTCCCCTTTAGACAATAAGTACAAGCGTAATCTTAGTCTTGAAATCCAATCGAAACTGAACTCAAAGTTTGAGCACGTCCTGTAATCAGCTCCATAAAAATAATAGCCATTGTGTCGTAAGTTATCAGAAATTCTGATGCTGAGGTTTAGTATCAAACGGTTCAGTTTGCGAAGATAGCATAATTTGTAAACAATTCTAAAGTGAAGATATTTTATTACGAACTATGGAACGCTCTCATCAAATTGTAGCTGCATCATTGGCCAGTAGCGATCCATCAAATAACGCTCCAGTACCAACGAATGCATTCGAAGCTGAACTTAAACAAAAAGCAAAACTAGTTCAATTAGGTATTGGATTGTTAATTTATTTTGTCTATCTACTAAACATTTGATTTTTGTATTAACAAGGACTTATGCGACGTCCTGAACATGAAGAGCCGGATGATTATGAAGAAAAAGACAAGGTAACAATTAAATCAATGGTTGTTTCAATGATTCGAGTATGTTGCTTTGTTTTACATTTATAAGAACTATATTCTTTTGAATGCTAAGATGCCTCCTCGATTATGGAAATTAATGATATGTCAAGTGATTGGTTGGGTTGCTTATTTTGCTACTCATTTATATTTTACTGATTTTGTTGCTACGGTAAAAACAATTAAATATTCTTTTCTCTGACGAACTACAATAGTTTTCTTGCTTTCTTAAAGGCCGTTTACAATGGCACTTTCGAACATGATGATGATGCTGGTTTTGAACGTTACAAAAAAGGTGTTGCAATGGGCTGTTGGGGTTTAGGTCTATATTCAGCTAGTACTGCTGTTTATGCATGTAAGTGATAAAACTAAAATGCATTATTTTGTTTTATTAAGTTATCATTTTATTTAATATTAGTCTGCTTGGAGCGATGGTTGGCAGAAAGATTCTCTCTAAATTCTCTTTATTTTGTTGGCTATGTAGTATATGCTGTCGGCTGTTTGGTGAATTATTTTATTCATAATGTTGTTGTTAATATTATTATGTGTTTCACTTGTAAGTTTTATTTTCTATTCTGTTAAATTACTTAATTATTATTATTATTATTCTATTTCAGTTGGAATGTTAGTTGTATCATTGAATACTCTTCCATATCATATGCTTTCAAAATTTCATACTGATGAAACCGTAAAGACCTTTTTTCTTTTCAATTATTTCAAAAAAATAAAATGAAATTTTTTTTGTTTCGTCCAGTATAGAAATAAAGATGGTACAAAACGTGGCATCGGTGTCGATTGTTCACTATTGAATAGCTGCTATTTTCTTGGTGAATTAATAGTGGCGGCGTCGCTGGGTCCATTGCTGGAGCGTACAGGCGTAAATACTTGCATGCTAGTGGGATTTGGATTTTCCATAGTGGGCACTGTATGTATGTTTTTTTTGTTCTTTTTTAAAAATTAATTTTTAGTACGAGAAAATTATTTTTGATAATTCAAAGTAGTCTTCAGATAATGAATTGTGTTTTGTAATTTGGTTCTTTTTTTTTGTCTACGATTTGAATGAGAGTTTCTGGTGATTCTATAAAGTCAGTTCTTCTTTTTTTTTTTGTATTTGCATTGATGATTATTTTTTGTCTATAACCCCTGTATGGTTCAACTGTTAAAAACACTTTTTCTCTTTGTGTGCATTATATTTCGTGAAAATAGATTTACATGATCCAGGGTTTTTTCATTCGAAACCAATGGATCATTTAATTAAAAAAAACAGAAAAACAAGATAAATCGATCGCCTGATTTCTTTTTCTATCATGATTAATTCTTATTGCAGCGGGATTCTCAATATTTGTATACATGCACGAGGTTATGAAGGCAACCAAAATGGAGAATAAGCATACCTGCACGATTTGAAAAATGCGATATTTATCGTACTTCAAAGTACTATGATTGCACTTTTTTCTTCTATTCTCGTCAGTAAGTCACCTGATACTGATACTTTCTTTTTGTTTGTTTCAGAATAGCTGCTGATAGAAACAAAGTAAAAACAACAACAAAAAAAGTGTGGCTTTCATCATTTACCATACGCATTATTTTGTTGCATGATTTTACATATGTGATGCAATGAAAGTTTTAGAGAGAGCAAAGATAATAGTAGCTCCGTGAATTTAATTATAATAAATGCGCTAGGCAGGCATGCTCACAGTTCACATATAATCATGACTTGTAGACGTGGCTCACGAGCAATAACAACACGTCAGAGAACGTGTGAGTGTAGATCGCTAGCATGTGAATTTAATGGGTTTAGGTTTTTAGGAGTACACTTCTATGTCTATTGGCGCTTTTCTGAAGCTTTCTAACTGATAATGGCGTCATTACCGGCACGTTGGAATTGATGTATGAAACCATGCATAGCAAGAAAGCCTCTTTAGAATAGAGAATGTCACAGTTCTCTATATTAAAATTAATTCGAAAACAGCAATTACTAAGTGGCTTTTGTTTTTGGCTATAGTCAATTGTTAGAGTGTCTAGAATACGGATGCTGTCGTTGAATAATTGATTAAATGAAAAACAAAAAGTTTATTAATAACGTGTAGATTAATGGTTTGGATTATATTTCGATTAGTTCATAAAAATTAATGAGTAATAAAATACTTGCTTAGCCATCAGTCTTAAAATAAACCTGGGAACATGAAATACATTGGGGAAATTCTTTTCCATTGAAAATATCGATAAAAAAAAGGAGGACATGTCAGGTCATATGTGAGCCATTTATAAGTAGGTCACGATCTTTTTTAATATTTGATATATTGCAATGATCATCATTAAAATACACATTTATTTCTTAACAAAATACATACAAAAAGAAATCAATGAAGAAGAAAGAGACAGAGCAGAAAAAAATGGGAGAAAACAAATGAAATTCATAAATACATTATTAACCAAAAATATTCTTTTCTCATACAATAGTAATAATATTGAAAAAAAGAAAGAAAGAAAAAAAACAATATTTATAAATAAATATCGATAGGATGTAATCTTGAATTCGAATTAAAATAAATTCATTTTTTTTTATTGAAAAATACCTAACATTTTTTGAATATTTTATTTATGCTAATGAAGTTTTTCTTTTTGATTGTTGGACAATCATATAACTATTCATTAAGGAATTCGCAGAAAACAATTTGTACCAATCAAGAATTTGTTGCGACGAATTTAATTTGACTTCTTTTAAACCTACTTGACAAACGCCCATGAAAACTTTCCGATCTAATTTACTATAGTCGCCCCAAACGCTGATCTAAAAAACAGAAAATTGTTTTTACTTTGCTTTTTTCTTTAATGTTTTAGTATTACTTGTAAAACTTTTTCTCGAAAGTTTTCTTTAAACATAAGTGTCTGTTGAATAAGTGGATCGAGTGTGCGACGCGTCGCTCGAGTACGTTGTTTCTCTATGCATGTTTTCCCATCAAGTAAATATACTTTCACATATGGTGCTATTTTAATAATCATTTAGAAGTTTAATTATATAGGGAAAGAATGGCAAACCTGGCGGCGTTCTATATAAAGCTTTCTGAAGTAAATTTCTGGCTCTTACGATTTCAATTTCAAGCAAGCCTTGATGATTGCGAAGACCTATTTGAATTTCACCATGACAAGGAGAAGCGAGAACTTGTCGTCCAACTAATTGTCCTGTTCCTAAACCCTCAATAAAATCAGCAAATTGATGTTCATGAGGCAATTTGAGTGCACCAGACCAAAGCCTTCGAAAAACAAAAATGACAAAATTAATTCATATTATTATGAAAAGTTAATTATAATCTATGATTATGCGCTCTCTGAGATGGAATTCCCTTCGTTCTGAACATAATTTAATCGAGAGACTGACATTGTCGGCAAAGCTCTAGCTGAATATGAATAGGCGAACAAAGAAGAAAATTCTCTCTTTTAATCATCGGTTCATCTCGATAGGAATCCTACTCGATGTTATGAGGCATTGAATGATATTGATCACGTTGTAGATTTCGATTAAATGGTGATCGCGACGAATCTGAAGGTGGAGCACTACTTGGTGTTTCATTTTCTTTGCTTAGTTGTCGTTGCATTGCTCGACTACGTAAATGAGGTTGCACACCAATTTCTTCACTTCTTTGAAACCCATATCTCTTATCTAGTAGAATAAAAACATGTAAGTCGGTGGTCTATAATCAATAGTAGGATGATTACTACTGCCAAGACTTGATGAACTATTGGCTTTTTTTGATAAACCAAGTATAACAAAAGCTTTCGAAGACATTGATGGTCGTTGCTTTTTAATTAGCTCCGATGGAGAACTTAAAGCTGAATCAGATACAGTACCATCATTATGTTGATCAATTTTAACTGTTTTCTCATCGGGAACAATAGTTGTCGGAGGGACTACTGTATTCGTTTTAATGATCGTTGCTTTATTAGTAGTATCCAAAGTTGTTCTTGTTTCATATGTACTCATAGCTAATTGTCGAAGTTCTTCTTCTCTTAATTGTACTTCGTCAGTACGATGAAATTGATCTTTGGCGTTCGTTTGCAATCTATACATAATAGTAGATCATTTAGGAAAAGATTTAAAAAACGATTTTACCGAGTTTTTCGTATAATTCCAGGTCGTTCCGATTTAGCTGACAACATACTAGTAGAACTAATTTTCGATGCAGACGATAATTCGGATCCATCTGAATCAATATCATCACCGGGCGCTTCCATAGAATCTATAATAGAGTTATTTGAACTAAATGAAAGTTTAAAAGCAAAACCAAAAAATGATTACATCGTTTTGTAATAGCTCGTCGGTATCGATCTTCTAGAGGTTTCAATTTTGATTTTTCAATACTGGCTCCATCTTCTCCCACTATAGTTACTCGCCGTGTTGATAGTGTTGCATGCGGAGCACTTCGATCTCGTATGATTGGTATACGTGGCTTGTCTTTGATCTTACTTGCTAGCAATGTTTTTGATGTTGATGATAAATTAGTCATTGATTTTCGTGAACTACTATCTATTGTTGACGAAGGTTCGTCCGATATTGCTCGCTGAATAGAATCTGCATGATCAACACTATGCTGTTTTATTGAAGCTATATCAACTTTTGATTGTGAATGAAGACCTAATTTAATCTGAACAGCCTTTTGGAGTAACTCTTGTGAAACTGCAAGGAAGAAAAATTAAAAATAGATAAAATCCTGTTAACGAAAGAAAAACCTTTTTCAGTATTGGCTTGTAGTCTTGCCAGAGGAATGTCTGGCAGCTGTCTTTTACGATTGTTAGCCGTTGGTGGACTGCAAATAGATTTAGTTATTAAATTTGTATTTACATGATTGATGATTTCTTACATGTCGACTGTGGACAAATATGTACGATCGAGTAATAGTCCTAAATATCAAAAAAATATTAAGAATATGTCGTTAAATTTTATCGTTTTTTTCGCTAACAAACCGGTTGATGTATCATTCAAAGAAAACCATTCACATTTATTATTTAAATTAAGTTTATAAAGTTTTATTTCTCCTAAAATATCTTGATTATGTTCGAGATTAATTAATTTAACGCATAGTAAAATATTATCAATCGGTTCAATATCAAAAAATATTATCCGTTGATTCCATATACATATACCAGAAGAGCATGATTGAGCCTTTGTACATTTTTCTTCTTTTGATCTAGAAAATAAATCAGATTGCCCGTAAGTAACAAAACACATCTGGAAGTTTTAGTTTACAATATATCACGTCCATATTGCAATGATAGCTGACAAGCAAATAAACCTTGCCGAAGAGGAATATTTTTAGCACCGTATATCATAACATGCAAATGGTTTTGATCATGTTGAAATGAAAGCTAAAATAAGTCAGTTTATTGTGATAAATTAAAAGAAGAAAAAAAAAAAGAATTGTACTTGTAATTGAATACCGCCGTTCTCTATTGTTGATGATATTGTTTGATCTTCTAAAGAAGAGAAAAAGGAAATAGTTTTGTTTTAGTTGTTTTTTTTCTTTGATGCATGAAATCGAGTCATTGTATCTGTTTGATGAACTCAACGGAAATGACCCTATGATAATTATTATCATTTTTCAACATAACATTTTTTAGAAGAACTATTCATGCTAGTACTTGTTGTGTTAATATCATTGAGCTCGATGTGAGCTGTAATGAACTTCGGAAGAGAGATGAATGCCGTGTAGGAAGTCTATTTTCTTTTTTTCTTCTATTCTGACGAAGGCTGAGTTATGTTGTTAAGAAGAAAAGAAGGGAAAAAGAAAAAAAGAATTACTATTCATACGACAGTAAAACACGATAGATGAAGAAAGAATAAAGTACAAATCATTCTTTAAGAAGGAGTATTTGTTCAAGCATTCCTCCACCATCGTTTTTCTCTTTGTCGTTCTTGTTTCCTATACAGTTCATTATGATTTTCCTCATTCTTAACGATAAAGGAAGGAAGCAAAAACGACAATGACAAGTGTCGCACACAATGCAACAGAAAAAACGCGAACGAAATAGTAACTCCTAATTATCGAACTCGTGTTTTTGTTGTTGTTGCTTACCTCGAGCGGTTCGGTTTGCCGATAAAGGATCATTGTTAGACAATGCGGGATGTCTGGAAAAGAAAAAGTTAAATTGTAAAGATAATTGGCATATATAAATTCTTTTTATTGGCTGTTTAAAAGTAATACCTAATTAATCTTTTCACAATCATATGAATTTGTGGACTTTGCATTGAATGTTGCAAAATAATTCGATTCACATCTTGTGGACTAAGATTTGATAATTTTTCACCGTTCCATTCAAGTATATGATCACCTAAAACATATATTTCTTTTTCTTTTTCTTTTTATCTCTTGCTGTCACTCTTTTTTTCTTTCTTAACTAAAACTTACCGACTTGTAATTGTCCATAATTATCTGCTATACTTCCTCGTATGACTTTAATAATTTCTGTAATATATTCATTTTCATATCGAACACCACATTGTATTCTTAAACCTAATGCATTTAAAAGATCTTCTTTATTTATTTGTTTTTGCTCGTAATCATATGTTGTAAGATTATTTTTCAAATAAATATAACCAATTTGTTCAGTTCGTGTTTCACTAAAACACCAATACGTAATTGGCTGAAAAATATTTAAAAACAAAAAGAAATTTTTAGTTAAAAATCTCCATTCATTAATTACAACACATACAAAACATGCCGAACAATATCAAAATGCAAAAACCTTTTTAAATTGATCCGATGATATAACATTGAGTATGGTACTTGAACTAGCTGTATCGATACCGGAATCTTTTAATGTAGATTCTTGGCCTGATTCTCTTTCTTCAAGTGAATGATATTGAAAATCTCGTAGGATATTTATTGAACGTTTATCTTTTTTCATTTCAGGCAATAATCGATTTTTATTATCACACTTAAACATTGACTCAGGTGATGAAATATCGCCATTATCATTAGATATTTCTAGTTTTGGTGAGATATGCTTTCGATTAGCATCATGTTGGTTCGTTTGATTTTCATGAAAATTTTGAGATAAAATATAATCCGATAAATATTGTTTAGAAATATTATTTGTTGATGAAAAGTAATGTTCTTGTTTTTGTCGACATGGATTACAAAGATAGTATTGTGACTTTAGACGAATACCACAGTGTACACAGAAGCGTTTGTTACATGTGGAACATTGACGAGACGATTCTTCATTAGCAAATTTTGTATTTTGACAAATTTGACAAACTCCAGCTGATTGATTTGACTGGAAATAGGGACGGGAAGATACAGCTATGGGTGGAGATGAATAATCATCTTCTGGAGTTCTAAATAAATAAATAAATAAAATGAGTTTTTTTCTCATTTTTTATTTTCAATTAATATTTTTATTACTGAATTTCAAAAGACTCGCATTTTTCTTGTGATCGGTGTCGATGAATAACAGCTTGGATCTTTTTTTTTTCACCATCAGTTAAATGACTTAAATCAGGTGTCATATCCATTGAAGAGATAGGATTTCAGAGATAAAACATATTTTTTAATGGAGTCTAAAGTAAAGTAGAAAAAAGAAAGCAGAATGATTATTTTTGTTCACAATTTGTTTTGTAAAACTATAAATACCGTAGCTCCTTTGGAAAAGACGGTCGCCGTTGTTGACCTCATTTTTTTATTTTTTGAATAGTCCTTTGATATTCCAGGACATTCTACGATCTGTAAAAATAAGAAAATTTGTTCAATGGTATATTAAATCTCCTGAGATCTCCAATCAACTTGTATTCGACATTGGCAGCGCAAAGTCTTTGCTAGCCACGCTCAGTAGACTACTTCCTGTTCTTGCCTTTGCTTTTATGTTCACCCGCTAGTTTTTCTTGTATGTTAGCTTTATTTCCATTGGCTTAAAAATCCATTATTCTATATTATTTTCCTCCTATTTTGTTTTTCTATTATTTATGAGCATAACCCCTTTTTTTAATTAAACAATTGTTTCCATGATAACTAAAATATTTAGGTGTAGGCTTTTCTGTGAGCTATAAAAAAAAATCAAGATACATAGAACGTTGTATTTAAAAAAAAGTATCTATATATGATTAAGTTAAACATTTTTCAAGCGGTATAATAAAAAACAAATATACGCGAATTGATGAACGCACACTGAATATACTCCAATGTATGAATATATGTAATCTTAAAATTATTAGAAAAATAAAACCAATGGAAAATGACTTGTACGACAAAATAGGGAATGATTGCCTTGTCTCTAGAAAATAAATCGCATATAAATAATCTAAGTTCATACAACTAAATATGACGATAATCCACTGAATTGGAAAACATGCTCGATAAGCAATATTGATCGACTCATTGATAAACATGATTGATAGTAGTATGCTTTTTTCTCCTTTCTAATATTTTGAATAAACAGAAAGGTCATATTGTCATTATTCAGCAACACAGTTGGCTCAATTAGAATTGTGAATTTTTTTTTTCTGACATAAAAGTCAAATTAAAGAACAGGATTATCTCTCTAATCAAATTTGATAATAATCTTTTGATTTTATTTCCATATGAATTCACATATTTCTTCTTCCTTTTTTGTCTTTTCGTTAATAAGACATTTTAAAGTCCAAATGATTCATCATAAATTCATGTCTCATCAAACAATCCGATAAATCGGGAGAGTTGAAAAAAAAGGAAAAGGTGAATGTATATATGATACGATATTCAATAGCCTAAATAGATGTGACACGATAATATCACCTATATATCCATTCGGCTTGTCTGTTTGTTTTCAACATACCTTCGAGCAATGGCTTTTTCGCTTTGATTCTAATGTGCATTTCGAATATATATATGTATATACGTATATTCATTGACTGATGACTATCCTTTATTCACCTATCTATTCATTATTATCTCTTCGGCCGGTGAAAAAAAATCCATGCTTGAATGCATCCAATATTAAGGCTGGTTGACTTAAGAGACGAAAGAGCAGGCGAGAGAGAGAGAGAGAGAGAGAAGCAATTGTTAAACGAAAAAAAAAACGAAACTACTACCTATAAATACAAGAACAAATACATTGATATACACTCATATATATATTATTTCGAACAAAAAAAAAACAGTAAGTTTAATAAAACGAAAGCATTATTCAAAGAGATTTTGTGATATTGATTTATAAATTCACATTCTCTTTCAATAGTGCCTTTGTCGATCTGCGACACACAAACATATACATACGTATATCAAGTAGACTAAATAAATGAATTTATGCAGTTTGTTTTTTGTTTTTTCTTAGAAATTATATCACAAGGAACAAAAAAGAAACGCTTAGATTAATTGTCTTCATGAATTAAATATCCGCCAAATGTTGTGTAGCGCCAACCATATAACGATGTTTTAAAATTATAATCTCCATCATCACGGGATTGAGCTTTAATATAAACTCGATCACCTCTATTTAAAAATAAAACAATCGTTGTTGATGCTGTATTCCAAACAGGTACTTTTTGATTTTTAACAGCTGTTAAAAAGCCTTCAACCCATAATGGAACGACATTCTCTGTATTCTTACATAAAGATACAGATGCCTAAATATAAAATAAAAGTTATGATAGAAATCATTCACTAAAAAAAGTCATACAATTTGATTAGCTGGCACACAAACAGTTAAACTAAATTCATATATACCACTTATCGGTGCATAATAGATACCCGATGCAGTGTTTAGATGATTATTTTTATTTAATAGTATATCATCCCAAATGACAATAGATGAATCTGTTTGTAGGAGATAAGTATTATTTAGGGCAACGAAAAATGCTGATTTTATATTTGTATAACCATCGCGACCTTCAAAGAAAACAGTAGTACAATAAAAATGAATTAGCGAAAGAAAAAAAATATTTCACCGGGTGGTCCTGGTAAACCTGGTTGACCACTTGGACCTTGAATACCTTGTTTGCCAGGTGGACCAGGTGGTCCTAACAAAAAAAAATGTTGTAGTTATTGTTAATCTTTCTTTTTATAGTACATACCAGCGGGCCCTTGAATATCAAGTGCGACTCGATTTCTTGCATCTAAACAAGACATAATATTTATATATAAATAATTAATTCAGCATTCCTTTGTGCTTTGTTTTACTTGGGCAATTAATATGTAATCTACATTGATTTGATGATACTCGTGTTGGATTAGTTCCGTAAGATGATATAACTGATTGTTGTGAATTTGGATTTTGATTGGCGTCTGGATTTCGTTTGTTTAAATAGGGTGACGGTGTCTCTAGTTGTTGCTGTTGTTGTTTAGCTTGTGCTTGCCGGTATCCATAATAATCATATGATGATGAGGATGGAACTGCATAAGCATTAGGATCGATCGGTGCTAAGCCTGGATCTGCTATAATCACCGATGAAATGAGAAATTCGAAGAATAAAATATAATAAGACATTTGAATTCCTGAAACATAAAAAGGGACAAATAATAATACTAAAACGAAGATTGATGTATTTATAGGTTGCACTACTACGAACAGTATGTGCAATGCAGCAGGTGGTTGGTGAATGTCTAAGTTTGAAATCAAAAGATGAAATCAAGTGATGTAAAAAAAAAAGAAAAAAAGAAGAAAGAAATTATTTAGAATAATTGTTACGGTTAAAAGATATGTTGAAAAGTTTTTTCTTTTCCTTTCTCTGTTATATTATAGAAATCTCGAGGCTGTATATGTGTACACTAAGAAACTCATATATATATATATATATATATAAATTCATTTTGTCACATTCGATAATTTATATTAACATAGGAACTGATTTGCTTATTCTGTAAAATAATATTGACGAATGGAAGAAGTCTAGTTTATTTCCTGTATATAAATAGTTAGTTTGACTTAAAGAGAAAAGAATGTGTACAAACAGAAATAAGTGAAAATCGAAAAAGACAACTAAGCAAATATACTATAAACACTCGATCAATTATTGAACAATGTAGCTCTTTAGCAACTTAATTTATAATTTTTTGTCTTGCTGTTGTGACGCCAAAGGGGTCGATTGAATCAGAAATATAGAAAAAGAAAAAAAATCATTGTTTATATCAGAAGAAAAACGGTGTTTAAGATCGATCTCTTCCTCTTCTTCTCCTCCCTAAGTCTATTATATTTGAATGGACAGAAAAAAAGCTGATGAAAAAATATAGAAAAAGAATAAGTGTAAATAATACACCTCTATTCTCGACATGTTGACTTCCGATTTCTAAAAACCATTTTTTATATGCGTGCTTTTCTCGCGTAAATTGCTAATAAGTCTATTAACAAGATTTAATAATAAGAAGAAAAAAGAAAAAAAGAGAAATCGAAGGTCAAATTTATACCGGTAGATTACCAATCGAATTTCTCTTGCAGAATAAATCGCTTTTTATTTTGATAAGAATATATGATCGTGCTAAATAGCCCGTAATCAAATGTGCAAAATAAAGTTGATAAGCTAACATTGTGAATTTCTCGTTTACTTTTAAACGATCGTGTTTGTTAATTAAACTGCAGAGAACGATAAAGCACCCGAAAAATGCTATCTTAATGAGGAGAAGATCTCTTTGAAATGCTGCATATGTTCTCTCATCATAGATTCTTCTCGGCAACAAAAAATAGGAACGAAGAAGCAAATTAACTTTTCTATTGTATTCATTAATCTATTCAAGGCCGAAGCCATCTGTTTTTCTCTTCTCCGATACATTGCAATGCATGAAAGACTCATCGAATAGTTATAGAAAAATCATTATTAGTAACAAAAATGTCTTTTGGTTTTATATTCATTTTACATGAATAATTCATTAATAACAAAAGAAAATCATTTTGTCCTATGAGCCGCATAATCATAAGAGACTGTTGATGGTGATGATGATGATGTTTGAAAAGTTCTCGTTGCCGTTAACTAAAAGATGGTTCGATGCATTCGCGCACGAGCTCTTCAAGATAATGTTGATCGATATCATCAAAATGTGCTTCATATTCACTATCGATATCTAATACGCCTAATACTTTTGTTGGTTCATCGTTTGCCGATCGTCGAATAATCGGTACTACGATTTCAGATAATGAAGCTGATGAACAAGCTGAAAGAAACAAATAGTTAATTTATACAGAACTTTCGAAAATAAATTTAATACCAATATGACCCGGAAAGTCGTGAACATTTTTCACAACAATAGTTTTATGTTGTCCCCAACTTGTACCACAAACGCCTTTATTTAATTGGATTCTGGTACAGGCTAATGGACCCTTCGAACAACAACAAAATTGATAAGGTACGAAATTAAATTATATTTAATTTCATAATCTTACTTGAAATGGGCCAAGTACCAATTGATTGTCTTTAACTAAATAGAAGCCCACCCACCAGAAAGAAAATATTTCTTTAAGGACAGCGCTAATATTAGCAAGGTTTGCAATTAAATCCTTTTCATGATGAACTAAACTTTTTATTTCAACGATTGTTTGCTTGTATTTTTCTTCTTTGCTGGCGTTTTTATCAATGTTATTTAGACTTTCCGGCATGTTTTTATTATCTAATATGACTTTTGATACACAGACACGCACGCTTTTATCTTGTCTTACGAGGACAAGAACAAAGGAGAAGGAAAAAAATGATTTTTATTCGTTGGATGAATTTTTATCATTTGTATGATGAAATGATTTTATTTCTAGATCAAAATTTAGATTTTTGTTTGTACTAATCTTTTGAAATTGATTATAAAATCGATGTTGAGAAGGTGTTCGATGATATTTATTCAGCATGCGCTTGTTAAACTTATTATTTGTTGATGTTGTTACTGCAAGCGAAGGTTTGTATGTTTGGTTAATAATCACAGTCGCTGTTGGTGGTAATCTCATATTCTTAGTCATCATACTGTGTGAAGTAATGGATTTTGTTTTAGTTTCATTTGATGCTGATAGTAATGAAATATTTGAAGATTTTTCAGAATTATTCTTTTGTTTGTCATTTTTTTCACGGAGAATTTTTGAAATTAACTTTCGCGTAGTCAAACTCAAGGATAATGAGTGCTTGGGAGACACTGTACGAATGGATCTACTCGAAGAACATCGAGTAAGATTTCGATTATTAAACAGTTGTGTTCTTGTTAGTCTTATTGTTGGTAAAGACAATGAACGTCTTGTCCGATGAATATCAAAGTCACCCGAGAGGAAATCTTTTCGATGCTTTGAAGATTGTAGCGAGCTTAAAATTGAATGACGTCGAATTTTCGATTGAGATTGTGGTAATATTGGTGAAACAATTGGAATCCATGGCGAAAATTCTGTTTGAAACTGCCAAATATTTAAAAGAAAAAAAGTGAACAGCCATTCAACTTTGAAAGCATTACATTATTGTTTGAGCGTCAACAAAATATGGGCGGATTGTTGTTAGCTAAGAACGAAGCAGGTTTTTTCCTCTTAAGTGATGTTTTTACATTTATTTGAAGGATCAATGTGAATGAACAGGATATGAGATGAAATTTCTAATTTCAACGTTCTCGTTTTTTTCTTTGTATCATAGTGTTTCCTTCTAGAATAGTTTGTTTAGTACAAGTCTTCTATGAAATGCTGATATTGTTTTGTTTTCGTCCTGAACAATTAACCTAGGTCAGTTCGATTTGAATAAAAAAAATCAAATTTCTCATAAGATTTGCTTTCACTGAATATACATGTAAAAATAAATAATCTTTTCTAACAAAACAGTGTACTGATAACACATAAACATGATAAACGAAGGGGGTAGTAATTAGAAAAAAGAACTCGTTTATCATGGAGCAGGATATAGTGTCTATATAGGATCAAGCATTTTGTTGTAGAAAATGAAAGCGTAACAATGCAGGAAAGGCAAAATAAGTGTCAAGAGGTTATGCGTTGCCGGTGTTGATGAGAAACATCACGAATAATGACATTGCCGGAAGTAGGGTCACGCAAACGTACCACTGGCTTCAGATGCTGAGGTTTTTCGATTTTCTCTGCATATTCACGAGCCTAAAAATACAGAATATATATGATTGTATTATTCCGGAAGGATTGATTCGATCAATCAAAAAAGAAAACGGAAGCAAACAGGATAGTGAACATTGATTGAAATATATAATGGAGTTCGTGTCCAAATATTTTTTCCTCACCTTTCGTTCCGGACAAAAAGCGAGATATAGTTTCATCAAACTGCAAATATTTATGATGATATACATAAATAATGATTAGTTACAGAAAAAATGAACTAATAATTAATTCATTCAATAAAATAAATATGAGAAGAAGAAGAAAAAGAAATATTTTCATACGCGTTGATGTTTAGGTACGGGTGCAGGACGTGTTCTCTGTTGACCATTAGCACCCTGAAAACGTTTTTGTTCTTCGAGCTTGTAATGGTTTGTTTCTTTTACAACTTTTGAATAAGTTTTTCTTCGCTGTTCAGTATCAACCTAATAAAAACAAAGCTAATCAATCCAAAAACAGAGTGATTATAAAGTTAGTTCATTCACACTTTTTCTTCATTAGTTACAGAATCAGAATTTCCGAAAGAAGGACCAAAGCCGTAATTTTTTGCAAAAGTTCTATACTCATTTACAACTGATTTTCTGCCTAGTTTTTCTTCTTGTAAACGACGTTGATGTTGTTTATATGCACTTGCATAACTACCTAGATTGAAAAAGATTCGTTTAAAAGATCGAAACATTGCTTCGTTTTACTGACCGGGATCTGGTGCCGAAAGACCATAAAGATAATCATGAATTGTCACACTATTATTATCATGGCCATGTTTGGTTTCATCGGAATGGTCAAGATGATGATTTGATGAAGGTGTTTTAGATTTTTGTTGTTGAGCTTTATGCGAATCTGGTGTACGATTAAAGTAAGCATATGTAGCTGCATGATTTGAGTTACGACTGTTTCTTTCTGACATATTGTCAATGATAGCTGTTGCTGGAGATTGACGATTGTGATCGACGATTTGTACGCGTCGCTTTTGATTTGATACAGAATGATTATTTTGATTATTGGCTGCGTATGTTAATCCTCGATTGGCCATGTGATTTCTTGGAGTAGGATAATTTGTATTGTCATGGCGAACATCGTTTTCGTTAGTAGGATGGAGACTAATTGTTAAATTAAGACCATCTTCGGTAGAACCAGTGAGTCCATGTTGATTATTAGCCGATGGATAAGGAACGCCTGTTGGTAGAGAATGATCTAAATTTGTTTGATAATTTTGAAGACCAGCAATAGGTGCTACTCGTTGATAATTGGTTGGTATAGGATAATTATTACGACGAACGGACGTTGAAGGAACATATGATGGGATATATCGAGAATTGTACATTGTATTATTCCACAAAGTCTAAACAAAGGAAATAGAAAATAGAACTGTATACTATAAAATTTATCTTCAAGTCAACAAAATAAAAATATTTCTTAGAAAAAAATCAACATATTTTATCTTTAAGAAGATAATCAGATGGTTTCAATCATCCAGCGAGTAAGAATAATAATCCCTATATTGGAAAAACCTGAGCTAAACCTTGATGATCGCCTAGAGGGAGAGTACATATGTTAGTTAGAGTCAGAAAATATTTTGTTGTTATTAAGCTTTTAATAATTATTCTGCTGCATCACTTTGTTGTCATGGATTTAAAAATAAAAAATTAAACACACCTGTACGTTATTTTATTAAGACATTAAACGCATACCGTTGTCAAATGTTAGAGATTTTTTCTTTTGAGATTCTTTTTCTTTCTTCATAATTGCGAGTATTTCTCTTTTCGATCGTTTACGTCACATCCGAAAGATAAATACAAATGTTTAGTTGTAAAGAACGCATTTCTGTAATATCTCAAGTTTCTTCTAGTGAGATTCGCTTGTTTCGTGTAATTGTGCTATTCAAAAATGTGTGCATGTGAAATCTTAGTTTGGCTTTGTGAAGTGTTTTGTTTGTCTTTAAACGTAGTAGTACTTGTCTTGTTAGCAGACAATTAACGAATTGCTTGAGATAGACTATGTTATTCTTGAGATATTTTCCATTGTTTACAAAATTTAGTGTCGTCAGAATACTTATAAAATATTAATGTTTGGTTTTTATGATGTAACTTCAATAGAACATAAGCATGCGCGATGATCCAAACATAGGAATTATTTGCTTTTTTTCCGTTTATAGCCTGCTAATTAGATCTCATATGTAGGCCAAATATACCTGGCAACAGTAGTATTAAAAAGTATTTTTCTCTCTGCAAACGGCTATTAAAAAAACTTTTCGACGGTCGTTTGTTTGCTCGAATATAATTATTTCAAAACCTTTTGATGTACAAAAAAATTGAAATTCTATTGATTTTTGCGTTTGTTTTAGGCTGATTACATAGTAAATCACTCAGAAATGTGATAGAATGCAAGAAGAATATTTGATTTGGATTATATCACAACAGAAAACTTTGGTGACAATCATAATAGATTTATATAAGAAATGTTCGGGCCATTTTTTGAATAAACTCTCAAACGAAAAAAAAAGAATAACAATCAGTTGATTCTTTTAGGCTTGCCGTAGAGCTTATCTAGACTCAATTTGAGATCACATAAAGGATTTGTTAAGATATAATAACAAGTAAATCCTTGATCTAGTTGCATAGTTTACTTACCCAATCTGGACCGGAGTGAGAATCGCTGGGTAAATAGGTAGTGCCCAACGTGTGAGGAAATATCGACGGAGTTGCTACTGTTGGTAATCTCCATGTTGGTGCCAAAAACGAATATTCTGCTTCTAGTGAATTCATTTTTCTTCAAAATATATTATGCCTATAATAGACATAGAACAATGCAAGATTTCATGTTGTGCATATGCCTGTTTAACGGAACTCTTCAAACGTGTTATGCGCGATGTTTACTTTAAACAAAAGGAAGCCTTCTATGACGAAATATTTCTGCACTGTACCGTCGTCGTTCTCACGCCTAATTAGATCAGATTATTTACAGTGAAGTCCAAAAAGATACAGCCTATGAATATATTTATAATCAAGGAGAAAAACGCATTGCCGATTGATCATATTAGAAAAGAAAAGTCTATCAAGTCATACTTAAAATAAACTCAATTTCTTAATTAAACTCATACTACTGTGTAGCAAAAACGATAGTGAAAACAGTCGATTGAAAACAAAGAGAGAGAGAGAGAGAGAGTCAAGAAAAGGAGCAAAAAACTCTCCATGTCAAGAAATCAAACAGAACGATCACGAGTAGCGACTAACTTTATATTGTGTTGATTCAAAAATGCGTCGTAGCGACGCTAAAGAAAGAATTTTCTTTTTCTTTTTTTCTCCTTGTTGTTGAATAAGAAAAGCAAGTTTCTTTTTGTGTATTGTTTGTTCACATCTTTTCAAGTAATATGACAACAGAAAAATTCTGTTCGAAGTCAACGAAGTGTATTCATTGAGAATAGTGAAAAGATTATTTTTATTTTGTCTGTAAGCATTTCTTGTTGTTCAATTAACATAACAAATATGATCCTTAATTTGTGTATTATATTAAAACAAGACAAAAAAATCATACAGGAAAAAATATATTTATTTTTATCGCTTTTTATATCGCGCCCCTTCAAATGATTCCAATGTTTTTTCTTCGCGGACAGTAAACAGGTCATCGTCGGCATCACGATTTGTCGCACGATGTGTTCTTTGACCATACGTACTGGTATCGTTGTCGTTTTCATCTCCACTGATTACTGATCGTCCCGATGGATCACCTTTTGCGTAGTGTACGTTTTTTTTCTTCGGTTTTTGCTTATATTTTCGATTTGCATCATAGCCCGATATGTCTTCATCGTCATTTTCCGATTGGCGATTTGCATTTGACCGATCAGTACGAACTGTTGTGCGACTAGCTTGATTTGGAATCGGCCGGTTAAGACCGCGAGCCCCTATTGGTTTTGTAGAAGTTTTATTTGATGTTGAGGCTGATCCAAGTCGTCGTGATGTACGACTAACAGATTTTGAATCACTGTGATTCAATCTTGGATGCGGTGCTGCATCGCCTGATTCAGAACCCTATATTGAAAAGTAAATATTTCAAAAACAAATGAACAAAATAATGGTGAAAATAACCTGACTATCGTCATCTGTCAAAGGAGCCGAATGACGAAATGATCGAGCTGTTTCCGAACCGTAATTATAACCAAAATTTCGGTATCGAATTCGTTCACCGTATGATTTCGATTGATGATACAGCTCTTTCTAGTTACAAAAACAAAACGTTCTCATGTCTTTACTTTTGTATATTAAATTAATGGATCAACCTTTTCTTCTTGCGAAAGTGAATAAAGATTTCCTTTTTTAAGATCCATAAAATCGGACCACGGAGATGGTTTAATAACATTGTGAAGCAACGCATCTTTGGTCGAATGTCTAACATAATCACCGTAATTTAAACGTTTTGCTGTTTTTTCATTCTAAACAAAAAGAAGGAACGCAGAGTTTACAAACACAAAACAAAAAGTTTTTTGTTTTACAATTTCTTTGTTTTGTTGTTCAGCACGATCTGCACGTAATTTATGAAGAGCTTCTCGAAAACGTTCATCTGTATCTTTATGAACAAATTCCCGATGAGTAAACTCATTGAATAAATGATACGGATAAATTGAATCGAAATGATACTAAAAAATACGATTGAAAAATACGGTTGAAAAATATTAAAAACAATTCTACTTGTTTTGGCCAAGTTTTTCTCCACGATGTAGTTGTTATGGTTGGCGGTACACGTTTACTTGTGGGCGGTTCATATCGAGGTTTTTTTTGTTGTAAAACTTGTTTTGGATTTTTTGATGTGACCGTTGAATTGATATTATCTGCGTTCATTCAATGAGAATAAACAGTTTTCTTATTAACAATAACTTACTGAGTGAATTCGCTAATTTATTTATCGTTGATTTTCCATTCTGAAACGATGAACTTATTGAATAATTATTTGTTGAAGGCTTCCGAAAATAGTCTCCATCGAAAAGTGTATCAAAATATGACTCGTGCTGATATTTTGAATCATGAGGTTTTACATCGACTGCAGGTTTTTTTTTATTCACTACTGCTGTTTTATTTTCAATTTTTTTCGGTGCATTTGGCAATGGACGTACTGATTTTGTTTTTTCTCTTTCATGTTGAGCTTGAACCATATGTAAATGATCGATTTTAACTGTCCATGCCTGTTCAGCGTCTTTATCCTCAGTAGGAGATTCTTTTTTAGTTCTATTAACCCATTCTTGAATATCGATTGTTGGCGGTTGCTTTTCAATATCAACAATAGTTGCATTTCGTTGCAAATGATTCGGTTGTTTTGTCAATTGTACTGGTAGATGTGGTGATTGAACTGGTGTTAGATCATCATTTAATTTATCAGTAGTGGAATCTTTTTGTGTACCTGTTGAAGGTTGAGTGTGTCCTGTTATTAATCCAGGCTGCTGTTTTAATAGTGGTTTTTTCTTCGTATCATCTAGTTGTCCTCCTTTTGTTTTTGTTTTTGTTTTTGTTGAACTCCAAACAGATTTCATTGGTTGATTACCATGGCCATCGTTTGATGTGTGAGTGTAATTTGGTGGTTGATTAGGAAATTTATTAATAGGAAGATTAGTTTTATTTTCATGTAAAGAACGAGCAATACTCGATGCTGTATTTGTATTCGATGCTGTAACGAGACTTTCTGAATATTCAGGGATATCATTTAGTAAAGCATAGGAATCATTGGATGGAAGAGGTTGGTGACGATAACTTCCTACGGGTGAGTTTTCATAATTTTGCGTTGGGAATACAGATGTAGGATTCGAAATAGAATATAATGGTGGATGATATGTTGTTTGATTATGATTGAACGCGAAATCATCGCTGAACAATCGATCCGTACCTCCATAGCCGCCTACTGGCGGATGATAGACATTATCAAATGATGAACGTTGAACAAGATTATCACTGAATAATGTCGATGCACCATACGATGATGGATATGCAGCTAAAAGGCTGGTTGCGTAGCTCATGTTGCTTTGTTTTAGCTTTTTTTCCGACGTCGATTAATAAAGTAAATAGTTTCATTCAAAACTTCTGTTCTCTTTTAGTTTGTGTACATGTGTTTGTATTATTCTTGTGAGAAAAAAGCACAAATCCTTTTAAGGTGAAATGTGTGTGTGTGTGTGTGTGTGTGTGTGCGTTTGCCGATTGAATCAGTTTTATTTAAAAGGAACACATAGATACTTGAAGGCTAAATATTGTTGCGTTTTCATGAAAAAGTCAATCTCATGTCTCACTCAATGGTGCTATTTGTGTTGAAATAAAAATAACGAAAACGAAATTAAAAGTTCCTTGTTCTATCCTTCAAATAGAAAAGGACAGAGGTATTGTTTTGATCCGTATGATTGATCGAATATAGTGCCTTTGTTCAATATTGATGATCAAATTACACGCGCGCACACTCAGTCAATGAATATTTGCTGTATGTTCATGTTATTTCCAAGGCCTTAACGTGTAAATTTAATAGTGAAGATGACTACTTTTGTTTTGTACGAATGACGAGACAGACAACGTGATCAAATGACCTCAGTCGCTACGTCATCATATCTGCGTGAAGAATTTTCGAAATTTGAGAAGTGAAAAAGAAAAGAAGAAGAACGGTCAATAAGTTGAAAATGTCAGTTTGCCATCTCGCCTTGTTCTCGATTGCATTCGTTATTTATCGCACTGAGACACAAGTTTCAATCACCATGATTGCATGCGTCATTTATTTTGCTATCTTACATCTAGTTTACAGTCAAGGTAACTAGGAGATAATTAAATATATAGATATTGAATCATATTATCATAGATATTTGCAATTCTGTTAATTGTGGTTCGGGCGCTTGTATATTAACACAAAATCCTTCATTACCATATTATTGTCGATGTTCAAGTGGTGCCAATACGATGTTGCCATGTCCATTCGAAAGTTTGTTGAGTTAGTTTTATTCTTATATAGAATCTCTGTTTCTTTTCCGAATAGGTCCATGTGCAAGAAATCCTTGTGGACTAGGTGAATGTGAAATAGTGCCAAGTTTAATTCATGGATATCTTTGTCGATGTCCTGGAAATGTCATTTCATTAGCACATTGCAATGGTAATTAATTGTTTTGATGATATGAAATTTTCTTCTCTATATACACCTATATATTTAGCTACTCGTAGTGGTTGCTATTCAAATCCTTGCATCAATGGTATATGTATTGAAGGTTTAGCAAGTTTCTATTGTAGTTGTTTACCGACATGGACTGGAAAGTTATGCAGCGGTATTGTTAAAAGGCAAAATATATAAATGTTTGTTTTATTTTGCGTGCTATTTGTAGATAAAATCGTATCGGCTTGCTCGAAGAATCCATGTAGTCCAGGCAAATGTTTTCAACTTGATGATCGAAATATACCCTTTGTTTGTTTATGTCCTAATGGGCAGTTTGGAACATCTTGTTATGGTAATTCTACTGTTTTCCGACGATATTTTATGAGAATCTTTTGATATTTCAGCTTATGGATATCCGTCGTCTACAGCCCGAATGCTAACAAGTACAACCTCGACTGTTCGATCACCCAATGCATGTAATCCATTGAATTCTGAATCTTGTTTTCATGGTGGAAAATGTTTGCAAACTACGCATGGCCATCGATGTATTTGTAAGACAGGTTTTACTGGCAGTTTTTGTGAACTCAGTAAGTTTAGTAATCAAAAAACAAATATATATGTTTGTTTTTATGTGTATCTTTATATTTAAGATATTAATGAATGTGAATCGAATCCTTGTAAGTCATTTTTTTCTTTAAAAACTATCAAATTGCTCCGTATGGTATTTTTCGTGATTAGGCATAAATGACGGAATATGTTATGATCTTGAATCATCTTATGTGTGCTACTGTCCAGATGGCGTTTTTCGTCCGCAATGTTTACCGCGAACTAATAGTAATTATTCTTCCCCGTCTCAGTACCATCAGCACTCGTCTAGAACGTATCATTATAAATTAAAAGAAACTTGTAATCGATTGAAATATATCCATGTCAACAGTTTCCTAATTTTCTAATGCACTCGCGCAGACAATAGTACTTCCTAATTCTCACACTATGCACTATGGCTTAGAAATTCAATTAAAAAAATTCGTTTATAGTTTTTTCAGTTGCTTCAAGTACTGCTCGAGGATTGATATGTTCATGTCAAAATGGTGGCAAATGCGGATTGCATGGTTCCGAGAAATGTACATGTCTCAATGGTTTTACTGGTCGATTTTGTGAAAATTTATCAAGTAAGTATAATACCTTTAGCTGTTTTTTCTATTTAAATAAATCCTGTGAACAAAACGATGCTATTTGTTGTTCTTCTTCTTCTTCTCCTTCTATGATTATCACAGCAATCGGTGATTGTAGTCGAATTCAATGCTCTAATGGTGGTACTTGTCATGATAATCCATCGGATTTAACGTCTTCACCTTCTTGCACATGCAAAAGTGGATACACAGGAAAATATTGTGAAACAGGTATGTACAAATTCTTCATTGAGTGGACGAATCAGTTTTTCATTTTTTGAAAGAATATTTCCGATGTCGAGATAACGGTCGATTTGCCGATGTGTATAATTGTGTACAAGGAAAATACTTTGAATGCATTCATTATCAACAAAGTTTGATTTACAAGTAGTTTTTAATCAGTTTTTCTTAAGTTTTACGTTTTAGCTTCTGGCCCAAATCCATATGGAATGTTAGTAACTCGAACTTGCCCATCATCACTTCGATTCAACACCCAAGCTGATCGATGTGATTATGCACAAAATGTGCAATGTTTTGATCCTCAAATATAAAACAAAATAGACATGATGACTTTTAATGTGTTTTGTTTTTTTCAAATATTTGTAAAATTTTCTTTTTCCTGCTGTGTGAACTTTTGTTTTTTTATGAATATAAATATAAAATTTTCATCATTTACGAATCGAGAAATGTCTTCGTCAATTAAAAAAAAGATATGTTTCTGTGAAAGAAAATTATTAAAATGAATGGCGCTTATAGAACTTTCCCATGGTGAAAGCTGTCAATCTCACTGCCGAGTGGAAACCATAGGACGATGTATGTGATACTTAGGTCTCTTTCAGTCACCGATATTGCATGTGATAAAATGTCAAGTGTGCTTGAATTTTCACTTCGACTGCCTAACCTTGTATGGCATCGTAATTGCAGACGAAGCAAATAGGCGATGGACTCGGTATGCATCCCAATGACAGAAACTAACGTTTGTGTATGGGTTCTGTAAACAACTATTTTCATTCACGGTAGCGACTTGCAGGCGCAACCAGACTCCAATTCGACTCTGTCTAGTAAAAAGCTGTCGATACAAATAACATGTTTTTGTCCTAGACAAACTTACGGGATATAGTATTTCACGAATGGTGTGTTCTTATAATGGTATAATATTTCAATGACTCCAGACTGTTACTCGAACACATGAGAAGGTTATTGATTGGCGACGGTCTTGAACCGTTTGAAAAGTCATCGTCGTCCACTTACTAAACTAACGGAACAATAGTTAAAAGCAGCACGAAAAAAAAAATACGTTTGCTCTTGATTGTATTTTATCAGCAGAGTATGTCTCAACGAGAAACAAAGATTCGCTTTATTTCAATAGGCATCGTTCCCACTAGTTTTTTTTTATTGCATTTATGTTCTATTTTTCTCTGAAAATTTGAGAAATTCTGAAACATAAAAAATCCTTATCATGAGAAATTTTTCAGATGACTCTCAAGCGTTCAAGTTGGAGCATTATTTGTAAGAAAATAGCATTTAACTGTTAATAATTTGATAACCACTCTCGGAATATATTGTTCGGTGGAATTATTGGTACTTTATTCATCTTTATTCAAATAAGAATCGTCTAATAGTGAACTGAATAATGCGCTCTAGCTTTATTAGCCTTTACAGTCGGATGTGTATACGAATCGTAATTTTAATTTGAGCAGAAAGGTCTCAAAATAATTCTCGATTCTTATGTATATGAGCAAAGATTCCTACTGTCTCAATTACTTCGATAAGCAATTTAGAGTGTCTCAATGTATTTTCAGAGTAGAATAAAAAATGAGAGAAAGAGAGAGAAAACCTGGCTATACTTTAAAATGCATTCTATAATTACATATTAACTTATGAATTCGAATTTTGAATTATTTTTCTTTTACCACTTATTCATTCTACTTCACTACATTTCAAAGTATTGTAAATATCACGTTTCTCATTATCTCCTATCTCATTCGCTTAATATAAAGCTCATTTCTTCTTCGTCGAGATTCTTCAAGATGCTTTATGATTATGACATTTTTTTCTAAATTGGCCAGGCAATCAATGAATCCAGCAAAAATACAACATCGAAATGGCGTGCCAGAATTGAAAAGTTATAACAGAAATATCTGTTTTCTCTCGTACCATTGACACTAGTCTGAAGTAGACCGGCAATCTAATAGTTCAATGGAGTAGTGTAAGAAGAGACGCAGAAGAAAGAAAGAAAAACTATGTTCTAGTTATTGACAGGAATTAGTCGAGAACAGAACGAGAAGAAAAACAGACGGAGTCTGATGGGAAGAAAAAAGAATATGTAGACAGGAAACTCATTCGCCCTGGCAGAAAAACAAAGAAAACTTGCTCTTGAATTTGCAGACTTTTGCCATGTTCACCGATGGAAACAATACCCAGAATGGCAATCTTCTACAATCTTCAGCAATCAATAATGATCAAGGAACTTTACTCGATGATAACGAAGCAACGGTTCAAAATGATTATACATTAGCATATAGGTTTGTTGAAAGCACAATAGAAATTTTTTATCATTAGTCAAGAATTTTCCTTTTTCTGTAAAGAAATCGACAATATGATAAACGCCCTCTACGATTTTTCTTATGTTGTACATTTTCAACTGCACTTATATTAGCGACAGTCATCGTTTTGCTAAGTTCAGTTGTATATCATTCAAATAAAGAAAAAAAGTATGACGAAGATGTTCAAATTGAAGTTTTATGGACAAGTGGTTTTCCAAAGTTACTAACAGAAACAGCATTTCGTCTTGTTGATTGTAATTCCGACGGTATACTTGATGTTATATTTGGTTTTGGGACCGGTGTTGACACATTAGGGGACAACCGATTGTTATGTGATCTTTACTTTAACGGAATTCATCCATGTAATGGAGGTGTTAGAGTAAGTGAATTTCGTTTTCAAAAGAAAATATATATATGTATTTCTTGTTCTTTAGGCTTTAGATGGCCGAAATGGACAATTGCTATGGAGTTACGATAAATCACATCATGAAGTATTTGCATTGAACTGTCAACGAGATATTGATGGAGATCATATTCCTGATTGTGTTACTGGTGGACGAGGAGGTGTAAGTTAGAATTTTTGATTTTTTTAAATTTTTTTTCTTTTTTTAAACCATTAGACATTCGAAGCTATTAGTGGAAAAACTGGTTCGTTAATATGGACGTTTGACAACGATGTACGAATAGCAACAATGAACTTTTATACACCCTTATATTTAAATAAAGATTTTGATAATGATGGTTTAAATGATCTGATAACAGTACATGGCGGTGATCCAATAAGAAAACCACGTATGTCAATGGGATATAAAGATTTTTCTAAATTTTGTCGCTTCGTAGATGATACTGTTCGATTAGCAGGTGAAGTTCTTCTTGTTAGTGCAAAAACTGGAAAATTATTAAATGTATCTATTGTTCCTGATAAAATGGAGTCCTATTATTCTCCACAGCTATTACAACGATCAGCCGAGGAAGAATATATTCTTGTTGGTACTGGTGGTGAGGCACACGGTGGTGGACTTTATGCGCTTGATGTAAAATGTTTTTCTATGCCATGCTCGTCACCGGTACTAGAAGACAAAAACGAATATGCGAATTTAAAAAAAGACTAAAACACATTTATTGAATCTCATTTTAGTATATAAAAATAATTAATGATGAATATAAAGGTGTAATGACACCGCCCGTTTTAGTCGATGTCAATAATGATGATATTGAAGATATTATTATCCCACTATATAATTCGACATTGTTTGCGTTCGATGGAAAAACATTTCGACAACTATGGAATAGAACTTTTCCTAGTTCAGAAACATATAGGTTTGTTATTCTGTCGGCAAACTACGTTTAACAATTGATAATTTAGTTCGCCTGCAGTTGGATATTTTAATGACGATGATATACCTGATATTATGGTTCATTATCAAACCGGACCAGGTTATCCATTATATTATAGTGCACAGGTATATAAGAGTAAAATGTATTTCCTTTCGAATAATGTGGATTTATGCATAGACAACTATTCTGAATGGTCTTACGGGTGAACCGATACTTGATAAATCTATTGAACAGACAGTTGGTGCTCAAAGTTCTCCATTAACTAGTTGAGTTTGTTACGCGTTCACAGTTTGATAATTGTTTTGCTTTTTGTTTAGTAAGTTTTAAGCAACGTGGACATGATATGTTTATTTATTGGATGGGTGAATGTGACGCCGTCGATAGTAGTAAAGAGAGAAAAATTGATTATGATAAAAGTACTTTTTTTGCTTGCAATTTTTATCCGATAGTTAAGCGATTCGTGTGATTTAGATGCGCCCAGTGTACTTCTTTCGAAAGCTGATATTTGTAAACTACGGTATCAAACAACAAGTTTTACTGCACTTCATGGTTTGACACAATCTATGAAGCCACCAGGGATTCTCATTTATAATTCTAGTAATAGGAAGAACAAGATAGACTATTTATTATTCAGAAGGAAACTAAAAATAAAAATAGTATTCTGTTTTTTTTCCTTCTCAAGATCATTACGTGGCTCTTGAACGAAGTACAACGACACCAAGTTCGATAGATGTCGAAAATTTTCTCCAACAATATCCTGATTATGTATCGATATATAAATCATGGCAACGACTGGATAATTATATGCAGGTAGTAATAAAATTGATGGTTTATTCATTAGAATCTTTTCTATGCACAGAATCAAGACGTACCGGATGTAACTCCATCAATACTAGACGATGGCAGTAATGAGGAACCAAGCGAGACCGCCGATTCCGATGAAAATGATAATGAAGTTGATGCTGCATTTCGTTCAAGTCGAAAAAAATATAAACGACATGTTGGACCGCATGACAACGGTGGATTACAAAGAATTATCTCAACCGGTAATAGAAAAAAATTGAATTCTCTTTTCATTATCTATTTTTTCCATTAAAGGTACATTAGCTCCATCATTTGAACTGAATTCTAAATCAACAATTGATTTAATATTTGCGACATATTGGATTCCTTCTGACACATCGACATTATTAGCTGCTAATGAACGTACATGCATTGAAGACGGTATGGCAAAAGAAGAAGAACGACTCAAATCAATCAGTGGTAAAACAAAAGAATTGATTTTAGATTTTTCTTTTTTTTCTTTTCTTTTCTAGCTAATTTTTATGGCATGGATCATGATGCATATGAACATTATATAGAAGATTTATGCACAAATAAAACTCGCCTATATGAAACTGTATTAAAAATTTCTCCGGAAATTATTAGTCAAGTTCAAGCGTCAATGTTAAATCCGTTCCGAAAACAATTCGGACAATTAACTATCTATCGTATTCGACTACATTTCAAGAAAAATCAATGTGAACCCAATAATACAAGAAAATGTCTCTTCAATTTAGATAATAATGATCTTCTTCCATTTAAACAACAAATTTGGCCGGCTTACATGGGAATCAGTGGAGATTGCCACGCGAATAATAGATTTTCAATTTAGTGTGATATTGTTTTAAATGTTTGTCAATAATAATAATAATAATAATAAAAACACACGGACTTCTATAAATAGAAAGATTTTAAAACACATAGGTTCAATGAGTGTGAAAAAAAGTATCGAATAGTTTTTTTGCCCTTTTCACTGACATAGGAGATATTATCATTGGAAAAATCCTGATTTTCTAATTTCAATCTATACTTGATCAAATGAATAGTTAATACACAAGAGATAGACATCTGTGAAAATCTTAAGGCTGTTTTTTGTCTTCCTTCACTTTTTTCCTCCCTCGATTTCTCTATTCTCGTCGTCGTCGATTGTATAAAAGAGGCAGAGAGTCCACAATAGTTAGAACGAAATATGCGTTCTGCTTATATTTTTTCCTCTTCGACCGTCGAGTGATGTTTGCTTTCTTTTCTCCATCTTTGCTGCTATTGCACAGTAAGTGTACATGAGTCGTCATTTTCTCTTTTTCCGACTTGCGAACGCATGTGCGCTCTAAGGGTCATGGTAATGCAAAAGCGAGAGAAGGGTGAGAGCGAGAGAGAAATACGCATATAACCACTTTTTTTTTTTTTATTATACGATCTGCACACACGCGTGCACGTTAAAATGAATTTCGAATAAAATTCATACTGATTTATTTCTATTTTCTGTTAGATATAAATACTTCGTTGAAATCTATTGTTGTTAACAAATGGCTACTTCAGTATGTGTTCAATTAGTTTGAGTTTATTTAATTGCTCATTTTTATTTTATTTTTCTAGTCATCCTCACGAACAAGCAACGCATGTTGTTCATGTGAAGTTGAACTAAAAAAGAATGCGCCATATATATTAGCTGGTCTTGGTGTTAGTGGTGGCCTACTTTTATTGGCTAATCGAAATATTCCAGCAATGAGCGTTCCTGTTCTATCATCGGCTGCTGATCGTGTAGCTTGTAATTTTAATTCTCGATTTTTTAATTAATTTAAAATTAATTTCGTCTTTCTTTAGATGCCCTCCGATGGAGTGGTCTTGAGGTAATCGTTCAATTGTTTCAATTTAGTTTTAAACGATTTATTTCTTTTAGGGAATTTCAATGGTTACAGCCGTTTGGTGTGCTATTGGTGTACGTGCTAAATGTAAGTTGGTTTCAGTTTTCTATTCAGCTCATATTCATAGATTGATTTTCAGATGGTACTGAATCAACAGAAACAGATAGTAATCAACATTTAAAAACTACTCAAAGAATGTTAACAAATGCAACTGAATCATTTCTTACATTTACTGCTGCTAAATTGGCTTTAGCTACCGTACTCGAGCCAAATAATCTTCGTCTCATCCCTGCTCTATCAGGTCTTTTCATTATTGGGTAAGAATTATTCAAAATATTTCATTTAACTTCAATACCGAATTTTCTTCTAGACGCTACTCATTTGATGCAGCTATCAATCATCCATCACGTACATTTGGTTATACCATCAATGCCGTTGCTACGTTCGCAGCTTATGGCCTCTTTTTGTGGAAACTACTTAAAGGTGGTCTTCACTCAAATATTCTTCCATTTTCACTTCGCTAAAAGCAAGGTGCAATCAAAGAATATAGAAAAAAAATAGACTAAATAATCATTTCCTCTAGTATGTGTTGTCTCGTAGAGTAATAGTCCTTCATACCATCCACGCTATTAACTGTGTGCATGTAAAGCGATCTGTTTTTGATTGTCCAACAATAAAATATCTCCTATCATTTGCATTTGGTTGTTTGTATAACAAAGAGATATAGAGAAAAAAGCTCATGTTCACATTTAAGTATGGCATAAAGAGTGTAGTAAAATTAAGCCTGCAGCCTATTACATCGAATCTGTACACACTTTTTCAAATATAGATTAAATCGATCGGAATGACAAAAATGAAATCGATCAATTATGATTTTTCATAATGATCTAAGGTCAAAGTTCAATGTATCGTTTTCTTTTTCGTTCAAAGAATTGATTCTCAAGGTTTGCAGTATGAAAACTAAGAAAAATTTGCCCTTTCTATAATGATACTCAATTTTAATAATATTGCACAAAGAGTTGATTACCATGTTTTGTAATGTCAGAGCGTTTTCAAAGCAACATCATTTTTTGTAACTATTCTCGCTATGCCAAGATTCAATCATTAACAAGAATTTCTCAACATGAAACAATTTGCTGAGCAATGCTAAACAGTCTGATATGCTATTATTTTCAGTCAATAACTCTCGCCATCACCATCATTCATACGTGTGATTCTCGAGGAAAGTTCACCGACTGGTTCATTACTATTGAGTGATCAATGCGTACATCAGCTGTATATATCTTTGAAGAAAACGTATGGGTCTTTGTCATTCGAGCATATCAATTGATATCGTGATTTATCGCAGAAAAAATTTCCGTAGAGAGAAAGGCCCCATTTGTTACCGGAATGCTCATGAGGGGGACGATGGCATTGAATTTCATACTTCAACGTTTTTGCATTAATAAGCTCCAAACGGAAACCTTTTTCAAGGTGTTCAGAACTAATTAGACTCAACATATATAATATACACACTGCGCATACAGTGTCTTATGCACATGAATGAGGAATGTCATTGAACAGAGTAGTCAAAGCTTGAACAGCGGCATTGATTCGATTAAAATATTAGCAAAAGAACATATTTTATTTTTAATGGTTTAATTTTCGGGTAAAATCTACACAAATTTGATATAGAGTTCTGATGCGAGAACAGAAAGTCATATTCGTCTTAAATTTGAGAGTAACTAAATGTTATGTTTTTGAATGACAAATAAAACTCAATTGGTTGAAAATAACCAATTACAGTTAAAGGCTCGTTGTCAATGGAGTTAGACAACAAAATGGCGATTTAGAAACAGTTGATAGTCAGCAAAAGAAAAAAAAGTTTTTTCTCATCAACAATGGCCGATCAAGAAGTTGCTGAAAATCCGCCTGCATCAAATGAAAATGAGGTTTGATTTTCTCCATTAAAAAGAAGAATCTCTAAAGTCTATGTTTTTATTTTTCAAGTCATCTGGAGTTCCTGATGAAGAGGGTCAAGAACGTCCAAATTTCAACGAAGAATCAACTGATTTTCAAACTACCATCATCAATGAACAACAGGCAGAAGCCGTACCAGTAAAACCTAAACTACAACCTATTATTGCTCCGGATATGTTTCCTCCGTGAGTATTATATATATTCAGTATTTGATTTATCCAACTAAGCTTTTTTTCTCCTAGACCGATTGTTACATGTAATAATCCAGAAGATTATGCCGAATCGTATAAAAAAAACTCCATAAAAGAAAATTTAATTTTAACATTCGTTGAAAATTTTCGTCGTCAATATCATTATATTTATCGAGATCGAAAACCAATATTTCTCAATCCATTGAATGAATGCGGTGTACCTGTAAATATCCGTAGCATAGAAATTCTCGGTTTTGTATTTCTTTTTTTAAATAGAAATTTGTTTGTACAACCATTCAACCGACCATGCTTTCGTTTTCTCCATTATTTCAATGGAGTTCAGCAGCTGAATTCATCGCTGATCATCTGAATTATGAATTAATTGAGCCGGCACATGAAATCGTAAGTTCTTAGAAAACATCGCATAATTTCTTTTGGCGTTCATTTTACAATAAATTTCTTCTTAGCCGAAAACACTTTGGTCACCAACAAAAGTTCTTGCCGATCAACGTGGAAATTGTTTTGATTATTCTAATCTTCTTTGTTCATTGTTAATCGGTGCTGGATACGATGCATATGTTGCAAGTGGATATGCTACAAGAGAAGTTTGCTACATGGACACAACTCGCTTGCCAAATCCGTACGTTAAAAAGCGACATGAAGTATGTTTTTGCTTTTGAGAAAGAGTTGATAGTCTCGTCAATGAATTCAATTTAGGAACATATAGAAGGATCAAAAACGCAAAATAAAAAATATACTGTTAAACCACCAAAAGATTTAACATCGAAATATGATGTTTATATGCATCAAAGGCGTTTAGACCAAATCCAAGCCGACAAAGATCGACTTCAAGAAGAAGAAAATAAACGCATAGCTGTAAGTTTTTCTTGAACAATACTTATTCGAATATTAACGCAGTCGTAGTTGTGTGGGTGCATTCGTGATCTAAAGATAAAATAAAACTCTAATTAATGAATGATCAAAAAAATCAGTATTGTGCCTTTCGGATTGCTTTTTTTCTCTTGATCAGAACATTTCATTTAGAATATTATAATATTGTTCGGAAAGCCTGAGGATTCCGTTACTTGAGAGTATCTGAATGTAGGTAAGAATAAATTAGATATTTATTCATTATTCTAACTTGAGCGATTCGGCCTGCAGAAGGACAAATAATATCTCTATTCTCAATCGGAGTAATGAGTAACTGTTCAAATCATTTTAACACTATGATATTTACTTTTGTCTAGTTTATCTTTAATAGTCATCATTGTTTTCATTGGATTTAATTTAGGAAATTGAAAAACCATTACCTGATCCACTATTCGGCATTCGAGTGCATTCATGGGTACTTGTTCTAGCTGGCAAACGTGAAGTGCCTGAAGCATTTTTTATTGAGCCAACTACAGGCTACGCTAAAGCAACAAATGATAGTGAATATTTGGGTATTGAAAGTGTTTGGAATCATCAAAATTTATGGGTCAATATGCAAGATTGTTCAAATGGTTGTGAGGTTCGGAGATCTTGTTTTCAGTTCCGTAAAATATGAATGGCTTATATTTTTAGTCACTTCAATTTGATCTCAACGATCAAGCTCGATGGGAATTTATGTTTACTTATTCAACTAATTTACGTGGAGCAGTAACAACAACATTAAACACATTGGGTGGTTCTGCAATGCTCGATGAAGAAGAAGAAAAAGTAATGCTTCTTTTTGCCCTAATAATTATTTTTTCTTTGTTTTGATAGCCAACTGTTGAAGCAGCTCAAAAAGATATTGAATTGCCTCCATCGTGGGTTTATCCACTTAATATTACACCTAAAGGTATAATCATGAAAATTTTAAGAATATTTTTACATCGAAAAGTTTTAGATTTTGAAAAACGCTATCCAAATTCACGTAAAACGTATTTTTTTAAAAAAACTCGTGTTGAAAAATATGCTCCGTACAGTATGAAAGATGGCATTGTTCTTAAAGTAGCTGAATTCGCTGATTATGATTGTAAGTTTAAATCTTAAAAGCAGCGAAGAAGAGAAAAATAATAACGATTGATGTTTCTCAAAATTTAGTTAAAGAACTTATCTATGTAACACAACGATACGATCATCGTCATGATAAACTTGAATTACGTGAACATGATGTACGAACGAATATGGTCTATGAACATTATTTACCAGGTCGAACTGATCATTTGAAAGGTAAAGGATAGTGAAAGAGAAAATCGGACGCTGAGAATGTTGACCGAGACCTGCCGTAAAATAAAATTGCAAAATATCATCAGAATTCGCTTTCAATTTAATTCAAACATAAGATAATGAAGTATTCTGATGGTCAGAACTAACGAGGGAAAGTTTCCAAGTGATACCAACCATTCGGGTTCATATTGTGCTCATAAGTAGAACCCAGTGAGACTATAAAAAACCTAAAAGATTTCGTGTCATTAGGCCTTTCTTTCAAAGTTAATACCGTTTTACTAAATTTTCGAGCTTGGACAAGGAATTTATAGAAAAATTGAAAGAAAGGAATTTCGAACTGAGAATTTTCCTAACAATAGGTCTCATCAATGTTAGAGGGTTCCAAAAGTTTCAGTGAAAATGGATGCATCATGCTCGAGATATTGCATATTGATGAAAACGGCCAATTTTCCAAAAAAAATGTCGTAAAATTGACTTCTCTTCAATATGCAATATCTCGAGCATGATGCATCCATTTTCACTGAAACCTTTGGAACCTTCTAACATTGATGAGACCTATTGTTAGGAAAATTTTCAGTTCGAAATTCCTTTCTTTCAATTTTTCTATAAATTCCTTGTCCAAGCTCGAAAATTTAGTACAACGGTTATAACTTTGAAAGAAAGGCCTAATGGCACGAAATCTTTTAGGCTTTTTATAGTCTCACTGGGTTCTACTTATGAGCACAATATGAACCCGAATGGTTGGTATCACTTGGAGACCTTCCCTCGTAAGAGAAAATTGAATTCTTGCTATTTGATGACAGGTTAGTATTAGTCTGCTATCGGTATTATCTTCTATGGACGGGTGATCTGAAAATTCAGTGAAATAAACGGGTAGCCATATCCACACCATCGTTGAGATCTTAAATACATAGAAACCGATGCAATCGCTGTAGTCGCAAGTTCCGCTCTACACGAACTGTGTCTAATTATAAAAATTAGTGTCCTATCGGTTTTCACTTGCCATGACATAGAGCAGTAAGAAATTTATATTTGCTGAGAATGTATTAAATAGTTTAGTTTAACTTTGACACACACACACTTTGATTTTTTATTTACATTCAGAACATACATATGGTTTTGGACCGGAATTCGAACGAATAATGCTTTATTATGATAAAGCACGCCTGGATGGCTTAGAGAGAAGACATGAAACAGTTCTTGAACTAACTGATTACTTTGTAAATCGTGATGACTTTCTTGAATATCGCAAAGCTGTATTTGAACCTCGGCCAAAGAAATTCGGTCCGGCTGATAAAGATACTCCACGACCAATTATTGTAACTATATTCTTTATCGAAAAAGAAAGAAAGGTATTGATTTGTTTTCTTTGTATCTATTAATAGTCAATAACTGAACGATACGATCGTAATCTAAAACTCAGTGCTAATGATGATGTTCGTGAGCTGCTTTATGCTATTAAAGAAAATAAGTTTATCATAACTTATCATCGTGATAGTCATCATATAACACCATCGACTAGGTAAGTTAAATTCAAAATAATTTTCGAAATATTTGAGTAGTTTTTCTTTGCAGAACGTTTTGTAAACCGGTAAGTTTTCGTTTCTCTGATAAAAGCAACGCTTTGCTTTGGCCGATTGAAAGCAGTTAGAATATGACGTGTTCATAAATGTAGGCTGGTTGGAACGATAAAGCATTTACAATACAATGGAACGAAGATTTGCAAGATACATACCAAGCTGATGAAGAATTTAAGCAAATGTCAAAACGTGATCTTTATTATAAAATGATAAAACTCATCGAGCAAGAAGAAGAAGTTATTAGACGAGTACGAAAAGCAGAAGATGAAGTAAATGATAATTTCGTGGTCGTTTTTCTGTAGTATCTATTGAATTTTTTGTTCACAGACACGTGATCTTCAAAGTCGTCGTCAACAAGAGGATCTTTCAAGTGATCTTGAAATTAGTGTTTATGATATTGATAGAAATGACAAATCGAAAATATACAGAAAATCATTGGTAAGATCATCAAGTTATGAGTTCCATTGAAAGATAAATTCTACAAGTGATCTAAGAAACGCATGCTTTTCTTTAGTAGCAAGTGACATTTCATCATTTCATACAGCAGAAAAAAACTTCAGCACACTAGGACTTACTATACTAGAGAAATAAAAGTAATCCTACGATCTGGAATTGAGTTTTGCATTAAGATTGTGTCATCGAACTGTCCCGTTCCAAGCCAAATAAATCTTATATATCGCAACTTTTCATAATCTAAAACATTAATTGCTTTTAGCAACAAAAAGCCGATGAAGAAAAACGTAAAAAAGAAATTCACGATGTTGATTATCTTGCGCCGTTTCTTGCCGCCATTGGTTCGTTATGACTAAAATTTCTATTCATTTCCTTTTAACTCTCCTATTTTATTCTATAAAGGTAATCCTACACATATCAATGCTCAACAGGCTCAACAATTACGTGTTGCAGCTCAACGTGACTTTAAAGATCGTTCGATTCGTAAAGCGAATTTAATGCAAGCACGTTTTGAAAGTGAAATTCAAGAGCTTATTTCCAAACAGCAATGGTATCAAAAGCATCAAATTGGGATGTCTAAAGAAGATGAACTTGAATATCAACGTTTATGTCAAGAAGCTCAATTTCGTTTACACATCCTCGAAGAACGACTCAAACGGTTTGTGAAAAAAAGAAACTTTCTTTCGAAAATATCAATTTCCTTTTTTCTTAGACACAAAGAATTGGCTACAGAGAAATATATGCAGCTGGAAAATAAACTTAATGACGATATTCGCTTAAAAGAGCCGTACATTATATCTCGCTGATTTTATTTTATATAAAACAGAATATTATGAAACGAGAAAAACAACAACATGAGCAAGGAGAAAATAACACTTCTATACATTAAGTGTCTTGATTATCTCGCACGATTGAATAAAAATGTGTCGAGAAAAAAAATGATTATCACACGTATATATGTATATATGAGTAGGATAGTAACTAAATGAGAATTGCACAATACAAATAGTAAAAAGTTCGATTCATTTGATGTATATATATGTTTTGTTTTTTAATTTTCGCTGGTAAACCTACATCTGACATTATTTAAAGAAGAAGACAGTGAAATTAAACCCAAGAATCAGGGGATGCGGAAGCATGTTCAAGTTGATTCCAAGTTACTGGTTGAACTTGTTGTGGCCGGCTTTTATGAACAGTTGCATATAAGTCAGCATGTGGATCGTAATGAGGTGATGTTGTCTAAAAGACAAAAATAATAATTTAAATTCATCTATTCGACTAAAAATACGTATAGTTAGAATTATACAAAAATATCAAAGACCACAATCGCGAGCGATAGCAGTTTGAGTTTCATTCCTTCAAATCTCGATATAAGCTGAAGCATCGTAATTAGAGAATCGACCAACAGATGTTAGTTTTAACATATTATGGAGAGTTAGACTATTGAGTGCCGCCTATCATCTTAGTTTTGAATACCGTCAAATACATTTTATAATTTTTCTTCGTTCGCATATAAAACCTTGAGGAAAAGTTTGGTTTACTTACTCCATTTCCGTATGTTCTTGATAAATTATCTGCGCTTTGATTTAATTTTTGCATTCGATATTCTTCACTTCCTGAAATATGAAACCTTCCTATTTGTCTATATCAAATTATCTATTCATTTTCTTACTTTGTGGACGAGTAATTTGTTTTCCATTATTTGTAAAATGTGTTGGCTGACCCATATCACCTCTTGGTCTATGTAGTGTTGATTGTGGACTTGATGTTAATGATTTTGAATTAACAGAACGATGATTAACAAAATCATTTTCTTTGTAACCATTTTGTTTATAAAAATCATGTAGCGATTTATGTTTATACATTGTATTAAGCACATGTGCAGTATATTTAACAACTTTTGAATTATAAGTATTAGGTTTAACATTCATTATGCCTTTCATTTTTATGAAACCACGTTCTTGAAATAGAATCTTAGCATTTACATCACTATTTCGAATGATTTCATTCAGTGCAGCAAGTACCGATGCAATTGTTTCATCCGAATGACGACGTCGAGTGGTTGTTTGTTCTGGTGGTTCAGGTAGAATAGCGACAAGTTCTTTTATAGCCCATCCACCGAGAACTTCGCAATTTTTCGGATCAATCGCTAAATTACGTAACGCAATAGCCGATGCATTGACAACAGAATCGCATTCATCAACACGTAATAAATCAACTAATTCAGCAAGGCCTCGTGCTCGACGTACTTCACCACGTAAATCAATCGATGGTTTCCAGTAACAAGCAGCTAGATAATAGAAGAAGAAAATAAAACAATTTAATTTGCATTCAGGAACAATTACAAGTTTCATACTTAGATTTTGAATACACCCGGCTGTTGCTTCAAGTGTATCCGGATTACTACTATGCCGTAAAAGATGTACATATGTAACAATAACATCAGGTTGCCAAAGCATTTCAACGGGTCGACCTTGTCGTGGTGGCACAACAGCATAAATGTTATTGCCTGTTGGTTCCGAAATTTGTTTCGTTTTCTTTTGTTTTGAACTCATACAACTTATTTTATTCTTGTCATTCGATGGTATTGGTATCGTCGTGTACGTTGACGTTGCATTCATATTTGTTGGATAATTTCGATCATAATCACGATCAATCACTTCTTGTAATTTATATGATAGATTACGTAATATACACATGCAATTTTCAATAGATTTATTATCGATTTCATTTAAAGATTGAAGACTTGAATTAACGGCATGAAGAAGCGAAGGAATAAAGCCTTCGCATTCACGCATTTTACGACGACCTTCATAATCAGCTGATGAACAGTTACTAAATTAATACAAAAAAAAAAACATTTTCATTCATAAAAAGCTAAGAAAAGACTCATATGGGTAGATCAATTTAAATAAGCTATCAAAAGTGTGAACTTCCCGTAACACTATTTCAAGCCTATATCGTGACTAACTAACTTTATATATACGGTGAAATAAGACATACTAATTCTGCTTAAGTCGAATGACATAATCCTTCCTAGATATTATCCTAGATTTAGAACACTCCGTCCTTGTTATATTATCTTAGCAAAAAGCTGGATTACACAAATATGTCTATTCTTGTCTTCGTAATAGAATTTTCTTAAACAAACTTAATTACCGCAATATTCCAGTTGTATTTTTAAATACTGGCGGAAATTTTCCTTGTGGATTTAAACGCCTATTTATATCAGCATCCCATCCCGAAAATGGTATAATTATATTTTTAACAAGTACATTTAATCCTTCGTCGAGTATTTGTCCTTTTAAATGTACTGACGATGATCCATTCCAAAGAACAGCTGTAACAGCCTCGCGAACATCTTCATATTGTGTACGACGTAGAAGATGAATTAGAGCCGGAATACCACCGCGATTTTTTAATTCAATCTAAATTAGAAAAAAATTTATAATTAAATTTTTATTTTATTTTTGAAGTTGATTTTTGTCTTCACTTTATTTTCATCATTTCGTTTTCCATAACATAAATTTCTTAAGGCACCGCATGCATTTTTTTGTATTTCAACTTTGTCATGATTTAACAGAGCAACTAGATAGGTTATACCATTTAATGAGCGTGTTTTCGATTTTATATTATCATCGTTATAACATAAATGTTGTAAATAAGCAGCAGCATTCTCTTTAATAACATCATTTTTATGAGTCAAATATTCAATAACTTCTTCTAAATCAGGATCACGCCAATGTTGTTCTAAGAAATGAAATTAATTTATCAAAAGAATTCAATTCAACATGAAAAAGATATCATTTAAAGCAAACCAAAGCAGGAAATAAAACATATCGAATGAATTGAAAAAATATGATCACTAATCGATCGATTAGAAATTCACTGATCTTTATGATTGATTGTTAATATATGTCGGAAGCTGCCTTTTAAAACAAGGTTCTATGTTAATAGATTTGTTTGCCCAGTACGATATTTACATAATAGGCGATGTTGTAATCATATTTTATTCACTCGATATATCCATGTATACATTGGCCTACCTCGAAATTCTGTATCAATCGACGGCGATCGTCTTCTAGATGAGTAATCATCTTCATTCAAACCATATGGCGCATACACAGACTTAAATGTTCCATATTCTTCACCATAACCAGGGGGAGCTGAAAATAATTTATTCGGGAATGCGTATGCAAACAATGCAAAGACATGACAATAGACAAAAAACGCAGAAAAAAACGTTTTAGTGATTTATTACCTTGACCAATACTATCGGGTGAATGACGTCCAGCTGTTGGCATAAGTACACGACTAACTGGATCAGATCGGCCAGGCCCTAAACCTTCATATGGATTTTCGACATCAAGATCGGGTTCATCAACTAAATTTGGATCATTTGGATCATAGCCCATGATTTTTTCATCGGTACTAACTAAATTTTCTTTTTTTTTGTTAAAGATTTTTTATTACGAAAATATTTACTTTTGTTATTCTCTGGTTCATTATAGCTGTTGCCATTTAAATGTTGTGGAACAATTATTTGTCGATTGGAATAAGGATCTTGGTTTTTATCATTAATATCAAAGTATTTCATACCATTACTTAATAATTTTGCTTCAGTATCATATTGAGAATAGAATGAATTAGGTGAAAATTCACCATCTATATCATGTTTTAATCCCGATTGATTATAGTGTTCAATTAGCAATTGATATTTTGGATCATCTTTTTGAATAATTTCACCAGTTATTGGATCAATAAGATGTCGATGGACGCGTGTAATTTTTTCAACTTTCGTCACTTTAGATACTTGTTGAGATTCTTCTTTCTTACGTACAACTTTTGTTCCATCGGGTGTTGTTTCTTCTTCAACTGTTGTTATGACTTTAACGGTATTCGTTTGAGGACTTTCATTATTATCACCATCGGTTGTATATGAATATGAATAAACTAGACGTTCACGTTGTGAATCATCGATTTTTGTTTCGCCGGGCATAGTAGTAGATTTTCTCAATGGTTACTTATAACTAAAATAATATTGTCAATGGTATATAAGAGAAAATTTAATTAATATCTGTAATGTGAGACGAAAGATTGATTATTAATCGATTGTGTCGTGCCCAACAAAGAGAAATGAAGGTCGAGTTAAACAGAAAGACTTGCGTAATGCGTACAAGTTAAATACAAGAATGATCTTTTATCAATGTAAGCTGAAGAGAATTGACATCAAGAAGCCAAAAAAACGTCGATAATGATAGGTTTACATCAAAGTCAATGATCACGAAACAAGTAGAGTAGAAATTCCTTGAGGAGACATGACATGTAAATTTATCAAAAAAAAAAAAGGAAAAAATTCCTTTCTTTTTCTTTCTTGTTCATATAGTAGTAATTCTTTAACTTTGCTCAAGGCATGCAAATATATATATGAGAAAAATGTCCGTAACTTTTGACATTTATTATACGTACACTCATTTATAGTCCTGTAAACTAAACAGAAATCTGCGGTTTTCTATAACACTGCATTTAATGAATAGACTCACTGATTTTCTCGGTTCAATTAAATCTTAACATGCACTTCAATGAATAAAAAGGAGTAAAACGAAACGAAGTGAAAGTGTGACGAGTACACTTGTTTATGCTTGCTTTGAAGCGAACGTACAAAAGAAGAGCTTTGAATGAACAAATTTATCCAAGCAAAAAAAGAAACAACAAAGGCAGTCGCTTACCAATGCAATTTATGTTCTACTCACCATCGTTACACCAAATATTTTTATATCGAGCTAGTATGTACGTCTTACTTCTTCTGTCTTATTTGATTCATCTTTTATTCATGCGCATCTCATAGAGAATAGTATGATATATTAAGACTAGAAATCAGCAATAGCGATAACTCTCGACCTCATACATACATGAAGTGCACGAGTCATACATATATACAGTGACCGACAATAAATATGTGTTCACCATATGAGAAATAGAACGAGAAATGTAATTTGTTGTCTAGCTGTTCGGAGAAGAAAAACAGGACAGACAACAGCAGTGTTGAACAGGCTTCTAATTCAATATCAATCTAATTTTTTTATGTTTTCTGGCATAAATCCAAAGAACAGAAAAAAAATAGAAAAGAAAAACAAATTCTATTTACGTTCCAGTTTATCACGAAACAAAAAAAGAATTCTTCAACAAAGGAATATCCTACCTGATTTTTTGAACAATGACTAATAAAAATATGTGAGCACATGAATGGGTAATATGATAAATAGGTTACTGCAGATCTCAAATAAAGCAACAAGAATTTTTAATCAACCGCTATAGTCAACGTATAGCAGAAATAAGAGAACAGACAAATGTCTATCGTGCAAAAGAAAAGAAAATGAACATTTAGCGACATCATTATGTTGAACGCAGCAGCCATAAACAATTACATGAAACCTCAATAATGGATCAATCGTTCAACCAATAGGAAATAAATAATGATTTATTTACTTTTTATCCCTCCTTCTTTTATCTATCGTAATGAATTTTCATTGTTATTGTTACCAAATAAATCTATTTAGAGACTAAACATATAGAATAAAAATATCGATTACTGTAAGTTTATTTCTTATGTGGAATATTTATCTATTTCATAATTTATAGAATAAAAGAATTGAAATAAAAGGCTATTCACTTTTTTGTAATAAAAAGAATGTTTATCGAATCGATGTATTTATAGGCATCTGAGAAGACTCTGATAGAACCATCCATGAATCATTTCATGCATTATGCTTAGCAATAAGCACCAAAAGAAAATTAAATTTACATCAGTTATTGCTTTCAATATCATCACGATAATTTGATTTATCGTCTACAGTATCAAAATTAAACATAGAACCGTATAATGTCCTGCAGAAAAATACCCATTTTTTTACATTATGATATTTTTATTAGTAAGTTATTTTTAATTATTCTTTTACGCAACAATCGATGGTAACAATTCGAATCTACATCAAAACTAAAATCATTAAAAACAGACATTGACGTTCAATCGTAAAGAATTTCTCATAAATGTACAACTCTCAGTCGAAATTACTAAGTCTTCATAATCATCTATCAAGACTATGTTCTTACGTATTTTGAAAGCAGGGTTTCACATAAAACAAAATTTCAGTATTACAAATAATCGATTATTAGTTAATATTACTTTTGATTTCGGTTGAGACGATATTTTATAGATAAAGCCGACTTATCTTTTTTATTTTAAGTACAAAACCTCGATAGAAAAGAAACTATCCCAGTGCACTCACTTGCACTGATTGATCGAGAAAAATGTTATTTCTTATTGATCCGAAGTACTTTTCTATGCTGGTGAAATTAGTATGAAGCATTTACATTGAATACAGATTATAGAAAACACTAGATAGTAATATTTCGTTAATATTTTCATTTGCAAGTGCTATATAATTGTAACAGAAAAAAATTGCAGTCACAAAATATTTCAGTTTGATATTTTTGTCGACAATTGCCCGAATATTTTCTACTATTGATTCACATAATGCTACTCGAAACAAATTCTTTTTTTTCTCGCTTGGCCCGCCGTTCGCGTTTTTTCTTTTTCTATTTGTCAGCTCTCATTCGTCAGCCATCTCTGTTGACGACCGCCGGGAAGGCGTCGAGATGGAGAGAAAAAAACTAACTACGGCGTCGTTTTTTTCTGCGCTCGTCGAGAATGATAAAATGCTTCTCCATCCTCTGTCCTCTCATTTTTCTGCATACGTCGAATAGAGTAAGTAAGAAAAAGAAGAGGAATGCGAAGGCAAAGTACACAACATTTCTTATTTCATTGCAGCTTGTCATAAAACAATTCTTTTTATTTCAGACAAAAACAACCAACTTCTTCATTCATATCTGTCATTTTTCTCATTTTCTTTTTTCTCCTTCATTCATTTCAATACGGTATATTTGGCAGTTGAATATTCACGTACACAGACGTCGAAACATATCATATACATACAATTGTTTAGTGTATATATCAAGATATTGCCTTTGATAAAATAAATATTGATTCATTCTAAACCAGAACATACGGATTTGTCATTATATCAAACAGCAAGAATAACCATCGTCATCATCTTAAAACGGTAATTAATTGTAAAAAAATTGTTTTCTTATTTTCAACTATACATATTGGATATTTAAAAGTTTGAAGTCAGATCGATTTCATAATATGCATTTTCTTTCTCTCTATATATATATATATATGTATATACATGTTTTCATATACTAAACGAAATTCTATTCATAAATCTATTTCTTTTATGTCTATTACACAAAAAAACACACACGTCAGTTCATTGGTCTGCTTGATAAAATATGCCCTATACAAAGTGTTCCTAACTGACTACAGACATGCAATATGTGACTTACTTTCAAACCAATGAAGTTCGATCATATTCACACATACACAAAAAAAACAGAAATACGCTTATAGGTTCACATTAGATTCTCTGAATGGAGAACGGAACTGTATACATATATGATAGAACCAAGCATAACACGACTTGTTGAATTGATGATATTATAGTGCGCAGTCTTTCTCTTTCTCAAATGACTACATTTCCTAGTTTCTTTTCATTACAAATTATTTTTGAACGCCATTGATCGATGAATATAAAATATGGCGTTCTTCTTACTGGAGTTGATCTATCACAATCAATGATATGTGAACAAATAGATTTTATTAGCATGACAATTTGAACAAGTTTCACAACAACTATTCATCGATGCCGTCGACTACGACAAGCTTTTCAAAATGAAGTAGGATGAACCTGGCAATAAATAAATTTGAAAGTTAAGCATTGAGTAAAACAAAGCTACGAATTTTGTGTTAGAATCATCTAAAGAACTAAGAAGGCAACTATCCCTATTTAAGACGAGTATCCACTGATCAACTAAAATCAATATTTATTGTCGACAAAGCTTTACTTATATCAATATTTACTCTTGACAAGCATCAGAATTTTTCATACATATATAATTAGAATTATCATCAGGATATAAGTATGAATGGTCGAACGCAAGTTATAGATCACTAATTTTCATGTAGACAATGAGCTCTTTTTCGTATCGGACGACACTCAAAAAAAAAACGCACACACCCATTTTTGCCATTTGAACAAGTTATGGTGCTGATTATTATCAGATGCGTATTATGGCCTGTATTTATATGATCGATAGTCATAGACTTCTTACGAAGTGGCTTCTTGAGTCGTCTCTTTTTTTCCTCTGATGCATTTTAATGTATATGCATTAGACCAGTGTATATAAATATGATAGGAGAAAGCATAATTGAAAGGCTGTTCTTGAAGTGGAAAATATTCAATTATTATCGCATACACAATACAAACATTCTAGATTCTCATATATATTTATATATCAGTACTATGAGTAACAATTCGATAACGAAGGAATTTTATGTTTAGTTTAGTTTTAATGTCAAAAAGAAATTTTTTTTGTCTCATGTGGCAATCCGATGCGGCTATTTTCTTATGTATAAGACTTGAGATTTGGGTGTTAACATCAATTATAATTGATCCGAACTATGACTTCCGTGTTCGACAAGAACTAAATTTATAAACGTAATTTGGAGTAGCCATGATCAAATTCTATTTATCGGATTAACATTTTCATTCATTTATGCACGTATTCTCGTGAGAATAGTACATATTTGTTAAAAACACATGAGAAAATTAGATGACGCTACGTGGGTTGATTTAAAATGCATCTCATCATGGACTTTTCTTGATTGAATTCTCGTATGAAAAACAACGATTTCGGATATAGTAGTTGATTATATTTATCTATTGTCTAGCAGACATTATTTAAGATAAGTGATCATTTAACTGATTTTAAGTGTGAAATATCAATTAAATTTTTTTTATATCGATGTATTGGCAACGCGTAAAGAGTTTCGCGAAAAACGATACTAATGGATATTTAAGTTCTCCTTGGAAATAAAACATACATATGCCAATTGATCTCTTCAGGAATGTCCAGACTAATGCAGTTAGCATCATAGTGAATTATTTAGTCTTTGTCGAACATAAGAATATCTCTCCATGACACATGTGATGATAACACTTAAGTATTAAATTCATTCAAAATATCGATGGCTTAAGGCATTAGCTTGTTATGAACGTCTGCAGATTTCCCATTCTGGTTTCTACTTGAGTTGGCATCAATATTCGCATAATAGATTTATCTGATCCTAACTGGTATAATTTATCTTACAGGGATAATGATCATTAATTGAATCAGCTTTTCCCTGGCTCAAAAATATTATTAGAAACAAAAAAAAATTGTAATTAGTCTTTTCGAAAAACATTTTCTTATCGAACGATCTACAAAAGAAAAGAAGATTGTATTTCAAAATATTTCATATCTGTAGTGAAGATATTATATTATGTTATCGATTATTTAAATAGGTCAAGGTTGTTGAGTCTAAAAATAGATTCATTATTAGTTCTTTAATAAATGTAAATGGCAAAAAAAATTAACCACCAATAGGAGTATATAAAAGTTTATCTTAAATATAATCGTATGAGATTAAGGTTCTTTTGGGTTTTATATTTTGAGAAAATTAATTTTTTCAATCACAGATGATTATCATTACCGATATGGTTACAATGTTATACGCAGGAAGAAAATTACCATTTCAAATATAGTCTTTGCATATTATGAATTTTGTTTAATTATGAATAAAAAATTATTGATTCTCTTTTCTGAAAATTTTTCTTGCGTACTAAATTGATTTATTTTAATTCTGTTTCAGTATATATTTGACATAAATTTTAAGAAAAGAATTTAATTATTCGTATGTCTGTCATTATACGGTTGGAAAACCTCCCTTGGGAGGCACGTTCACTCGACATTCGTCGATTTTTTCAAGGACTACAAATACCAGATGGTACGAATTAAATTTTCAGAAGATTCCAAGGCTTTAAATTTTTCCTTCATAGGTGGTGTTCATATTGTTGGAGGCGATCGAGGCGATGCATTCATTGCCTTTCATACGGATGATGATGCTCGTCAAGCGATGCAAAAAGATGGTGGTTTAATTAGTACCCAACCGGTTAAACTGTTTCTAAGCTCAAAAATTGAAATGCAAAATGTCATAGCAGCTGCACGAAGTAAACCACCAGCAGCAACATCTCAAAATCAACAAGCACAATCAGCAAATGTATCACAACAAAAACGTTCTGATCCTCTATCTCAACAATTCACTCATGATATTGATGAAAACCAACATCAGCATCAACAACATCAACAACAACAACAGCAACCACAACCAACAGCTGCACAAGCCAATGATCCGATGGCATCATTTCTTGATGTTGTAAAAAATATTCAACAACAGCAACAACAACAACAGCAGCAGCAGCAACAACAACAACAAAAGACAAATGCTGCAGCAACAGCATTACCAACATCTGCTGCAGCAGCATCAACGGCAACACCTACTTCATCTGGTCTTGCACCAGCTAATCTTGTTCTACAACTTTTACAATCGAATCTAGGCAATATACCGCCTAACGTACTTGCACAAGTTCAAGGGCAACTCGCTGGACAAGGTATAAATCTCATATTTCTATCTCATTAAAATAAAACATTCGATCTTCTTACAGGCTTAGCAACACAACCTAATCAAGTTCTTCAACAATTAGCTGCTCTACAAGCTGCATCTCAACAACAAGCTGCGTCTCTTCAAGCTGGTACTAGTCATTCACCTATTTATAATTCTGCTCAAACGAATTCTCTTGTTCATCATGCTCTTCAGCAACCAGCAATTGCCGATTCTAGTCAAACAGCGAATGCAAATGCATTCGGACAAGGAGCTCCTCCACCATTAAATCTCTTTCCACCAGGTTCAATACCACCATCTGCTTTATCAGCTCTTTTCAATGCTTCACAGCAACAATTACCATTTCAATCAGTTAATAATTCGTTACCTTCGAATTTTCCGCTTCCACCTTGGATTCAACAAAATGCTGGTCAATCTCAAGCGTTTGGTTTACAACAACAACCGCAGCAGCAGCAGCAGCAACGTCCTTTACTTAATCATCCTCAATTACAAGATGATCAACAATTACGTTTAAGACAACAACAACAACAACAACAACATGAGTTTAATTCTAATCAGTTTCAACAACCCTATTCATCTATGAATGCACGTGGAGGACCTCAACAAAATCAACAACGATCGAAACTTCGTGAGCCGTATTTACGTGTAAAAAATCTCTCAAGAAAATATTCATATCGAGATGTTAAACTTCTATTTGCTGATTATAAATTACGTTTGGAAGATATTAAAATGATTAATGATCAAAATGGTGAACGAACAGGTAAGGAAAATCATCTTCTCGTTTATTGAAGTTTACGGTTTTGTTTTTCTTATTGCTTAGGTGAATCTGTTGTTCAATTTCGTTCAATAGAAGATGCCGAAGAAGCATTATCACAATTTAATAATGTGTATTATGGTGGTGCTAATGTACAGATTGTTCCAGCTAGTGAATACGAATTTGCATCGTCTCTTGATTCATTTATTCCAGCATCAGTTAAAAAACGACAACCCGAAGGAGGCTATTGTGTAAAAGTCATTGGTAAATAACTGTTGTTTTCTTTTATCTAAGAAATTAATTTCATATTCTCCAAATTTAGGTTTACCAAAGAATTGGTATAAACGGGATATTCGTCGATTATTTACAGCATCGGAAATTGTGTCCGAACGAGGAATTTATCTAGACAATGATAATGATAGTAATCAAGGTGGTACTGCTTATATTGAATTTGTTAGCGAAGTTGATCTTGAAAAAGCATTATTTTATCATGATGAACATTATGGTAATCAAAAGAGAAAACTAATTTGTTTAGTAAAAATTAAATATACTTTTATTATAGGTTCGTCACGACTTGAAATTCAGCCTATAACGAAAAAAGAAATGGAATCAGAAATCGCATCACTTCGTTCAAAAGATAATCGTCGAAGAGATTATTATGACGGAGGAGATACAAGATCAAGAGCACGATCGCGATCGCGTATGTTAATTTTTAGTTGACAACTCTTTTTTTTAGTAATTCAATTTATTTTAGGTTCTCGATCGCGTTCACCCAAAGATCGGGATACACGTCGATATCCACCACGAGATGAAACAAATGGAGACAATACGGGAGGCTCATATCCTCGACGACCACGTTACAATGAAGGTAAATACCTTTTAAGCACCATTCTTTTTTGATAACGAGCCAAACAGATTAAACGATTAGACATCAGACCGATGAGTCATCATCTCTGATAGAATATTAAAAGAGAAAAACAAAGTATAACTTCTTTTTTTAACTATTCTTACTTGATTGATCTATTTAGAATTGCCACCTACGATAACTTGTCTTCGCCTACGTAATATTCCATATGCCACACGGGATCATGATGTTAAAACATTTTTTACTGGTGTTGAAATAGCTGCAGATGGTATTCTATTTAAATATGATAAAACAGGTCGACCTGCTGGTGAATGTTATGTACGTTTTGGTTCCAGTAATGATTGTCGAAAAGCTTATGAAAAAAATCGTTCACAATTCGGTGGAAGAATATTAGAATTACGACCATTGTCATTATGGGAATTTCAAGCAGCTACATCACAAGAACGTGATGAAACAGGTGCCACATTTTCAACTAATGGTGGTTTAGGTAGAAGAGAACCGTTCGGTGGCAACAGTGGTGGTGGTGGCGGCGGCGGCGGTGGTGGTGGTGGTGGTGGTGGTGGTGGACAAATGTATCACGGAGGACCATTAGGTGAAAAACGAAAATTTCCCTATGATCGTAATGATGATAATGGTAATGGTGATGATAAATCTCCGCCAGATCAACAACGATTCGATCGACGAAAAGGTGATTCATCAAGTCCACGTGGTGGTGATGGTGATAAGTCGCCGTCGAATATGATGGGAAATTCATCCATGGATGATCAAAATGGACGCAAAATGATGCGAAATAATAATTCATCGTTGATACAAAAACAATTAACACAACTACCACCGGGTTACGATCAATATCGTGGACAAGTTTTGTTAATGTCAAATGTTCATTTTCGTGCAACACGTGAGGAAATTTTACAATTTCTACGCTCATTTCATCCAATTGAAGATACACTAAAAATTCATCGAGATAGTTCCGGACGACCAACAGGCCATGCTGTTGTAGCTTTAACGAATGCTGAAGATGTACCACAAGCACTCAAAGAACTTAATAATTCATTTTTTCTTCTAAGAAAAATATCCGTTTGTGTTGTTTAATGGATTCATTATCTACTTTCTTTCTTTTTGTCTGGTCTTGGCTGTACAAACTATTTCCTTTTATTTTTCTCTATTTGACCTTCATTGTTGTCACTATTCTTCTTGATATAGAACGTATGTGTGTATTGATCAACCTTTTTGTTTTCTTTATTCTGTTAACTCGAAAAATGAAGGCAATCTTAAGAGTGACCATGAATATATGTTCCCTTGTTGTCTGTCATTTTTTCCTCTCTCTTTTTTGTTGTTGTTCTCTACTCATGTTTTTTTTCTTTGTGTCAAATAGAAGAAGAGAATAAAGATTAAACAAAAAAAAAGCGAATATGAAAAATTGCGTGCACATCTTTTCTTAGTACTATCAGTTCATTGGAAAGTGATTATAATATTTTTAATTGTAGGAAACGATTATCTTTGTACATAACATTTTCATGTCAGAGCAAAATTAAAATAATTAAAGATTACGCAATGATCATGCAGGCAAAGATGATTAAAACTTTTAGCAAATGCTCCTTTGAGATTTCAAATATGCCATAAAAGTATGCATCTTTTAATCAGAGTATCCCTATGTTACAAGAAATGTATGCGAACAAATCCTTGACATTAAAATTTGAAAACACTTGAAAAAATCTCTTTGCCTCTCACAGTGATGTTTTCCTGTGGGAATCGATCAAACTATAATTATTCTTTAGCTTAATGTCAATAGCTACTACTTTTTTTGGCTTCTCAAAGGAAAGTATTCTAACATTAATTTTCTCTCCGGTAATCACAGTTTAAAGAAAAACATTTGAGAAAGCTGCTTCATTTTTATTCTGCAATCATATCTAGATAAACTATACAAGAACAAAGCCTCGTACGTATGTTCAACAAAGAATACTTCTTTATTTACGCAAGAGATAAGCATCCTTCATCAATACTTCAATTAGCTATATTCCTTTTTTTATTATTATTTGCATCATATTGAATATAAAAGTAATAAAAAGTCACATCGATGACCTGTTGTTTTCTTCCTAACAATCACGCCTATTGATAGGTCATAATTGAATGTTTTAATTTGCAGATTAGAATCAATTGAAACCGAGAATTTATGATACACAAAAAAACATATAGATCGATATTAGTATTTTATTTTCGGCAAGCAGGTGCAATCCCATGGGTCGCATCAACAGCAGTAGACCGTTCATCCTTGAAGGAAAAATGTCCATTTTTGATTACATGTTATACAGTAGTCAGCTGTCCACCTATGCATACGCGTGCATTGACTGTATTTTTTTTGTCCTCTTTTAAAAAAACATCAACAGACGTTTGATCTATGACCTGTAACAGAAACAATATCAATGTTCACTTTTTTTTTCATTGTTAGTTTTTTAAAGTAACCGACCTTGATCATCTAGAATTCGGTTAATACATCTGCTCAATAAGACAAACAACAAAAAACGGAAATAAGTCGTATTAGTTTTCTTTTGTGTGTCCATCTAGAACAACAACAACTATAGAAAAAAAAAATGTGTACATTCAGGGTAAATTTCATATTATTTTCTCAATGGACTTCAACTTGTAATATGATCTGGCCATAATCACCGCAGGGGCATCGACATTTTATTTTTTCTGTTGTTGTCATTCGTCGTTGAGAGTCATACTTATACGTATTTGAACTTCTTTATTAGACTTTTTACTATTTGACCACTCGGTTGGTGATTTTTTGTTATCGTATAGTAATAATCATTATATGATTATTACTATATTGCACTGACAGCACATGCGTATGTATGGCAAGGATAAAATATTGACAGACGTTTGTGCACAATGATGACTTCTTATGTTCAATACACGCTGCGTTTTTAACGCACAATTGACATTTACTAACACATTAGGAGGTCCATGATGCAACTTATGATTATTTTTATTCGAACACCAGCTATTTTAGTCAATCAAAATTAATGATTAATTTATAGTCGAAGAGAAGAAAAAAAATGAGTTAGAGATGCCTATATATCTACTTTTCTTTTCAAGTATTTAAAATAATATTTATTTTATTTCTTGCCCGAAAATGTCTCTTGTTGATATGTAACACTGTAACAGGATGTGTTTCCGCTTTTGAACATGCTTCTATGATGGACGATAATGGGTACACGCTTGTGTTCCTTTTGCCATCTATGAAGGTCGTACAAACATGTGTGACTGAACTTTGCTGTGCTTGATAGAGTCTGTTTTAGCCTCTTCTTTATCATCTTTTTTTTCTTCTTCCCCCCTCTCTCTTAATATGTATGTATATGAGAATGACACTATATGTTCAGAAGATTTGATTAGTTTCTTTTTCTTCTTTTGCTCAACATACGTATATCAATAGATGAGTCAATTTAAGTAGAACAAAAGACGGTTGATATCCAATGATGAGAAGAAGATACTGCTGTTCTATTTCATCGTTTACTGCTTATATTACATATTAAGTCTGATTTTTCTCTCTTACCTCAAATCCATTGTGGTTTATATAGTATCTTACGTAAGATTAATTTTTAGTTCGGTCGATTCTCAATGGATGCCGTTCACCTTTTTCCTCTTTCCCCTTTTCTTTTTATTTAAATTATTATGATTGGAAACAACACGCAAGGTTGGTCACTTTTTCAATATGCCCTTATTGATTAACTATCCGTTCTTTTCTTTTTTCTTCTCTCTTATTACTATTCTTTCTTCTACGGTTTTCTTTCGATTGAATTTTCATCTCACATTTCTTCATAATACACAAATCCTTTTCTATGTCGTCTAGGTAAAACATAATAGCTTTCGTATACATGCATCATTAGCCATCTATATGTTATGTTGCATGTGTCAATTTCATCTTAATCTCGGAAATAAAATTTACTTGAAAGCTCCTTCTCTTACGTCAGACATGCAATGTTACAATATTCTAAGAGTTCGACTATTCATTTCAGTATATATATATATATATATGCATGTACTAGCTAGATGACATCCTATCAATTAGAGCTTAATCGTTGTTCGTTTATTTTGACTAGTTGTTGTTATACGCGTGTCCGTCTGTGATCACTCCCACGTATCAATAATCATTATACAAGCTCAAAGAAGAAGCAGAAACGGCTAGTAGAACACCTAACATATGTATCATAAATCTCTAATAGATGTTGGGGTACAAAGAGATGATTATTATCTATAATAGTAAGTAGATTTCTTTCCATATGGCTCCGTTTTCACATCTATAGACAACAAGAAAAGAGAGAGAGACAGAGACGAGGAAAAGATAAACAGACGGTTGATTTCGCAAGAAATAAACAAAGGTCACTTAAAATAAAACAGATCATCTTCTGTTTAGATAATTATAAAAACAAAACAATACAGGATCAGGCGTAGTATTTTTATTTTGCTCGTGTCAAGTTTTTTTTTTGCCGATAGACTATTTCCATTTTATTGCATAAATTCATTGTCTCTGATGTGATGAACGAGCAAATACGATTGACCGAATCACTTAGAGATAAGAGTTTCAATCGACGAGATTGTATAATTGCGTGGCAATGATGTTCAAATAGAACAATTGAATAGAAGCACAAAAAAGAATCTTGTCTATCTATACGTATAGATGAATTTCTATTGAGATTTGTTTCTTAAAATCAATAAATAATGAGTAGTAATCCCTGAATTCAAAGAAATACTCTCGCTAGTAATAGTAATAGTTCATCTACCTTTTTCTTTCCTTATTCTAGATCGACATATGTATGCAAGTTAATTTTAATCATGACAATGTTACGTGTGAATTTATTCATATTTCTACTATATTTAATTCCATACTCTCAATCAATTGTTTCACAAATTTTAACGCCCGTATCGATTTTTGAAGAAAGTCCAATCTCAACAGTTGTTGTTGACCTTCGGCCAACATTTCAAAGTCTTGGTGTACATCCTGACCAAGCTGCTCTTCTACATAGTCAACCAAGTCAACCATTTGAATACATCAATGGACGTATTCGATTGAAATCTCGTTTAGATCGTGAAGATTACGTTCGAAAACGTTTATGTATTGGTGGTAATGTTCTTGAATGTAATTTTACTTTGACATTAACAGTGAATCTCAATCAAGCACCTTACAATTATATTCTATCGCAACCGATATCTTGTCAAGATATCAATGATATAATACCGAAATTTTCACAAGCTGAATCAAAAATTTCCATGGCTGAAAATGTTCCAATTGGACATCGAATACCACTTGAAATAGCTGTTGACTTAGATTCGCCACCGTATGGCATTGCTTATTATCGTTTAGTTACATATAATAATCATGAACAAAGTCAATTTTCTATTATTTATGATAATCAAAGTCGAGAACTCGAATTAATCGTTAATGAAAAATTAGACCGAGAAAAGGTTGATAAATATATTTTCAAATTAATGGCTATTGATCGAGGTCATCCACCGAATATGGGAACACAAATATTGACAATCCAAATTAGGTAGGAAATCAATTCATTTTTTAAAGCTTTTTTTTACTATTTCTCCTTCTTCTTAGTGATATCAATGATTCTCGCCCACGATTTGAATCATCAGTTTATAATATAAGCGTTGCTGAAAATACCCTACCAGAATATCTTATTAAAATTCGTGCAATCGATTCGGATACAGGTCCCAATGCTGAATTAACATATACACTCGAAACTGATCATAATGGTCTTTTTCGTTTGGAGAAAACGACGGGTATTTTAACATTAACACATGCGCTTGATTACGAATTACATACATCATATCAACTCAAAGTTGAAGTTCATGATAATGGAATGAATCCATTGAGTGACACATGCATTATTAATATCTACGTACTTGACCAAAATGATCATGCACCTTCAATTCAAATGAAATTTAATCCTATGTTTGAATATAATCAAGATGGAAGTATGGCTTATATACCAGAATCGTTCGATATTAATCTGCCAATAGCTTTTGTGACTGTTTACGATCAAGACTCAGGAGATAATGGAAAGGTATTTATGAATGATTTTTGAAAGCCATCTAGTTTCTCATTTAAATAGTTAAAGTTCGTTGATAAAGGAATTCTGTTTTTTAAATTTCTCTAGTCTCAATTAACAATACAACCCAATCGTGTATTTTATCTTGAAATAATGCGTCTAAATTATTATGCAATAAAATCTTTGCGTCGATTTGATCGTGAAACAGTACCATCCTATCGAATAGAGTTAATTGCACGTGATTTCGGCCAAACCAGTTTAAGACGTTCGATGATATTAGATTTAAATATAACTGATGTCAACGATGAAAAGCCTGTATTTAAAAGTAATTATACATTTGATCTTATAGAAAATAATCCAACACCAAGTACTATTGGTCAAATAACTGCATTTGATGCTGATCAAGGTTTAAATGGACAAATAAAATATTCCATCGTACCTTCGTCATCACATTTTTTTATCTCGTCCCATGATGGTACTATATCGACGAATATTTCGTTTGATTATGAATTAAAACGTGAATATAATTTTAAAGTTCGCGCAACTGACCATGGAAAACCTCCACTCGAATCAACCGTTCATGTAAAAGTACATATAATTAATCAAAATGAATATTCACCTGAATTCGAAAAGAATATGTATTATTTTTCAATGAATGAAAATTCAACAAATCAAACCGTAACATTTGTCGGTAGAGTTAAAGCAAAAGATCGAGATTTCGGAGATTATGTCACTTATGCATTAAATGACAACGAACATTTGTTTACTATTGATCAAGATGGAAGTATTTGGACTGATGCCATATTTGATAGAGAAATAAAAGATGAATATAAATTAACAGTAATTGCAGTCGATAATTCAACAGATGGATTAATTGGATCAACTATAGTTATTATTCAAATCAAGTAAAGTTTCCTATGATTATTTTTTTTTTCTTGCACAGTGTACAATGGAACTTAGGTAGTTGACCAATAATTACAAACTTAGAGATATGTAAGACTAGCTCCGGGAGCAAGATAAAAACCGTAAAATAGACTTGAATTACAGTTGCCCGTAAAAAAACATGAATATTTCTTAGAGTGCGAAGAAATGAAATTTAAAAATATTGTTTTCTTTTTTTTTTCTTCCTATAGAGATATCAATGATAATTATCCAGTATTTATTTGGCCTGATTCGAGTGAAATTCGCCATATTCTATCTGATGATCACTCTCAACGTATTGATTCAAATAATCCTTTATCTCAATTTTTAACTGATATTGTTGTTCAAGATGATGACATAGGAAATAATTCTTTAATTCAATTAATAGTTTCAAAGAATGATTTATTTTACATTGGCTCAAATAATTCCTTATGGTTACGTAATTCATCTGCATTACCGGGCACATATGAAATAGAAATTATAGCAAAAAACTTTGATTTAGTGACAAAAAAACTTTTGCATATTATTATCTATGATCGTAATCCATTGAAATTAAATCTATTGAACAATATGCGTGAAACATTTTCCCGTTTTTCAGTTACGATTATAATAATTTTATCATTTTTAGCAACAGGCTCAACTATAGTTGTACTTATTTATTATCTCTGGCTGCGTTTGCATTATACATCGGACGTACAAAAACGTTTATACGGAAGTCGATTAATTGTTAATGATGAAGATAAATCAAAACAAAGTAGTCCTCAAACAAAAATGGATGTTCTATCCAATACTCATAATCATGATTATGCAGTTGTTATTAAACAAAGAAAAGTATGTTTGATTGATAAGTATAGAAGGTTGTTCGTGTGTATGACTGATGGATCTATATTCAACATCTGTATATATATATATATATATATATATATATATATAGAGAGAGAGAGAGAGAGAGAGAGAGAAGTAATCTAGTGTTGATGATTTTTTCTTTTGCTCAATTGAGCATGTATGACCTTCACTCTGTCGAGGAGTTTGATCAATGACAAAGAAAAACGTCATCGAATTACAAAACATGACTTTCTATTAATCTTCTTTTTTTTTCTTTTTCTATAGAATTCTCAAATTCCATCTGGTAATAGTTCTTCATCAACCGACGGCGATTTTTCTTCATCATTACTTTCTTGTCCTTATAATATAATATCTTCATCAACCAATGATCTAAATTTTCCACAGAGAAATCCTCCGTCATCAACAGTATCGGCTCTAGCAACTTTAACAAGAAAACCATCGCGTCGTCATCAAACGAAAAATGTTAGTTTCGAACCAGCATTAATCAATCCAGCGAATAATTTATTTGATGATTTATTTCAAAATAATTCAACGTCATTTCATGAAAATACATCTTCGACATTCAGTACATTACCGAAACCGATTAAACATGATCTATCGACATTATCATTGAATAAACAACAGAATCGATCAAACAATTTTCCAACATTACAAACTGTTCTTAATCAATCATTAGTAAATAGTCAAGCGAAATTACCACAACCACCGCCATTACTTAATGGAATTCTTTTGCTTGATCATATGCTTACGGGTTCAACAACATCGAATGATGAAAGAACTCAAACATTATCATCATCAACAGCTAGTAATAGCGGATGGTATAATGTCACATCTAATTATGAGACAAGAGCTAGCGTTGTATAATAAATATTGCATGTCCGTGCGCGTGTGTTTACTAGTCGTTGTCGCTTTCTTTCTTCATGTCTTATCATTGCTTTTTCTTTGTACGTAAAGGGATTGTTTGGAAAAGAATAATAATAAACCTGATGACGGTTGATTTTATATGTGAATCAAATGCTCAAAGAAGATCTTCTATTGTATTCTCCAAGAGATTGTTCTTTTGAGGCTCAAGGTTTATTTTCTAACAATGGAGGTGTTTGTATTGTAAATTGAAAATACTAGATATTTTTACATCAAAAGAAAGCTCTCACCGCCAAACTACCAAGGTTAAAATATTCATTTCCCGTTGATATTCGGTTTTTCAGTGAATTTTCTCTACAGGACCTGCTTTCCAGAAATATCATATTTTCGAATTTGAACCGGAGACTTTGTATGCATGAAGGCCTCAATGAGACTAGCTTACAGAAAAAAATCAGAAGTTTTGGACAAACTTTCTTCGAGATATAGATATCTCAAGCATACACCTTCTATCGAAAATCTTCAATATTTTGAGAGATTCATATCTCGAAGAGAGTTTGTCCAGAACTTCTGATTTTTTTTCTGTAAGCTAGTCTCATCGAGGCCTTCATGTATACAAAGTTTCAGGTCCAAATTTGAAAATATGATATTGTGGGGAAAGCAGGTCCTGTAGAGAAAATTCACTGAAAAATCGAATATCTCCCTCTAGACAAGCTAAGGGAAGCTAATATTTTAACCTTGTTAGTTTCGCGATGAGAGCTTTCATTTGACTCGAATATGACCTATATTTTTACTTATCAATACAAACATCTCCATTGCAAGGGAATTATGCGACATCATACCAACTTTTTCAAAGGATACTGAAGTGAGACTATCAATGGTGTTTAGTTAAGATTATCAATGGCGTTGATATCGGTTGCAAAATAGACAGTTGAACTAGAAGCTCGATTGAGAAACTTCATATGGAATTTATAATTATGAGAATATAGTAATCACTTCTCTACCACCGCCTTTTACAAGTATACATCGATAGATTCCTTCACATAATTGATCAACAAATTGTATATATGCATAATCAGCATTAGCATTTGTTCGAGGAAGTTTAGGTAAATTAATAAGAACTAATTGTGAATCACGTGATCGTCCGAGAATCGTTTGATTCAAACGAGCAGCTGAATGCATTTTTTTCCGTACTTGTATATCTTCAATAAGTGTATATGTCAAATGGTTTCCTTGATTGATTTCAATGGACGACGGTGTAAATGTATAATGAATATGACCGCCATCTTAAAGAGAAAATATCGAAATAATCTTTTTTGTCTACGATTTATTAAATTTACCTGCAGGATAATTTTGAAACATTTCTTGTATATGTTGCTCTCGTTCAAGATTAACTTGTTTTTCATTGAAATCAAATGGATTGAAGTGTTTTGAATTAACTGTTGTCATCGTTCGATATTTTGTAAACGCAGATATTTCTTGATCAGCAACTATAACAGCATGAACTTCAGCTTTGATGCGTAGCTGATAAACATATTGTTCAAGTTCACGTTTTTGTATGTCTGGTTCTTGATTCGGTAAACATATTGTAAATAAACGCAAAATGCATTTATTCCAAACATAATGTTGTTGTAGAAGAAATGCTAAAAGAAATAATAAACCACCATCGTGTATTATCCACCAAACGTCAATATAGCCAGATTGAATATCTAATAAACTTGGATATGAATCAATATTTTTAAGAAGTAATATAGCAAAATTTTTATTTTCTGCAAGACGTATAGAATCGAGATAAGAAACAATGGTATCATCGATGCGTCCAACGATTTGATATTTTTGCCATGATGTTGGCCAATCTATTGAATTCTTTTTTCACTTTGAGAAAAAACGAAAACTTTTGCAACGATACTTACCGAATATAACCTAAAGAAGAAAAGAAAATGATTTTTTTTTATAGACAGTTAAAATATCGCCAACTTTCCTAAATTTTTGATCTTCTCAGCTTACCACAGGGATAGGAAAAACAACTAATCCTGGTGAGTAGAGAGACATACCGTATTCGGACGAAATCCACCAACACCACTGGTTTGCATAATTGAATTAATACCATCGTAAACATTATTAGCAACAAGTATATCAATAAATCCATTTAGAATTTTATGTGTAATCATTTGTTCTTTTAAATACTGACGTAACTGTTCAACTATGTCTCGTTTTTCATCGTATTTGCCTAGATCAAACATGATACCGCTCGGTTTACAAGAACAGAGATCAACAAACCTTGTATAACCGTTGCTACAATAACAAGACCTTTTCCAGCTTTCAATTGACTTAATAGGCCAATTATTTTTTCATGTTGAATCATCCATCGATGTTGATTTTCATTATAAATACATTTAATAAACGCTAAAATTTGTGGTCGAAAATTTTTCGTATGCATGGGTCGATCATCCAAATGTGATAGAGCTACATGTGCTACCGACATGGGTAAACCTTTTAAACCTTCACCCCATTCTTTATTTGCACCCGTGTACCAGATATAAATGTAAACGATCGTACCCACTACTAAACTTACTAATGCAATATACCATGATGATATCAACATAATTGCAATACAGACAATCACGCCAAGAAGGGATAATGACCAATGATAGAAACGAAAACGTGGTCGCCATGATGGTTCATCTGAACATAACTTTCTATGCTTCTCTTATGTTTTCAATTGTTAACAATAAGAAATGCTTACGTAAAAGTGTTTGAAGAATACAAACAAAATTAACTGATAGATAACACATCAGGAAAAATTCAGAAACCATTGCTAAATAAAGAAACATAATGATAACGAAAATTTAAAACGATCAAATCGATATACTTGTTACTACGTCAAAATTAGCAATAAGTACACTTATTTCCGATAAAGCTAATGTGAATAACAAAGCTTTAAAAGGTTCATCGCGAAATGTCGATTGGAACGGTTTTAATATTGGCATGATATCATCTTTTGCTACCGATTGTAATAGACGCGGAGCACCAATAAGACTAAATTTTCAAAATTCTCATTATTGCAAAAAGAAGATTCGTCTATTATGCGAAAGGATCTCCCAATTAAAATATCTTTTACCATTGTAATCCAGCACCAAAACAAGCACATAATGCTCCCGTTATTATTACATAAGGTGACGGCCATGCGACAGCTGCTTCGACAAGTTGTTGATTAATACTTAAGCCATCTCGATCACGTAAAAGTACACCTTGAGTTGAACATGCAATAAGAAATGCTATTAGAATATAGATCAATGATGTTGTTATAACGGCCACTAGAATAGTAAAGATGCATAAGAAATTCTTTGAAATTCAATCTTACAAATGGTTCCTCGAGGTATTGATTGACTTGGATCTTTCAAATCGCCACTTCGATTCGATCCTGCCATAATCCCTGTGACACTCGGAAAGAAAATTCCAACTAGAAAAAGGAAGTTTACTAATTAATTCATTCTATTGTTCGCTTGCTTAGTATGAAAAATGACGTTGTGGTTTTACTAACAACTTCCAACGTTGAATCTCCTAAACTAATCAATCAATTTTCTAACAAAAAAATCCTTCTGAACTTACCTATAATTCCATTATCTATTTCACCTTCGTTCATATATGTTGCTTTTAAATTATTACTAAATTGTGAATTTTTCAAACCAGGTATTCCATTGATTAGATAGACATTATTCATATCATTGCAATTAATATTTCTACTCATATTATTTAAACATACAGCTTGATGAAGTGGGCATGGTTCTCCATTACATGTTGCATTCGGATGACAATAGCGAAGAACATTATTTTTTAAGATCGATGATTTAATTAAATGTTTTATATTATCTTTTTCAATGATACATATTGGTAAATACGTCGGTGCTACAGCACTTTTGATTATACCAATTAAAATTGATATAAGAGAAAGAAAAACAACGAGTAAAGTAAATGGTGCTAAGTAGAAAAATGTAATATCTTCTTATTTCAAGTATCAATGATGAAGTCTTTTACCTATTCGTGAAACAATTTTTATACCTAGAAAAACAATAATGCCAAGAATTAGAAGCAAAATACTACCATATATACGATAGTGATTAAATGAGCTTTGTTGATTTTCAATAGGTGGTCCAAATAAATGGCATCTTAAATCGTCGTCGAATTAATTTCGAAAGCAAAAATTCAAAAATTACTTATTCGGACATGTATACTTCAGTAGAATTTCACTAGCACCTAATACATACAGACCACCAGCTAAAGCATTGCCTATGTAAAATAAAAATCCAACAGCTCCACCAACGGCTGGACCTAACGATCTTGATATAAGAAAATATGAACCACCTGCCGGAACTATACCATTCGTTGCAACTAGGAGTGCACAAAAACAAAAGTGTGATTTCATTCTTTAAATCTCAACTTTCCTACTTGCAGCTAATGAAATAGCCGTAAGAAAAGTACATAAACAACAAAGACCAATGATAATCATTCCTTGAATAATTCCACTGACACCAATAACCCAATAGAGTCGAATAAAAACGATAACGCCAATTATATTTTGTACACATGGAAGATAAACACCAAATAGAGTATTTAATTCAGCATTTGAAGATGATTTCGATACATCGTCGACGATAGGCATAAACGTTCCACCTTGATAATCATATAGATTTTTAAGAAAACCAGCTTCTTTTTCTACGACTAAATCAGTTTCAATGTTATTTCCGATTTCTTTAGATTCTATCGGTTGAAGTGATTCTTCATGTACACGATCTTGGTCTTGTGGTTCTTTTGCAGAAATCGATGGAACTAAAATATAATGTCGTGAAACTTCTTTTTTTTTCTGTTTTCAAAATTTACCTTCATCAGCCTCGTCGAAATGAATAACTTTAAAGCGACCTTTGTTACCCGTAATAGATCCAGTACCATTTAAATTTGTTATATCTGATACAGCAGTAAAAAAACTATCGATACTCATAGTAAATCAGATGTGTTCATTAACGTTTACATGCAAAAGCAGAACGAAAATATAGTTTCCTACAGATGTCTCTGAATGCCATCTGTTGATTAGCGACATTTGTGTTTTGAAGTTCGATAAGAGAGAGAAAGCGAACAGTTGCCAAGCATCCATCTACACGAATGGCAAAAGTTTATCTTCATTCGTTTTTCTTCTTTTGTTTTAATCATGGCACAAATCATTTCCTCGAAACCTTTTTGTCTTGAAAATTCCACTCAACTAACACGTCCTGCTTCCGAAAGCTTCTATCGTATCGATGGAAGTAGTGCACCAACAATCATCGATAAACATCAAGCAAAACGTCTCTATCGTCTTCAACAAGCACCAAATGTAAATGCGAATCTTCATGTGGACACTTCTGAGGTTAATTATGATGCAGAAGGATATTTCGATAGTATAGTACGTAAACAAATCAATGAAAGTACTCCACTATCAACAAAATCAGTATATCATCCACCAGTTGATATGTCGAATGCATCGATGAAAAGATTTTCACTTGGAAAAGCTCGTCTAGATCCTCAACATACTGTACCAAGTGAAATGACTACATTACGAAACCATCCAGGTGCTATTACTATACTTCGGTAGAATAGAGAAGCTCGATTGAACAACGTGAGAATTTTCTTCTTCTTTTTTTTTGTTGATAGACATGAACAAGGTGCGAATGGTGAAATTGTTCCACGCTTTACTGATCGACTAGTAATAGATAGAACACTTCGTGGAAGATTAGGTCCAGGAGGTAGGTTCTTTGATTTTTGATCTATCGATCAATTGTTTCATCTCTTGAAATAGGCACTTTAAACCCTGAAGAAGATTGTCGAGAAGCTGAAAATTATCTTCGTAGTCAAGGTCGTCTATCAGCACCTACAACTACACCTCTCACCTACAATCCAAATAAACAACAACTATCTGTTAATGAACAACTGAAACGTGATGAAACTGCTCGCCATTACATGTACACATCATCTCAACAAGCTGCTTATGACGAAGTACCATGGGGTTAGTTTCAATCAATAGTTTTATTTCATTGTAATCACGAAAACTTTTTCTTACCTATAGATTCTAAGTTACCGTCGAAACTTCCTGTTCCAGCGACAACCTATGAAGCTGATGGAAGTGATCCTGTGTTAAAATCTAGACATGCACCATCCGTTCTCGATGCTCGTACACGTAAAATTCTTGAATGGGATCGTGTACAATCGCGTAATGTTAACTTCTATCGAAAACCTGTTCAAAATGTTCCGCCATTATCACGCGCTGACCACATATCTGGTTATTCAGGCTCGATTGGTGGCTATCATATACAGGAAATCGATGATCCAACAGTAGATTTTAAACCATTTACCGTACTCCGTACTGAACAACCAAAATTTGGTATCAATCCATTGTAAGTTTTATTTTGTTTTTCATCTATGATTCAATTTATTGTTGTTTTTAGTAAAACAAATATTCCATTTTATACTGGAAATACTCATTGGACAAAAACTGATCCTGTATCTCATTATGATAAATCAGGTCATGCGTATACAACAAGTGCTGCATTTCATAAGTATAAAGATGATTCATCTTTTATTGGCTTATTAAGTATTTTGTTTTTAATTAAGGCCACTTCCTGTTGATTATGCGACCTATCGTCATACTGGTTTGAATGGACAGTTGTCACGAGCAGTAACAACGGTTATACCACAAAACCCATTTAATATGATGGATATTAGTAGTACAACAGTGAATGCATCGCTAGATAGTCGTGCACAAATATTAATTCAAAACTTACCAAGTACTTTTCCATCAACATCCAAAAACAATAAAAATGAAGAGAAAAAAGAAGAAAAACCTGATAATAATCAAGACCAAAATTAGATCAAATTTGATGAACTGTTCCTTTCTTTTCTTTTGCGGTGCTGTTTATTTTCATTTTTTTTTCTCAAAAATTACTATCGCTTCTTATTTTTACCTTTTAAATAAAGTTTCATCTTCATAGCTAACGAATGTATATAACCTTACCAATAGATTTTCTCTAAAGTGCCTCTCATGACGAATTAGTAAGAACAAAATTGTTTCATAGTGCATGTACTGTTTTCCATAAAATAGAAATAATATCTCCGCGTAACCTCGAATATTTTGTGGGTAGAAATCGTTTAGAAGATGGCGCTTTAGTTCACAGCAATTATGCCTCAGTTGCTTGGTTTCACCGAGCATGAATGGTCGATAAATGGTGTGACATGAAAATGTTTGTACAAATTTAAACTGTTTACTTTATGTTAAATTCAGTGTCACATTTTGTTTCAAGTGTTAACTCAACATAATGAATGACTTTGGAATTCCGTTAAATTTGTCCGCCGCCCAAGAACAATTGAAAAACTCTAAAATTGATCCTATTCTCTACATTGATGATAATAAAGAAAATGATCTTATTCAATTTATTAATAAAGCACAACACCAAGGCTTCAATTGTCTTGATCTTTCTAAAAGAAATATCAAAGAATTTCCTTCTCAACTTCTCGGCTTTACATCCTTGCAAGTGAGCCTTTTGTTTTTCTCTAAAACGAAACAATCACTCCATGTCCTTTTCTCAGTATTTATATTTAGAAGGTAATCAATTAACTGAATTACCTGATGATGTTTTTATTCGATTATCAAATTTAAAATGGCTTGATTTAAGAAATAATAAATTAACTTTAATACCAAGTCGTGGCCTCGCTAAACATCAAGCTCTTCAATATCTGCTACTAAGTGGAAATCATCTTCGAACATTACCTTGCGAATTGGGTACGCTAAAAATAAAATTGTTCTTTCGATCTAAAACTTTCATATCTCTTTAAATTACGAATAGGAAAAATGAAACAACTAACAGCGTTGAATCTGGATGGTAATCCATTAGGTCATCCACCATGTTACATAATTAAACAAGGTATTAAAGCTATTCAAAAATGTTTACGTGATACACTTGAATCTAACGATCTATCATCATCATCATCATCATCATCATCCGAGGATGATGATCCTGATCAACAGCAACAAATAAGATCTTCTGTACATCATGCTCCGATGTTTCTTCGAAAATCTAAGTATTTTGATATAAACAAAAAAGAAGTGAAATGAATTGAAAAGAAAATTTACTCTTATCGTCTTTATTTTATCGATAGATCTGAAACAGGTTATTATGACACAACGCCTCTTAACATCTTACCTGCTCATTTTCAGCCATGTTTACAATTTAAACGAATGACTTATTCCGCACTACGTCCTTCCCTACCGAGTAGATCTCGGCCACAATCAGAAATGAGAATGTCTCAAATGTACGCAGCATATTTTCTTCAAAAAACAATATTTATATTAGCTTGAATTTTATTTAGAAAACCACGATTTGTAACGAATAAAACTAATGAGGCGGAAAGTGATGTTTATTTCATGCAAGAACAACGCTTGCCTTCCAAATCGAAGCCACATGATACAAAAATTAGTGAAGAACTACAACAAATATATCATAAAACTTATACTCCAACTAAAGGTTATTTAAAATACTAACAAAAACGTTTGAACTATCTATTGTATTTTCATAATAGAGTTCGAAGAACCTCTTGTACATACGCCATTTCATATTGATACGCATTTTATGCCAATACTACATAGAAACCAACACGATTTAATGAAATTCGAAGGTCGACGAATTCCAACACCAAAAAATCCGTCCAATGAAGATGAACAAAAGTAAATCGGATTATGAACAATGATTATTTTTTTCTTTAACAGTGAAATATTTCTCTATTCAATTTAAGACGTTTGCATGATCAGAAAGTTCAAGATCGTATCCGACAAATAACCGATAAAATGCTCAAACGTCGATTCGAAGCCCGACAAAGTCATTTTGCTGAAAAGCGTCAAGTGAAACTTGAATTGCGTGAAGTACGACATCGAGTTTTATTTATTCTCGGCTGCTGTTTTGTTCTATTCTTTTCTTTTCTTTTCTTTTTGTTTTAGTTACGTAGACTTGAATCGGCGACAACAAATCCACATCGGCCAATCAGTCAAATGAATAATCATTTTAAAAAAATCTATGATAATGTTAATTCTCAGAAAAAATCTTAGTATTTTGTTTTTCTCTGTATAAATAAAATTCTAATCTAGCTAACGCGCTCGACCAATGTCTGATTGAATTCTCGGACACGAACCGAACCATTGTAAAGCAAATTACTGCCAGTAGAGAAGTAGCCTCTTGTGCTTAAATACAACGAACGTAAAGAGTTAAATGTCTTTCATTTAATTATAATTAAAAATGACATTCAAAATATTTTTTTTGACAGATTGAAAAGAATAAATGTATTTGATTTCATCTCGTGATATCATACACAAAAGAAACTTCCCAAACAAAAAAAAGAAAATGGCCCGTAAATGACACTGTATAAAAAGAAGACAAAAAAATGACCCAAAATTTCTAAACCGGTGACATAGAAAAATGATCCATGTTATTATGAATTAATAGCAACCATTCTATACATATCTTTGACAAGTTGTTCCATATGAGTTTTGTCTCCGATTGTTTTTCGAAAGAAAACTTCTTCGATTATCGACGATGATATTAATCGAAACGATGATATCAGTGTTAATAATTTTAAACAACGATTTTCTTCACATGGATATTGTTTATTGATATATGTACTCAATAGTATGTGTGCTTGATTATGTAAATAATTAATTGAATGTATATCGTTTAATTGAGGATTAATTATTGTTTGACAATCATTTAAATTTGCTTTAAATAGAACAAAATTTTTTAAGCAAATTAATTCATTGGGATCCATTTTCATTTGTTTTAATTTATTTAAAATTTCTTGAAAATTTTCAATATCGGCTCTAAACATTTCATATTGACGATTTGAATAAATCAGTTCTTCTACATCTAGTGTATATTGTTGTTCAACGGCAGTTAGAATAAATAAATCACGCCAACTTTCTTCAAGTAGACAAAGCTAAACATGGAAAAAAATATTTATAAAATACATAATTTCAGCTCGATTTAACATACTTGATCGCGATTGGATAATGATGTAAAGGCTGGCACTGTTTTGATCCAATTGATTGCATTAAATAGAATCTTAGCTGCTAATTCATGATGATCAATAGTTGGATACTATATCATAAAAATCTCTTTTTCTTTGTTTATTCAATTATTTTTTTAATTTACTTTTGGAACCGATTGAGGATTTTGAAATGGTATTGATGATTGATAACGATGAAACTGATATGCATGCAATAAATCAGTGGATTCTTTCAGTAATAAAGCCATTTGTTTTTTTATTGTTGAATTTCTTGGTCCACGTTCATGTTGAACAGCTAAACAAAAAACTCAAAATATTTAATCATTTCGAAATTGAACTATTTACCTTCTTTATTCATTCCGGATTCTAAACAACGTCTTAAACGACAACTTCGACATTGATTTCGATGAGTTTTATCGACAGGACAATTTCCTATACCATGATTTTTACACGTATATTGACGATTTCGTCGTATTGATCGTTTAAAAAATCCCGCGCACCTTAACAAAAACAATTTTTTTTCTATGGAAGTAAATATTCGTGACTTTTTAGTATTTACCCATCACATGCAAATATTCCATAATGTTTACCAGACGAATTATCATGACAAACTTTACAAGGAACATCGGTTAAAATTCGACCTAAGACAAAAAAATATTGAAATCAAAGTTTTCGCTTTATTGTGGTATGTACTTGATGTTGTTGTATTCATTTGTCGTTGTCCGTTCATCGTATAAAATGGATAGGTCACTTATTTTCAAAAGAGAAAAAGACAAAAAGTCGAACCATTCATCGAATAAATGAACAGACAAAATCAATTCATTGGATGTTGTTTGATATATATTTTTTCTTTTCGTCTCTCTCTCTCTCTCTCTCTCTCTCCTATTCAATTACACGAAGGGGAAAAAAAGAATCACCTACACGGTATGGATTTTAGCTTATAACATGCAAACAATTAGTGTTACCCGTTTTGATTTAAGTAAAACTGAAGAGAAGTGAAAGTTTTTATTGAAAAATAACCATGAACTAACTAAACTTCGTGAAAAAAAAAGAAAGAAAAAGATAACAACCTGTACGGACATCACTTATATCTGCATGTATCTAATTGGTTATTATCAATTGCTCTAATGATACATGAGACAATAGGATCACGACCTCGCCAATCGATATGTAAATATCGTCTTCAAGATCCTTGTGCTAAGCTCATTCATTCTCTCTCATATAATGATGGAGGTACCTCTTACTTTTTCTTCTAGTCTGTATATAAATCGTCAATTGACAAACAGCAATAATTGTATACACGACATTTATGTACGGTCTATTTGTAGAAGAAGAAAATTACTATTCAACTAATATTACCAGGTTCCATTCAATCGATAACAAGCACAAACAAATAATGTAAGGAGAAGAGTGAAATAAGAAAAAAAAACGAACGACTATTTGAATGACAAAAGCGACCTATGTTGATTATATTTGATCAATATTATATGCGGGTCTATGACTTTATTAGTGGAATAAAAAAATCGATACGTGTGAAGTAAATCAAGTGTAGAGTAGGTCTACCTTGCTCTTCTCTTCGTGTAGCTATATGTGCATATTGAAAAAGAACAAAATTAATGTCATTTATTCATCACTAATCTCTCGACATAATTGAACAAGTTCAACAGTATACATTTTCACCAGGTTTATCTTACATAATATCAATTTGTTTTTTTCCCTCTCTCGTCGATCGAAACAATATTTGATTAGAAAAACCTTTTCTACATGAAATCGAACACTTTATTTTATATGTTAATATATGCATGTTAGAATAAAATCAATAATATTCTTGTTTATTTGTAAATATAAAAGTTGAAATTCGGATCAAACTGTCATTGTTGCTTACAAACGTATTATTGTCATTTGAGATCATGCTTGCGTGTTATAATCCTTTGCATTCGAATAAGGTGAAACGAAAAGAAATAATGACAACAGTGATTTAGCATAGGAGGGACAAATCAACCATCCTTGATAAGTTTTCCCCTATGTTGTTTAACGATCAAACATTTGAATTGGTTATTATCGTCAAATGACCATATCATTTCTCAATTACCAACCGTGTCGATTTTGCCGCTTATTCATTATCAACGATGGTGGTAGTTTATGTCTAGCAGGTGACTATCTTTTGATCCATAAAGCTATTGAGGGAGAAGAAAGAAAAATAGACATACACATCTCCATTTACAAATTTTTTCACACTGTCGTCTAATTGTATGAGGAGAAGGAGGCGGGGGCGTATAAGAGGAAAAGTGAGTGATTGTCATTCAACATCTGTATGTATATATATTGTTACAAGAGGCATATCAACCGGTTCGATTTTTTCAACTTTGTGCAGAGTAGATAAAAATTATATCATTGAAAAGAGCTTGAAAAGTTGAACATGATGGCGAAATTTTCTCGGAGGGGTATTGTCAAGTCCCTAGCAAAAATTTTTAAAAATAGATTTCCCAGCCAAAATGACAAGGATCTATCGTTCTCTCTATTTTTCTCTGAACGATATTTTTTCTTTCGTTCTGTTTCATGAACATATATACGTATAGGGCTTATCCATATATCATATGTATAGCTGACAGGAAAGAAAAAAAAATCTTTTTGCATTGATGACGTTGATGATCCGGAGGGTTTTAAAGGGTACGTTGTCGGTGAATAAAAATAGCATATTCGGATTCAGCGTGGTCAACTACCCCCGTACCTGTTGAAATCTTGAGAGGGTACCTTCGACCAGAAACCAAAAAAAATGTTGACAAAATTCAATGGTAAAACAATACAGACCAGAACAAAAAATATGTATCGCACTGGATTCGAACCAGTATCGCGTTATCGACACGCTCTTAAGCCACTCAGCTATATGCGAATTATTCTAGTTCTGTTCTGTCTCGCACGTTATCATTATTTCATTATTCAATCTTAATTTCACTGAGTCGATATTCAAATACAATATCATCAACTATCATCATAAGACAGGATCTTGTAACTCAAGCAAAAGTATCTGAATTGATCAGTTTTTTTTCAGTATGCTCTTGCTTATTTTTATCAAAAAAAATCGAAATGACAATTATGAACAATAAATGAATTTTGTTTTCATCTTGATTCAGTTTTCTTTTCTTCAGGATAGAAAAATCTTTCGTAAAAAAAATAAGGTTAAAGAAGTAACTTTTGGAGTACGGCAAATACAATTAAAAATTGAATTATTTAAATAAGATGGATTTAATATTTGTGAAAGAAAAAAATACGAAATCAGAATTAAATCAGATGTTTTTTTTGTCGTTTGCGTTTAAAATAAGAAATTTGTTTATTCCATAGAGAAGTGTCTCAGAATTTCAATTATCTTATAGCAAAATTTTTCATTTGATTTTCATCAGTGAACGTATATGTATTTATCGGTACACCTGATAATACATCTTTCTTGTCCGCTGTCATCGAACAACACAAGCTTTGATCGAAAGGAAAAAAGATTAATGTTCAACATGAAAACTCAATGATCGTTTATTTTTAATGTTTGTACATCGTATTAAAAAGCAGATTTATCTTTTCAAACTGAAATAAAATAAATTACACTTTATCCTAGAGAACGGTTTCAAGCTTATATCATCATTACTTCAGATGTTCGATTATTCAATAGTTTTTAGTCCTGACTTGAGATTGTCTTCTTTTTATCTTCGAGATTATCATTCATCTTACTTTATTATCTACGAAATACCTATGCTACTTTAATTTCTCTCAATCAAAATAGAATAAACATTTGTTAGATTCATTTAGTTCTATCGTATTATGAACATGTGTCGCAATATGATCGGAATAGAAAAAAAGAATGTCAAGAAGACATGTTCATATATGAATGATATAAGATGACTTTAAACTCGAGAAAAAAACAACGAAAGATTCAGTTTCTTATATGTATTGTTTTCAAGATACTTGTGAATGATTCAAAAGAAATCTTTTTGAGCTTTATTCAGTTTTGTTTATCCTTGGTGTTACTGAAGAATTTATTTTCTTTTACTCTAATAAGATCAAAGAAATATTCATAGACTACAGCTTTAGAATAGACAAAAGGATTCATTAATATCAAATAAGTTTTCACGTAATGACTGATCTTTTTTTTGATAGGTTTGATTCTTAATATGAATCGACATACAAAAATGAACACACTGAAGAGAATAGAAGATCATACGAAGTTCGTATCAAAACGCAAAACAGGTTAATCAAAAGCAAAGGTCTTTATGAATAAATTCATCGATTTTTAATAGACGAACAATTTCTTGATATTCATTGATCGACAGCTTTCACTCTATTTTCTTAGCTGTTCTCCTCTTCCTCAGACTCGTGCACACACTACATATGAAAACGAGCACGTTCATCTATCGTGTAGACAAGCACTGATAATAAAAATGAAAGTAGTTTATGACGATGAATTCTATCAACGTTATTATTTGGAAAACGTATAATAAACGATACACGATAAAATAATCTTCCTCGAGTCATAAAAAAAAAGAGACCATAGTGGACGTAATTTTTTTCTCTATCGAATAATTATTATTTAATGTCATAAATATTTCGGTAGACTAACATTAGTTTATCTTCTATTTTGTTCACAAAAACAGCTTTAATTTTGAAGTTAACATCCGAACGTGCTATAATAGTCAATACAATACAATTTTTATCTGACACATCTCTGTGACAAATTCTTTTTAATTTCATTGGTGACCATACTTAATGACAAAATAATTCACCAATCGAATCACCACGTGTGATTTTTAACACATGAGAGAGAAGCTTCGAAAGTCCTAACCAGCTTTAATCGATCGATATGAATTTTTTCTTTCGCGACACATAAATTCTCTTCGCTTTGACATCGTCTTAACGATGATCGTATCTCAATAAAAAGATTAAATAAGCAAATGTGTAGCTATGTAAATGAATAACTACTGATTTACCGAAAAAGTAAATTGTGATCGATCTTTTTGGATCAGTTCATAAATTAAGGAATCTATTTACATTTTCGTTTGAGCTTTAAAATCGTAAAAGTACATAAAATATTTTTATTCAATATTCATCATCCACAATCACTTCTTAAAAATTTGACACATTGATTTAATGATCTTTTTTTTTTTGAATATTATCTATTAGAGCTAACGAAGTCTTTTTTCACAATCGAAGCTCATTTTTGTCTTTTTCATACTACAACTTGTTTATATCATATTTGAATGGTCTTATATGTGTCATGTGTATCTGTTAACCAAAAGTAGAAACCAGAACAATAAAAGCTTCTATTAGATTAGATAGAATTTCTGGTGATTGATTATCGATATAAACATAATCTAAAAGTTGATAACAGATTGTGTGAAATTCCAAAATACAAATCCCTTG